GCCGTCCTTCGGGTGCCTCGCCACAGCGGTCCTGCCAACGGGAGCCTCTATCGCCACAGCAGCTGCGGGAGTGGTTTGCTCGATGCGCCCACCTTCGGCGTAGCACTGCTGGAGCTGGAGACGCTGCCGCGGGAGACACTAGAGCTGGAGGCTCTGCAGTTGGAGCCGCTGGTATTGGAGTCACTGCCGCAGGAGGCGCAGGAGCTGGAGCTGGAGCCCCTGGAGTTGGAGACGCTGTAGCTGGAGGTGCTGTAGCTGGAGACACTGGTGCTGCAGGAGCTGGAGCTGACGGCGCTGGAGTTGGAGGCGATGGAGCTGGAGGCGCTGGAGCTGGAGGCGTTGGAGCCGTAGGTACTGGAGTTGGAGTGTCTGGAGTTGGAGGCACTGGCGCTGGAGGTACTGGAGCTAGAGGCGCTGGAGCTGGAGGTACTGGAGCTGGAGGCGCTGGAGCTGGAGGTACTGTGCAGCAGCGACCGTTCTTCTTGCCGCCGCCGCAGCTGTCCGAGCTTCCGCCCGAGTCGGTGCTCCAACAGGTTCTTATTCTTCCTTCATCCACTGTCCTTCATCTCGACGCACTGCTGCCTGCCCCCCTTCCTTACACAGAGTAGCTGGTCTCTCTTACGGAGCGTCGTGAGCCTGCGTCTCGTCCTGCCTCCCCTGTTCGCACTGTTCGCCGTGCTCGTCGTGTCCCGCGTCCGCGTCCTCCTCCTATGCCAGGTACTCACACTATGGCACTTCGTCCTTCCTCTGTTCCGCAGCGTGTCCCCCTGCCGTCTCCTCCTGCGTCTTCTCTTCCTGTTGTTCCAGACCCAGAGTCTGACATTGTTTGTGCTGCTCACCCTACTGTCACGCGTCTCCTGGCCACTGTTGTCACTGACCCGTCGTTTGAGTCCACTGCTGCATCCGCCTTAGTTGCTGAGCTTGTGGACTTTGCTGCTGTGTGCTGTCTAAACCACGCTGCTAGTCTTGTTGCTGAGTCTGAGTCTGTCTGTCCTCCGTCCGTCGGGGGTGAGTGTGATCTTGGCACGGAGGATAGGCAGGAGGACTTTGCTTGTCTTGCAGCTGCTGTACCTCATCTCACGGCCTGGCTGCTTGCACTTGAGGGAGACCCGGATGCACTGGACATCCCGACCCCGCGCTCTTACGTAGAGGCGATTTCGGGTCCCTACTCCTTTTTTTTTTTTTTTTGGTAGGTGAAATATGCACTATACACGTACAATGCAAAAACACCACGGTCTTAACCGGTGCTAGAGGGCATAGGTAGTGTATACCGTACCCTCGCAGGGTTTGAAAACCAAACGCCTAAAAATCTCAATCAACCCACTAGGAACTTCCGTTGCAATGTTGGCAAACTTCAGCACTGGTAGGAACCCAACCATACGTCACCTTTGTTCCATCCGTCGCTTCAGCTGAGACTGGTTCACTCTGGACCTGTATTCCCAAGCGTGGATTGGCTTGGTTGTACCAGGCGATGGCCTGATTCGAGACAGTCGGCGAACACCTCTGCACCCTCTTGCGATTTGGCGTAGCGGAGAACTTCGAGTAGCTTTTGCAGCTTCAGCACCTCTAGAAATGAGGAAAGATCCATGGTGTCGAGATATTATATAGCTGTCGTCGGAATCTTGTACTTGGTAGTATTCTTCTTGAAACTTCTTAGCCTCGTCGTGTCCAACTTTGTTAGCGATTTCATTGTCCAAGAGCTTGTAGTAAGGGTCTTCATCTTCAAATGAATGGGCAGGAGATCGGCTTTTATGCTTATAACTTCCAGGAAGAAACTCGTTGTCTTTTTCAGGTACTTTAATAGCCATAAACGAATTTACTCTCGACGTGTCACAGGTCCACTGTTGCTTGGCTCTTTGTAGTCGTTGAATGTTAGCAAATGCCGATAACCGGAAGACGTTCCTTTGAAAATTTCTCTTAAACTTGTACTTCACGTGTTGCGTAGAACCTGTAGTATAGTCTTGATCCGAGCTTGCGTGGCGACTTGATCTAGCCATGTTAATCTTCCTTGGAACAGCTTGAGCAAACTGATCAATATCTGAAGCTTGAAAGCAATTCTTAACCTGGAAAAACGGGATTTTCAGGTGAAGCGACGACCACCAAATGTTCTCTGGGTGAACACAATTTAGGTGTCGACAGCTAGCTACTGATGAGTAGATCCCGAAACAATAATCAGATTTGGAAAGTGGAGCTCTTAGACTTGACATTGTTGCTGTTGTTCCTAGTGCTTGGAAGCCATGGCGGGGAGATCGTTGGTCAGAAGAGATTGTTTCACTCTAGTATTCGGCCGAACCTTGTTAAAATCGCAATCCCTACTCCTCTCAGTGGTAGACAGCCATGGACGCAGAGATGGCATCCTGGAAGTCCACAGGCACTTACGTCGACGTAGTTCCCCCTCCTGGGGCGAACATAGTCGATGGCATGTGAATTTTCAGGGTGAAGCGGCCGCCGGGTTCTCCGCCTGTCTTCAAGGCTCGTTACGTTGCTCAAGTGTTCAGTCAGCGACAGGGAGTTTACTTCTTCCAAACCTTCTCCCCTACCCCGAAGATGACCACTCTTCGGGTGCTGCTGCACGTTGCTGCTCAGCGTGACTACGAGCTTCACTCTCTTGACTTCAGCACAGTTTTCTTGCAGGGCAGTCTGCACGAGGAGATCTGGCTGCGCTGCCCACCTGGCTTCACTGGGTTATTTCCTGCAGGAGCCCAGTGGAGCCTCTGGCGGCCAGTCTACGGTCTCCGCCAGGCGCCTTGTGAGTGGCACGACACACTGAGGACGACGCTTGCAGCTCTTGGGTTTGCTCTTGGGTTTTTACGCACCGACTCTTCGTTGCTGCCGTTCTGCATCCTCGTGTACGTCGACGACTTGGTTTTTGCCACTACTGACACTGAGGCTCTCGCCCGTGTAAAGTCGGAGCTGGAGAAGTGACACACCTGCACTGACCTGGGTGAGCTGTGCAGCTATCTTGGCTTGCAGATCACCTGGGACAGAGCACGCCGCACCATCACTCTGACTCAGTCACACATGGTGCAGCAGGTCCTTCAGCGCTTCGGCTTCCAGTTCTCCTCACCATAGTCCACTCCTCTGCCTACCAGTCACTCGCTCTCAGCTCCACCTTCGAACGAGTCCGTAGAGCCGAGTGGCCCATATCCAGAGCTTGTGGGCTGTCTGATCTACCTGATGACCTGCACACAACCTGACCTTGCGTACCCTCTTAGCATCCTGGCTCGCTACGTTGCGCCTGGGAGACACAGGCGAGAGCACTGGGAGGCTGCTAAGAGGGTGCTGCATTACTTGTGCAGTACATCGGGCATGGGGCTGGTGCTTGGAGGACGGGGTGACGTTGTCCTCACTGGGCACTCAGACGCCTCTTGGGTTGACGACCTGGCTATACAGCGGTCGTCACAGGGTTACACCTTCAGCATTGGTTCCGGTTTTGTTTCTTGGTGGGCTACTCGCTTTTTGTTCTCAGCTCCAGTTGTGAGGCTGAGATCTACGCTGGAGCCATGGCTGTACAGGAGTTACGCTGGCTCACCTACCTGCTGACTGACTTGGGAGAGCGGCCTCGTTCTCCTCCAATTCTGTACGTAGACAACAAGGCCGCCATTGCCTTGTGTCAGGAGCACAGACTGGAGCACAGAATGAAGCACATCGCTCTACGCTACTTCCTTGCTCGAGAGTTGCAGCAGCGTGGCCAGCTTCGTGTTGCTTACGTGGCCACTCGGGCCAACACTGCTGATATATTCACCAAGGCACTTCCGCCTGGTGATCATCAGCGTCTCTGTACTGCTTTAGGCCTTGTGCCTACGTTTGCTCACTTGCTCACTGCTGGACATTGCTTGTACTGCTATCTTTATATATACCTGCATGCTTATATTTGCTAGGTTGTGATCGCTACTCTGTATGCTTTGCTTTATATATCTCTGCTTGTGGACCGGCCTTGTGGCCCTTTGCTTGTAATGAGAATGTGTGGTGACGTCGAGATCCACTCTGAGCTTGCTCAGGAACACTTTAGCAGACTGGCAGGGTGAGAACAATGGCAAGCCGGCTTTAGCCGTGTAAAAATATCAGGAAGTCGGATCCTGGCCGGGTGACTTACTGGGGGGACCCAGTTTTGGCAGAGTAGCGCTGCCAAACAGGGTAAAACACCCTGGAAAAGAGAGCCCTGGTTGCCATGCCAATGCCACCCGCCTGGAGAACGGCGCCTTGGTGTGCTTGCGAACACCATGTAGGCAACTTCGCGATGAAAGCACCTGTTCGGTCGCAGGTGTCACTGCGCTGGTAACGTTGACTGCTTCATCAGGTCAATTGGTCAACTTCTTGTGGCACGAGTGATGTAACGCAACCAAAGCACTCCGTTGTGGCAGGCTCAACGGTCCAGGAGCTGAGGACACCGTTTCCGGGCAGATTTTTTCGAACTTATGTGGGGCAAACTAAATCTTGCCTAGTCTTTTTGCGAATATGCAAGAATTATGCATGTCCACAGTGCACGGTGTCGAGCTGTTTTTCCCCGTCCACACTCCCTACTGCACGCCACATAGCGCAGGCTCGGTCGAAACAAAGTACACGAGCCCGTCCCATTGGTTATTAACAAATGGCCATGAATGTTTCGGGCAATTCAGCTGTCGTTGAAGCTTCTCCTTCTGCCCCAACGCAGTCGGTGCCGTCAGAACAATAGCCATGAAGCGTTCACTGCGCCTGTCACACGGCAGCACTGACCGATTGCCTTCAAGTTCGGTGCCCTGCGTCCACCACCACTAACTTCCACCAACCTCGCCAAGCCCCGTCCTTGCTCCCATCGCGACCGTTCGCGCATGCCAGCTGGCGCACGTTCAATGGATACCACCATTTCGCCAATCAACGCGGTGCGCTGTGCAGGCTCGGCGCCCTGGCGGAAGTGAAATTCGCGCAGGGCGGGAGATTTGTACGAGCGGTCGTGGATGGTTGCATCGGTGAGCACCTTTGAGCAGGAGTCTGCCCAAGCTGAACTCGAAATCATGCCAATGCCACGCCATGCTGCCGCGCTTTCTTTCAATCCAAATCACCCGCGCACCGCTGCGCCGCCCCGCCCGAGTCCACTTCCTTCCACTCTCCGTCATGCACCCCGCTCTCGGCCCCCCCTCCCCGCCTTCTGCCATTCCATTCCGTTATGCCTCTTGTTCCAAGTTCCAACAACCCAAGCACTGCCAGTTCTTGGAAGACATTTGTGTTATCGGGATCAAACCTTTCCAGCGGTGCAGGTCCAACACCGTCCATTCTTTGACAAACAATACATCCGTTGTCCCCTGCTTTTCCCGTTACGTCCTTCGGCGCCTCTGTTGGCCGTGTTTCAGTCTCCGCCTCATTCGATACCAGAACTTCACAGGTACTTCATAGTTGTGTTCATCACCAGGCGAATTAGCAACGAGAGTGTCCAGCAGCCTGACAAAGGCACATTTCACTACCAACTATCCGCGTATCGTTTTCTGTCACACCTGTGTGCACTGCCGAGCCAGCTGATCGCGACTCGTTTCCGAAACCTCCCCATTTCCCCCCCAAACAATCTCCTTTCGTCCTTCCTCTCCCGCGCAACTCGACGGTTCCTCGTCACTCCAAATTCCTCTCCCCACTATCTTCCAGTCAGTCGTCTCCGGCAATCATGCTGCCGTCCGTAGCCGTCGCGTTGGTGCTACTCGCCGCGTCGATCCCGGCGTCGGACGCGCAAGTGCGGCCCGGCTGCATCCGGAAGTACCAGTGCCCGCGTCGCGGCAGCAATCAGTGCGGCCTCTACTACGTCTGTTCCGAATCTGCGAAGCCCAAACCGCCCTACACCCTGCAGGCCTGTGACACATGCGCTTTCCGAGACAAGTGAGTTTAATTTTGCTGTTTCCTTTCAATTTAATTTCTTTTTTAAGGCAAGTTTTCTCTGGCACGCATCGCTTTCGCTCGTTCTGCATTCTAGATGGAAACCTTGGAGTTCTGTTACCTCGCGGCACACGCGGTAATCGGTAGATGAGCGTGTTGCTGCTGAATACCCGGTTCCATGTAAAAATATAGGTGACTTAGGGCGCGTGAGATCCTCCTACCCCTCGTCACGTTCGCACGGACGAGTTGAGCACGTCACGTTCGCACTCTTTGTCAGACAGCCGGACCGCCTTGCACCTGCCTGCCGTGCACGCAACTGTGCGTATAGGTTCGAGTTTTGAGGCGCCTTAAAAAGCACCTGCGCGTACCGTGGGAAAGCAGGGCCCGGCGTTGACTTGAACCTGCTAGACGTGGTTCTTGATTGAAACGGTTCATAGCCCTGTGGTTCGTTGGCCACACAAAGCGCGCCAGTCCAAGAATCCCACTATCCAAACTTCGGGGAACGGCAAGTCGCAAGTACGAATTCGCTGTTCTCACGGGGGGATGGAGGCGAATTCTTTTCCTGCGTTTGCTAGCGGAATGTTGAGGTGGATTCAAGCTTAGTATGCAGTTCTAAGTCGTCCGACACCACGATACCCTCTACTTCCAGCATCAGCCGTACGATGCTCCAGCATCAGCCGTACGATGCTCCAGCATCAGCCGTACGATGCTCCTGCATCAGCTGTACGATGCGCCAGCATCAACCATACGATGCCCCAGCATCAGGCGGACGATGCTCCAGCATTAACCGTACGATGTTCCAGGATCAACCGTACCATGCTCCAGCATCAGCCGTACCATGCTCCAGCATCAGCCATACCATGCTCCAGCATCAGCCGTACCATGCTCCAGCATCAGCCATACCATGCTCCATCATCAGCCGTACCATGCTCGTCATCAGCCGTACCATGCTCCATCATCAGCCGTACCATGCTCCATCATCAGCCGTACCATGCTCCATCATCAGCCGTACCATGCTCCATCATCAGCCGTACCATGCTCGTCATCAGCCGTACCATGCTCCATCATCAGCCGTACCATGCACCATCATCAGCCGTACCATGCTCCATCATCAGCCGTACCATGCTCGTCATCAGCCGTACCATGCTCCATCATCAGCCGTACCATGCTCCAGAATCAGCCGGACGTTGAAACCAGCATTGGCCGGATGATGCACCAGCACTAGCCAGACGATGCACCATGTTTCTCCTATCGCCATATCAGTTTGTTCTCTCCTCACCTCCGCTCTGCCTGCTCACTCGGTTCCCATTTCTGCTTTTCCCCCTCGCCCCAACTTGTCCCTCCGCGTACCGTCTCATCTCAGCGTTAAGGCCTACGCTCAAGTCTGCAACTACGCGACAGGCCGATGCAGCAAGAACGTTATTGTGAGTCAACTACTTCTCACTGCACCTCGCTACATCGCCTCACTTCACCTCACTTCACCTCACCACGCCTCACTGCACCTCATCGCACCTCACCTTGCTCTCTTGGTTTGGTTGTTTTGGTGTTAAAGCAACCACTTCTTATCCTTAAAAAGGTTTATATTGTTTGCTTCGTATGGTAATTTTTTTTAATGGTGGCTGCTGGTGTGCTGTGTGTGCAGGATGGCAAGCCCTGTACGGCCGACGCACAATGTGGCAAAACAGGAGAGTTCAAGTGCCTGGTGAACAAGAACAGCAAAGCCAACCCCAAGGCGAAGCGCTGCTGCAGGTGAGGATAGGGGCTAATGCTGGTCTTTTCCTCTATTTCCCGTCTTGATGTTACAGCCATTGTTGGATTTTTCCCTAACTTGGTTTCCGTCCCTTTGCAGAAGCAAATGCCCTCCTGGCCTGTGCGGGTATGGCAAGTCTCCTGCAACTTATCTCAATGCTTGTGGCACTAAAATCACCTGTCCTGGAGTCTGCCCAAAGAAGTAGTAAACTCTTTTAGTAGCCTGCTTAATGTCTGAAAATGATTGAGAGATAATCTGATATTAAACATTATGTACTCTCTGAGCATTTCCAAGTACGTGTTGCCCTGCTTGAAAGCCAAGATACCGTATCTGAATGTTAGACCTTTTCTCTTGTGGATGCGCTAATTATTGGGTATCTTTCAAGTTCATAAAAGGGACTTAAGAAAAATGTTACATAAGTAGTCAGTCCCGCTTGCAGTGGTCAACTCTAAACGATGAGTGAGAGAATCTGCTTTTCACTCCCACAAGTGCTGCTCCGGTGGCTGTTATGGAGGAGATAGATTTGAATACGAGGTGACCTCCATGCATGATACCTATCCTTGATAAGCTTTTGCGTGTGCGTGTGGTCTGCGGCAGCTGCACCTCCCAGTGTCACTTGTAAACGGCTGCGGTAGGAAGCATGCAGTTTACTTCTATCACGCGGCTCGAGTTGAAGCATCCAACGAATGGGCACGTGTACGTAGCTCAACGGGGATCCATGGCAATCGAATCTCGTCGTGGGTGGAATCAGACAATTTCGACCGTCAGATCCTCCCCATCAACGGCTCCCGTGCGGTTGCGCGTATCCGCACGGATCCAGATCGACCGGCGGAAGTATCTCGAGGAGCTCTTCCGTCGTCAGTTGGTGGGTGATGCCACGTGGCGACGCTGATTGCTTGTTCCCGCCATTATCCCACCCAACGCCAAAACGTTAGGTGGTTCGAGGAGCCTGAAACAAGCTTGTGCAACCAGCAGGCAATCTTCCTGGTCAACCTAGGAGCCAGGAGTGCCTATCGCTTACCGCTGATCACGACGAGTTACTGAGACGACTCAAAACTAGTCTCATATCAACCAACAAGCGCGTTCTTTCTGGGACACTCTTAAAAACGCCTATCGCTTCAGCCGGTACACTGCTCTGGGTCGCTCTTGAGTGTCCTGCTCGGTCTTTCAGATATCGTGCAAGCGGTCGGCGACTCCGTTTCACGCTGTTTTTACGTCGTTCCTTCCACGTCATACTCCATAATTCATCGATTTTCTCTCGCAGCTCTCTCTTCCTCCAACCCTCCTCACATACACCCACCACCACCTGCCACCAATCTCGCTGAAGCTGTTGCGGAGTTCGACATGATACACGCTGATAACTATGATTGGAACGACCCTTCCTCACAGCTTCCATTCCATCCTTTACCCAATTCTTTGTCGGCAGGAGGAGGAGAAGCGGCGGGCTGAGTCAGCTGTGACGTGTCCAGTGGATTGCGTGCGAGAGGTGCGGACTATGGCTGATTTGGAAGCGGAACTGCTCACAGCGGAGCAGAATGTGCAGCTGGTGAGTTCGGTTTCAGGAATGATTGTGAATGAACTCAAAGAGTACTTTTCATGTTGTGTAGGCGCAGCTGCATTCTGTCTGTTTTCTGTTTGAATTGTTCGAAAGTAAAAATTACCACAAATGAGGTTGCCTGATGCAGGTGGTTGTGGACTTTTACAACTCGTCGTGTGGCTCCTGTAAATACATTCTTCCCAAGTTCATTGACCTCTGCAAATCAGTAAGAGCACGTCATGCATCCTCCCATGTGATGGAACACTTAAGATCTCCTTGGCCAAGCTGTCGTTTTCTTCCCTCATGTGCCTGGTTCCTCCTTGCGACAATGTCTCACATACTTTATCGTTTTCCTCTGCACAGGGCTGTCAGGGAGACTCTGAGTGTGCAGTGGATAAATTTGCATTTTCAGACAACACTACCCTTGATAAGGTTACAACGGGTGGAATTACAAGCAATGATTATCCAGCGGCAGCTGAAGAGAGCAAGGATGCAGATTCTGTTGACTCTGAAACAGTGCGGCAGGAGTTTTCAGCCGTTCGGTTTCTCAAGCACAATGTGCGGGACGACTATGACGATTTAACGGTATGTCCGTGGATGCTTACTCGCTGGATGGCTCGTCATATTTGTGGTTCGCAAAGTTTCACTGTTGGTCATAACTTGGAAGCACTGTTTCGCTCTGCCAAGATCCACCAGCAGTGCTTTTCATCTGGAGCCTTGACCTGCTTTCTTCTATTCTGCAACATGGTCTTGGCTTATAGCAATGGAGTGGTTTGAACTTGAGTGTCCTGTAGCTACAGACAGTGGCTTCTTTAGAGCGTGTTACACCTGCCCTATTTTCAAAGATCACGTTGTTGAGATCACCGTCACCCCAATCCCAGGTTTATGAGTGGTCAAACAACAAGTTTTTGGGGCACATGACGATCCTTGCAGGTGTACCATCTGCAAATTTGAGGTGGTGATCCTCTGCGACGAGGCGATGTCGCCGGAAATTACGCGACGTCGCGAGCTTTCGAAATTTGCATTGACCATTTTGACCGTGTTACAGACCAGGACGACACCGCTTTATTGGCTCGAATCTCCTTTTCAAAACGTTTTGATTAGTTGCGAACCTGTTACCGCTGTGCAATACCATTGCGACAGCCTGTTTTTTCGTCAACAAGGATCACCCTCCGAGTGGTACAGAGATGCAAAGATCGCCGTGAGATTGGTAGTCACCACGATCTTTTCGGAAACGCAAAGATTGGGTAGCGTAGACACTCATGATCTCGATCCTCGCTCTGTTGGTACAACACCTGGTACAGTAATTACTGTACAGTGGTAGGTAGGGTACTGTTCTGCAAGGATCGCTGAAACGATCCTTCATTTGTCACGATCTTTACCTGGGTGTACCACGCTCTTACGTTTCTCTGCCTTCTTTCTCCATTTTCCAAATTCTTCCTTAACATATTTTCAATCCTCCATACCATTTTTCCAGGAAATTGCCCTACTGTATCGTATCAAGCTGGTTCCTGCGTTTGCCTTCTTCAAGGCAAGTAGCTGTTTGTTGTGAATTGTACTTCGGCAATCATTTGTTTGCTAATCTTGCTGCCATGAGCAATCTACTCATGAATTCCTGTTCTCACACTGCTTTGCACATTGTCCATACCTGCGTATATAATCCATTCACACATCCCTCAATTCACTCTGATTAGCCAGAGTGAAGCTTCATGCATTCTTGTTTCTTTGTCCTGCCGTTCCATTTTGACTGGTTTTCAGGACGGTTCTTGCATTGGCCAGATAGCAACAAGAAACACATCCAGGGTGGCATCTGCGCTGGCAACCTTGCTTTCTGGGCAGAGGCTGTGATGTAACACTTGCATGGGCGGGCGGCCTGTAATCTTGTACCGGTATGTATATCAACTTGGAAGGCTCCAGCTGCAAGGTGGCTGGCGATAATTATATTCTGGAAGCATACCTGCAGCTTTTGAAATAACTAATGAAGCTTATCGTAAATACTAGTGTAAGGCATGATTAGCTTGAAACTTGTATATTTTGTAAATGTAAAGCCAAAGTGCATTGGAGAGTACAGTTTTATCCATAGAATAATGACGGAAATTGTCAGGTCGGCATTTTCCGGGTTTCAGGTAAGCTTCACCGCGACCCCTGATTCTCTGAAAGCTAACTCCTCCGTGCCCTTCCCTGTTTCTCCTCTTTCTCGTCCTTGAAGCTTTGCCTTACTACCATCCGCACACGCCGCCTGCGGAGCGGACTATCCTCGAGTTTCTCTCATCACCTAGCAAACCTGCTAGACTGGCAAAAGCACTTGCACGTCAGTTATCGCGAGCGTGACGGTACCCAGTCTGCTGTTGCTTGCTGTGGTCTGCTGAGTGCAGAAACCCTAATTTACGTTTCGCGAACCCCCAGTCTGTCAGCGAGTAGTTGGCAATTCAAGGAGGTCAGCAAGTTGGTAATAGTCAGCAATAGGCAAGGAATTAGCAATCGGCAAGAAGTGGGCAATTGGCGTTTAGAAGTAACAGCAAGCAGCCAGACATGGGGACCGAGCGCAAGCGTAAAATCAGCCTCTTTGACGTTCCGCCGGAGACGAGCCGTCAGAAGGTGGACGGATTCGCAGATGCGACGTCGGCGGCGGCGGCTGTAATCGCCGCGGCGTCGGCGAATGTAATGGCCGCGGCAGCGTCGACGACAATAAACCCGTATAACGGCCGGCCGTACACGCAGCGGTATTTCGACATTCTCGAGAAGCGGAAAACGCTGCCGGTCTGGCAGCAGAAGCAGGAATTCGTGGATCTGTTGAAGAAGCAGCAGATCATCGTGCTCGTGGGAGAGACGGGTAGCGGGAAGACCACGCAGGTTAGTGATTGGCGCTTCGTTGATTGCTTTATGTTGTAATTGAATCCATGAAACCGTTGGTCTGTTGAAGAAACAGCAGATCATCGTGCTCGTGGGAGAGACGGGTAGCGGGAAAACCACGCAGGTCAGTCGTCGGTGCTCGGTCTACCATAATATAGGATTTGTGAATATTTCCGATCTGCTAAAGAAGCAGCCGTTTATCGTGCTCGTGGGAGAGACGGGTTCTGGGAAAACCGCACAGGGGGTTGGTGCTTGCTTGGCCGACGCTCTAATCGAACCCTTGAAATTGCCGGTCTTGTGAAGGCGGCTCGTCCTTTCCTACAAATGGTACCGGCGATTGGCTTTTGAATCCTCTTAGTACCTCCCTTCCCTGCAATGCAATGTCGCATCTTACCGTTCCAGATCCCGCAATTTGTCGTCGAGTGTCTGAACGCGACGAACAAGAAGCAGGTGGCGTGCACGCAGCCGCGGCGCGTGGCGGCGATGTCGGTGTCGCGGCGAGTGGCGGACGAGATGGATGTGACCATCGGCGAGGAGGTGGGCTACTCCATCCGATTCGAGGACTGCAGCGGCCCCAAAACCAGCCTCAAGTGAGTCTTCTGAAAGCCAGTCTGATTTGGCATCTGTGCTAGTCAAGCCTTGAGAGAGTCTGCGATCGGCGAGGAGGTGGGCTACTCCATCCGATTCGAGGACTGCAGCGGCCCCAAAACCAGCCTCAAGTGAGTTTGTGGCTAGTCACTCCTCAAGCGGGTTCTTGGTACTCAAGCCTCTGGTGAATTGAGTTGTTTCAGCGCTGGTTGTGCCGGGCGCCAGTAGCAAGGGTAGGCTGTCATGGTCGACCCTATACCTAACTGATACAAGGCGATCATCTCCTAACTTTGCTCGTCTATGCCTTCTGTACTGTAACCAGGCACCTCACTGATGGTATGCTTCTGCGAGAGGCCATGGCGGACCCGTTGTTGGAGCGGTACAAGGCGATCATTCTGGACGAGGCGCACGAGCGCACCCCCTCACTCCCGTTCCCTGCTTCATAAGCTCTCCCCTAACCCGTGTGGTGCGAGCCAGGTACCTCACTGATGGTATGCTGCTAAGAGAGGCCATGGCGGACCCTTTGCTCGAGAGGTACAAGGCGATCATTCTGGACGAGGCGCACGAGCGCACGTTGGCGACGGACGTGCTGTTTGGGCTGCTCAAGGCGGTGCTGGAGCACCGGAAAGACCTCAAGCTGGTGGTCATGAGCGCCACTCTCGAGGCCGAGAAGTTCCAAGGTTACTTCCACGGCGCTCCTCTTATGAAGGTTCCTGGCAGGCTGCACCCTGTCGAGATCTTCTACACGCAGGTGGGCAGGGGAGGGAGCAGGGTGGGATGCGGGAAAAAAGAGAGGGGGGTGGGATTCCTCCTCGCATCCCACTCATTGATTCGGTCCACGGTGGTGCAGATTCAGATGTGTGAGCCGCCGGGGAACATTCTCTTCTCATGTAAGTTGTAACCCCTTCATTCCCTCCCCCCTCACTCCACAGGAGCCAGAGAGGGACTATCTAGAAGCCGCTACGTGTAGAAAAGAGGGGGTGAGGTCGCCCTCATTTCACTCACTGATGTGTTCCACTCAAACCTCCCTTTCGCCCCAACAGGAGCCAGAGAGGGACTATCTAGAAGCCGCTACGTGTAGAAAAGAGGGGGTGAGGTCGCCCTCATTTCACTCACTGATGTGTTCCACTCAAAACCTCCCTTTCGCCCCAACAGGAGCCAGAGAGGGACTATCTAGAGGCGGCCATTCGCACGGTGGTGCAGATCCACATGTGTGAGCCGCCGGGGGACATTCTCGTGTTCCTCACGGGGGAGGAGGAGATTGAGGACGCCTGCAAGAAGATCGCCCGCGAGGTGCAGAACATGGGCGACCAGGTCGGCCCCGTCAAGGTCGTCCCACTCTACTCCACTCTGCCGCCCGCCATGCAGCAGAAAATCTTCGACGCCGCCCCGCCGCCCGTGAAAGAAGGCGGGACGCCCGGCCGAAAAATCGTAGTTTCCACAAACATCGCGGAAACCTCCCTCACGATCGACGGAATCGTTTATGTCATCGATCCGGGATTCTCCAAGCAGAAGGTCTATAACCCGAGGATCCGCGTCGAATCCCTCCTGGTCTCCCCGATTTCCAAAGCCTCGGCGCACCAGCGGGCGGGCCGCGCCGGCCGAACGCAGCCCGGGAAATGCTTCCGGCTCTACACCGAACGCTCCTTCCAAAAGGACCTCCAGGAGCAGACCTACCCGGAGATCCTCCGCTCGAACCTCGCAAACGTCGTTCTAACCCTAAAAAAGCTGGGTATCGACGATCTCGTGCACTTTGACTTCATGGACCCGCCCGCCCCGGAGACTCTGATGCGGGCGTTGGAGCTGCTGAACTACCTGGGGGCGCTGGACGATGAGGGGAATCTGACCAAGCTGGGCGAGCTCATGAGCGAGTTCCCTCTCGACCCGCAGCTCTCCAAGATGCTCGTGGTTTCTCCGGATTACAATTGCTCCAATGAGATCCTCTCTGTCACCGCCATGCTCTCAGGTTGGTTGGCTCGTGGGCTGGTTTATCTGTGTGGTGATGACGGTGCTCTCCAAGATGCTCGTGGTTTCTCCGGATTATAACTGCTCCAATGAGATCCTCTCGATCACCGCAATGCTCTCAGGTTGGTTGGCTCGTGGGCTGGTTTATCTGTGTGGTTATGACGGTGCTCTCCAAGATGCTTGTCGTGTCGCCCGACTACGATTGTTCTGACGAGATCCTCTCCGTCAATGCTATGCTCTCTGGTTTGTTATGTCGTTGGTTGGTTAATTGGCTGAAAGGTCTGTTTTCATTGTCGTGTCATCAACTTTCTAATCGTGGTGTCTTCTGCTTCTGGTTTATCATGTCGACTGCATTAGGAACACCGTTTCCTGATTTATTGTCATTTTCTGTCAGTTAGCCTCACTATGAACCGCACCTAACCCCCCTGCGTGCAGTGTGTTGCTTTTACTCTCTCTCTCCTCCGCTTCTGCCACTGCAGGAGGACCCCCCTACATGCACTCCCCCTATTGTCACCACCTGTACCACCACCACCACCTCTGCTGCTGCTCCCATCACCTTTCTAAACGTTACCTAATGATTCCTTCCGCTCCTCCGCTGCTGCCACCGCCCGTACCTACATGCTGACACACCGGGCCTGTCGCCGAACCAACCGCGCTGCCTTTTGCCGAACCTGCCACCACTTCCCTTTCCTTCTCCGCCTCCTCCCCATCCTCCACACATTCCTCCTCCCCCGCCTCCTCGCCCTCCTCAACCTCCTCCTTTTCCAACTGCCTCCCTCAACCGCGCTGCATCAACCACCCACTCGCCGACACTTCACTGATCAGTGCCCAACTGCTTCATTCGCCCGCGGGAGGCACAGAAGCAGGCGGACGAGGCCAAGGCACGCTTCTCCCACGAGGATGGCGACCACCTCACGCTGCTCAACGTCTTCCACGCCTACAAGCAGAACGGTGAGTGCGTTGAAACGTCTTGCAGTGTGCAAGCAGGGCATTGTGTGTGTCTGTAAATGAAGCGGTGTTTCGTTTGAGTCAGAAGCAGGCGGACGAGGCCAAGGCACGCTTCTCCCACGAGGATGGCGACCACCTCACGCTGCTCAACGTCTTCCACGCCTACAAGCAGAACGGTGAGTGCGTTGAAACGTCTTGCAGTGTGCAAGCAGGGCATTGTGTGTGTCTGTAAATGAAGTGGTGTTTCGTTTGAGTCAGAAGCAGGCGGACGAGGCCAAGGCACGCTTCTCCCACGAGGATGGCGACCACCTCACGCTGCTCAACGTCTTCCACGCTTACAAGCAGAACGGTGAGTGCGTTGAAACGTCTTGCAGTGTGCAAGCAGGGCATTGTGTGTGTCTGTAAATGAAGTGGTGTTTCGTTTGAGTCAGAAGCAGGCGGACAAGGCCAAGGCACGCTTCTCCCACGACGATGGCGACCACCTCACGCTGCTCAACGTCTTCCACGCCTACAAGCAGAACGGTGAGCTTATAGAGACGTCTTGCAGTGTACAAGCAGGTAAGTGGGTGCATGTGTGTTTGTCAGGTGGTGGTTGGTTTGAGTCGGAATCAGGCTGACGAGGCCTCTGCTGTTACACTTCGTTACACTTGGCTATTTCCACGAGGATGACGACCACCTCACTCTGGTCAACTTCTCCCTCTGGTCAACTTCCCATGCCGTACTCCCAGGCGAGGATTTCAGCTGGTGCTATGACAATTTCGTGAACGCCAGACCAGAGCACTGAAAGCAGCGGACAACGTGCGCAACCAGCTAGTGCGCATCATGATGCGCTACGGTCAATATGTGCTCCCTTCCCTTTTTCGCTAATAATGTGCTGAGGTCGTTTTTGAGGCGCCTCAAAAACGACCGCATCATGATGCGCTACGGTCAATATGTGCTCCCTTCCCTTTATCGCTAATCATGTGCTGAGGTCGTTTTCGAGGCGCCTCAAAAACGACCGCATCATGATGTGCTACGGTCAATATGTGCTCCCTTCCCTTTTTCGCTAATAATGTGCTGTCCTCACTCCTCCGCTCCCGTACCATACTCCCACGCGAGGACCCCAGCTGGTGCTATGACAATTTTGTGAACACCAGAGCCCTCAAGGCAGCGGACGACGTGCGGAACCAGCTGGTGCGCATCATGATGCGCTGCGGGCTGAAAATTCTCGTCACTCTGCCTGTCTTGTACCTTACTCACCACACCACCAGGCGAAGACCCCAGCTGGTGCGAGGATAATTTCGTACACGGGCGTTGAAGGCAGCGGACGACGTGCGGAAGCAGCTGGTGCGCATCATGATGCGCTACGGACTCATCATGTGCTCCCCTGTGCTCCACTCCTCCACTCCCTCTCCCATACCTTGCCCACGACCAGGCGAGGACCCCAGCTGGTGCTACGACAACTTTGTCAACGCACGGGCGTTGAAAGCAGCGGACAATGTGAGGAACCAGCTGGTGCGCATCATGATGCGCTACGGGCTCAAGATGTGCTCCACGGCGTTTGAGTCGTCCGCCTACTACCCCAACATCCGCAAGGCGCTGCTCGCTGGATTCTTCATGCAGGTGAGAGTGTGTGGGGTGGGTGGGTGGGTGTATGGGTGTGTGGATTTGTGTGCGTGTGTCTGCAAGTGTATGTGTGCATGGATAAGTGTGTGTGCATGTGTGTGTGCTAGGAGATCTTGGGAGGGAGGATGGAAATGCAGTAGTGTGCACTTGTGCCGGTCCCCTGAACTGCCTTTGTGTGCACCTTTGTGGGTCGAGCACACCTCTTGTTGTTTCCCTTTGCCCACCTCTTTGGAACATTGCATTTAAGACGTCCCTTTCTGCTGTCCCCGATCCATCCCCCCTTTCCCGCTGTACCCCCCATATGCGCGCCCCGTTCCTGTCTTCCCCTCTACCCCACAGGTGGCACATTTGGAAAGGACAGGGCACTATTTGACAGTCAAGGACAATCAGGTGGGCCACACAATTAGGATTAACTAGTGCCTGAGTGAGCAGCACTTAGTGACGAGTACTGGGTTGAGCAGCACTTAGTGACGAGTACTGGGTTGAGCAGCACTTAGTGACGAGTACTGGGTTGAGCAGCACTTAGTGACGAGTACTGGGTTGAGCAGCACTTAGTGACGAGTACTGGGTTGAGCAGCACTTAGTGACGAGTACTGGGTTGAGCAGCACTTAGTGATGAGTACTGGGTTGAGCAGCACTTAGTGACGAGTACTGGGTTGAGCAGCACTTAGTGACGAGTACTGGGTTGAGCAGCACTTAGTGACGAGTACTGGGTTGAGCAGCACTTAGTGACGAGTACTGGGTTGAGCAGCACTTATGTGAATTCAGTGCAAGCTTGTTTGTCTTGCGCTGGTCTCGTCTCAGCTCAACGTCGCACGGTCCGTGCATCTGCATCCATCCACAGGATTGTCGCACAGGAGCTTGTTGTCACACCTGAGAATTCTCACAAGTCACACAAGCCAGAGTGGGTCCTTCACATCACAGCCCACCGTTTCACCTGTTGCTCTTGCCTTCCCCCCCCCCCCCCCCCCCCCCCGCCTCCCCAACCCCCCACCCCTACTCGCTTTGCAGATCGTGCATCTGCACCCGTCAACAGGCCTATCCCACAAGCCAGAGTGGGTGCTCTACAACGAGTTTGTACACACCAGGCTGTCTCCCTGCCCTCACCGCTCTCAACCTCTCTCAACCTTTCTCAACCTCTCCCTCCTGTGCAGATCGTGCATCTGCACTTGTCAACAGGGCTGTCCCACAAGCCCGAGTGGGTGATCTACAACGAGTTTGTGCTCACCACCCGGAACTTCAACTCTTTTGCCCTCTCCCCTCCTTCATTCTCCCTACCCCCAAACTCCCCCGCTCCCTCCCTCTGCAGATTGTGCACCTACACCCATCCACGGGGCTATCCCACAAGCCCGAGTGGGTGATCTACAACGAGTTTGTGCTCACCACGCGGAACTTCATCCGCGTTGTCACCGACGTCAAGGGCGACTGGTGCGTGTGCTGTGGTGGTGGTGTAGGAGTTTCCAGTGGGTGTTAGCTGGTGGGGGTTTCCAATTGGGGGGTTTGCAATGGGTGTTGTGTTGCGCATGTGGGGCCCACATCGTGCACCTTCATTTCCTTGGGAGCGAGCGTTGAGAATTCTCAAACTGGGGGGGTTGCAATGGGTGTTCCACATGTGGGCTTTTGAGTCAACTCAAAAGCACCTTCATGTCTTTGAGAGCGAGTGTTGAGAATTCTCAAACTGGGGGGGTTGCAATGGGGAGTGGTGGTAGGGGGGGACTGGCAGGTGTGCCCTGCATCACTGCAACTTGAATAATTTCTCTCAGTGCGACTCAACGGCACTCTGTCCCCCCACTCCTGCTCCTTCCTTCCCCACCCCCCTTTCTCCTCACTCAACTGCCTTTTCTCTACCTGCTCCCCACCAAGCTATTGGTACCTAGGAAAATCATAATGGTAAGCGGTCGTTTCAATTTCCTGCCTGCTATTCTGATGGATGAGATTCGTTCAGGAACTGAGGACACAGCTGGATTCTAAAAAAGAGGAGATTATGAAGTTCGACGCGGTACTATCCAGCCTTTTCACTCCTCTCCAACTATCTTCCCTTTCCCCCCTCTACCCCCACCAGGTCACTGGACATTGTCCCTCACTACTACGACTTGGCCAACTTCCCTTGAAGTGTCCCAACATCTCTCCACCCCACCTTCCCCTTCTCTCTCCCCTAACTGTACCTCTTGTTTCCCCGCCCCGCACTACTACGACCTGGCCAACTTCCCTCGATGCGACAACCCCTCACCCTTCTCTGCAATCCCCCCACTTCTGCTTTTCCCCGCAATTTCTTTCCACCCACCAGGTTGTTGGACATCGCCCCACACTACTACGACCTGGCCAACTTCCCTCAGTGCGAGGCGCGGCGGGTGCTGGAGCGCATTGTGCTCGTGCGCAACCGGGACAGAGTCGAGGCAGCTAAAAAGGGGGACAGTTAGGCACGCAATGAGATGATTTGGGGTTAGGAGGTCGACCTGTTTGTCACATCATGGCAATTGTGTGAGCTTTGGCAGAAAGCTCTAAAAAATGTGTCTGCTTTTCTGCGGAAGGAAGCACGACCGACTACCATGTTCCTGATTCGGAAAGTACTCTCCCTTGAGCGGAACTGCCTAAGCAGAAACAATGGCAGGTTGTTATGTAACCACGGAAGGCATATTGGATTAACTGTCAAAAGTTGTACAGTACCATATCTATAACCGGTACATGCACGCGAGTTCTTACCACTGCAAGAGCGAAACCCACTAGGTGTTTTAATCTGTTGTTCCACTTACCCAGTACTAGGTAAGAATGATACACTTGCTCTTCGGGCAAAGCCCAAGCTCCATCCTCCGCACCGAAGGCAATCAGGTGTTGAACCAGCTCGACACTGCTCTTCTAATCAGAGCCCACAGCCTCGCCAGGCTCCACCAGAATGGTTCTATTACCGTACCGTTTGACGCTGGTTGATTGGCTGAAGTTGGCTGAACGCTAGGACTGGTTATCCTCTCTCCAGCTGCCTCGGATCTGTCTCGGTTGCGCAAGTGCACACCCAGATTGTTGACTCGGCATGGAGACTTGGCTGCCGCATCAATATCCTCCTTTTTAACTGCCACAACCCTGAAACCGTTGCGCACGAGCACATGGCGCTCAAGCACCCGACGTGCCTCGCACTGAGGGAAGTTGGCCAAGTCGTAGTAGTGCGGGGCGATGTCCAGTAGCCTGGTGGGTAGCGGAACAGGAAAGAGGGCTTATTGGTGGGCCCAACTGTTGAATCCCTAGTCAAGATCAAATCAACTAATAAAAACTTTCGTGTTCACCACATATCACACGCACACACACACACACACACACACACACACACACACACACACACACGCACGCACGCACGCACGCACACACACACACACACACACGCACGCACGCACACACACACACACATAGCACTAGCACTTGATGCATGAAGGGAGTTTTGAAGCGCGTCAAAAGTTACACATAGCACTCGCCCTTAATGCATCTCGCACACACATACAACCGTATGGTGGTTCCTCAGCTTTAATACACACGCACACACATGCGTACGGTGGTTCCTCAGCTTTTCTATTCGCCTGCTCTGCATGCATACCATACCTACCCCTTACCAGCAAACCCCCACCTACCATCACCGCCCACATACATGTATGCACCACTCACCTCTACCACCATCGCACATGCACTTCTCACCCCTACTGAGGTGACTTTTGAGTCGACTCAAAAGTCAACTCAAAACTCACCCCTACCACCATCGCACATGCACCACTCACCCCTACCACCATCGCACATGCACCACTCACCTCTACCACCACCACCACAGCACACGCACCAGTCGCCCTTGACGTCAGTGACAACGCGGATGAAGTTTCTGCTGGTGGTGAGCATAAACTCAGTGATGTGGGTGGTTGTGGATCACCCACTCTGCAACCCCCCACACTCACCACTTGCCCCTACCACCACCGCACACGCATTACCCACTCCCACAACCACGCACGCACCAGTCGCCCTTGACGTCGGTGACAACACGGATGAAGTTCCGGGTGGTGAGCACAAACTCGTTGTAGATCACCCACTCGGGCTTGTGGGACAGCCCTGTTGATGGGTGCAGATGCACGATCTGCACAGGAGGGAGAGGTTGAGAGTGGTTGAGAGGGTGAAAGCAGCGAGTCAGCCTGCTGATTGCAAACTCGTTGTAGATCACCCATTTGGGCTTGTGTAACAGGCCTGTCGACGGATGCAGATGCACGATCTGGAAAAGAGGGTTGACGGGTGTTGGAGGGGGAGGAAAAAGTGGGGGGGAAGGCAAACGAGGGAGGTGAGCAGGGGTTGAAGGTGACTTGTTCTGGGTTGTGCAACAGCCCTGTGGACGGGTGCAACAGCCCTGTGGACGGGTGCAACAGCCCTGTGGACGGGTGCAACAGCCCTGTGGACGGGTGCAACAGCCCTGTGGACGGGTGCAACAGCCCTGTGGACGGGTGCAACAGCCCTGTGGACGGGTGCAACAGCCCTGTGGACGGGTGCAACAGCCCTGTGGACGGGTGCAACAGCCCTGTGGACGGGTGCAACAGCCCTGTGGACGGGTGCAACAGCCCTGTGGACGGGTGCAACAGCCCTGTGGACGGGTGCAACAGCCCTGTGGACGGGTGCAACAGCCCTGTGGACGGGTGCAAGAGCAATCTGCACAGTGAGGCACAGAAGGGGGTCAGGGAAGGGGTGGGCAGTCAAACGCATGTTCCATGGGCGGCTGAGAGTGTTTTGTGAGGGAAAAATTAACTGAAGGAGTATTAACTGGCAAATGGGAGGAGGGCCCTGCTGACGACACAAACTTGTTTGGATAGGTTCCTCAGACTTGTGTGACAAGCCTTTTTTGGGTGATAAGAGCAAAAGCAGATGGGCCATATGAGGGAGGGCTAGCAGCACAGAAGAAAACATACTGAGAGATAAGTGTGATGATGGGTGAAAGATACACGATCAATGAATACTCCTTAGAAAACACTATCAAGATAAGTGCTCTACTATTGCTCCCGTAGAAAACAAAAATACTCGCTCACAAAAACATGGTCCTTTGATGTACGATCTGCACTGCTCACAAAGAAATTGTCACGAAGTGCGTTCCATAGAGAAACGTCACATACCCCCCATGTAGCAATTTGGCGCACCTGATTGTCTTTGACTGTCAAATAGTGACCCGCTCTCTCCAGATGTGCCACCTGCGGGGCAGAGATGACAGGAGAGAGATGAAAGGCGTGTCAAACCGAATCTGGATGGCCCACCTGATTGACCTTGAATAGGCGTGTCACGCTACCAGACTCAGGTAGCGTGATGGCATATCTGCCTACCTCATCTCCTCATCTCCTTTCCAGACGTGCCACATGTGGGGCTGGTTTTTGAGAATTCTCAAAAACCAGCTCGTAGCATGGGGCAGAGAGAGAAGATGGGAGTTTTTGAGAATTCTCAAAAACTCCGTGTACTATGGGGTGAGAAACGAGTGAAGAGGGGTGCACATATGGATCGCGAGCGGAGAGGAGAGGGATGAACATACGAGGGAAAGCAGAGGACAGCAGAGAGGGTGCTGATGAAGGAAAATACGACATACATGATTCATTTCTGAGAGATGCGCAGCAGAGGGAAAGGAAATATCGGAAATAGATAAGCGGAGGAGCGAGAGTGAGGGAGACTGTACCAGAACAGGGAAGAGAGTGCAGAGATGAAGAGGGAGAGGAATGGGGGAAAGGGGCATGTTCCTTCACTTTTCTCCCTCCCTATTCTAATTCCTCACTTCTCCCCGTTGATTTTCTAATTCCTCACTTCTCCCCGTTGATTTTCTAATTCCTCACTTCTCCCCGTTGATTTTCTAATTCCTCACTTCTCCCCGTTGATTTTCTAATTCCTCACTTCTCCCCGTTGATTTTCTAATTCCTCACTTCTCCCGTTGATTTTCTAATTCCTCACTTCTCCCCGTTGATTTTCTAATTCCTCACTTCTCCCCGTTGATTTTCTAATTCCTCACTTCTCCCCGTTGATTTTCTAATTCCTCACTTCTCCCCGTTGATTTTCTAATTCCTCACTTCTCCCCGTTGATTTTCTAATTCCTCACTTCTCCCCGTTGATTTTCTAATTCCTCACTTCTCCCCGTTGTTTTTCTAATTCCTCACTTCTCCCCGTTGATTTTCTAATTCCTCACTTCTCCCCGTTGATTTTCTAATTCCTCACTTCTCCCCGTTGATTTTCTAATTCCTCACTTCTCCCCGTTGATTTTCTAATTCCTCACTTCTCCCCGTTGGTTTTCTAATTCCTCACTTCTCCCCGTTGGTTTTCTAATTCCTCACTTCTCCCCGTTGGTTTTCTAATTCCTCACTTCTCCCCGTTGATTTTCTAATTCCTCACTTCTCCCCGTTGATTTTCTAATTCCTCACTTCTCCCCGTTGATTTTCTAATTCCTCACTTCTATGGAAATCACTTTTGAGAATTCTCAAAAGTGATTTCCCTCCCTATTCTAATTCCTCACTTATCCCCCTTTATTTTCTCCCACTTATCCGCGCCCTACGCTCCCAGCATAATCTTTCCCCCCCCAATTCCACGCGCCCACACGATTACATGAAACGCACGCTCGCATACGTGCACACCACACCCACATCCACACATGCATAACGACACACACACACACACACACACACACACACACACACACACGCACACACACGCCCACATACACACGCATACCCACACGCCCACGCACACACAGGCACCCTGCCACCACTCTGCAGCGCTCACCTGCATGAAGAAGCCAGCGAGCAGTGCCTTGCGGATGTTGGGGTAGTAGGCACAGGAATCAAACGCTGTGGAGCACATCTTGAGTCCGTAGCGCATCATGATTCGCACCAGCTGGTTGCGCACGTTGTCCGCTGCCTTCAACGCCCGTGCGTTGACAAAATTATCATAGCACCAGCTGGGGTCCTCGCCTGGTGGAGGGTAAGGTGAGGGAGGGAGCAGAGGAGTAGAGCACATTGTAAGCCCACATCTTAAGCCCGTAGCGCATCATGATGCACACCAGCTGGTTGCGCACGTTGTCCGCCATTCCCAGTGCCCGGGTGTTCAAGAAACGATCATACCACCAGCTGGGATCTTCGCCTGGTGGAACAGGGAAAGGGGGAAGAGAGAGGTACAGTCAAAGCCCATCTGAGCACCAGCAGCGAGCAAGGCACTCTAGTTCTGCTTCACTCAAAACTAGTTTTGAGGCGCCACAAAACTAGAGCACCAGCAGCAAGCAAGGCGCTCACCGTTCTGCTTGTAGGCGTGGAAGACGTTGAGCAGCGTGAGGTGGTCGCCATCCTCATGGGAGAAGCGTGCCTTGGCCTCGTCCGCCTGCTTCTGTGCCTCCCGCGGGCGAATGAAGCAGTTGGGCACTGATCAGTGAAGTGTCGGCGAGTGGAAGTGGTGCAGTGCGGTCGAGATTGGCAGGTGAAGAGGAGGCACAAATTGGCATGGAGAGCGTTGGAGAGGAGAGGCAACAGGCCCGGTGTGTCAGCATGTAGGAACGGGCGGTGGCGGTAGCGGAGCAGAGGAAGGAGCAGAAATGAACATTATGTCGCCGAAATAAACAGAAGTTTAGGAAGATGATGGAGGTATCACCACGGTGGTGGTGGTGGTGGTGGTGGTGGTGGTGGTGGTGGTGGTGGTGGTGGTGGTGGTGGTGGTGGTGGTGGTGGTGGTGGTGGTGGTGGTGGTGGTGGTGGTGGTGGTGGTGGTGGTGGTGGTGGTGGTGTGAAGGCGGTGGCAATAGGGGGATCATCCTGCAGCAGCAGAAGAGGAGGAGAGAGTAAAAACAACACACTGCGAGCAAGGAAGTTAGGTGCGGTTTACAATTGAGTTTTGAGACGTCCCAAAAGGAGAGAGTCAACACACTGCGAGCAAGGAAGTTAGGTGCGGTTTACAGCTGAGGTTGGCTGAGAACAAATCACAAATCACAAATCACAAAACACAAATCACAGATCACAAATCACAGAACTGTGCTGTTCTCAGTGCAGTCAATGGTGCTAACGTAGCAGCAGACAGACACTAATCTTCAAATTGTGATGACAAGCGAAACACACAAACCAAGCAACCAACCTGAGAGCATAGCCGCAATTGAGAGGATCTCATTGGAGCAGTTGTAATCCGGGGACACCACGACCATCTTAGACAAATGCGGTTCCAGTGGAAACTTGGCCATCAACTCCCCCAGCTTGGTCAGATTCCCCTCATCGTCCAGCGCCCCCAGGTAGTTCAACAACTCCAGCGCTCGCATCAGGCTTTCCGGGGCCGGTGGGTCCATAAACTGAAAATCCACTAGATCGTCTACACCGAGCTTTTTCAAAGTTAGAACGACATTTGCGAGGTTCGATCGGAGGATCTCCGGGTAGGTCTTCTCCTGGAGGTCCTTTTGGAACGAGCGTTCGGTGTAGAGCCGGAAGCAGCTGCGTTCGGCCGGCCCGACCCGCCCGCTGGTGCGCTGAGGCTTTGGAAATCGGAGAGACGAGGAGAGACTCCACGCGAATCCTCGGGTTATAGACCCTTTGTTTGGAAAATCCCGGGTCGATGACATAGACTACACTGTCAATTGAGAGGGAAGTTTCAGCAATGTTTGTCGCGACCACGATTTTTCGCCCGGGCGGCCCGCCTTCTTTCACGGGAGGCGGGGCGGGATGAAAACTTTTCTGTTGCATGACAGGTGGCAGAGAGGAGTAGAGCGGGACAACCATCACCGGGCCAGCTTGGCCCCCCATACAACGAATTTCACGGGCGATCTTCTTGCAGGCGTCCTCGATCTCCTCCTCCCCCGTGAGAAACACGAGAATGTCCCCCGGCGGCTCACACATGTGGATCTGCACCACTGTGCGAATGGCCGCCTCTAGATAGTCCCGCTCTGGCTCCTGTTGGAGAAGGGGAAGAGACGCGGACAGAGAAGGGATGAGGAGGATATCCCCTTTGAAGGCTCACACATGTGGATCTACACTTATGTGTGGATGGCTGCTTTCAGATAGTCCCGCTCTCGCTCTTGTGGAGGGTGGGGAAGGGGTGAAGGGGAGGAGGAGTGGTAGAAGGGGAGCGAATCAGTGTGAGGTGGAACGAATCAGTGAGTGCAATGAGGGGAATCTTACCCTCTCCTTTCCAAACGCATCCCCCCCCTTCCTCCGTTCCCCCCTCCACTTCCCAATCCCCCCTACCCACCCCACCTGCGTGTAAAAAATCTCGACAGGGTCCAGCCGTCCAGGGACCTTCATGAGGGGAGCGCCTCGGAAGTAGCCTTGGAACTTGTCGGCCTCGAGAGTGGCGCTCATGACCACCAGCTTCAAATCTTTTCGGTGCTCCAGCACCGCCTTGAGCAGCCCAAACAGCACGTCCGTCGCCAGCGTGCGCTCGTGTGCCTCGTCCAGAATGATCGCCTTGTACCTCTCAAGCAAAGGGTCCGCCATGGCCTCCCTCAAAAGCTTGCCATCGGTCAGAAACCTGGCTCGGACAGTAAGAAAATGAAGAAGAAAAGGAAGAAAAGGAAGAAAATGATCGGCTTGTGCCGCTCTAGTGAGGGGTCCGCCATGGCCTCTCCCAGAAGCTTGCCGCCACTCAAGTACTTGGCTCGAGTTGCGAGGGCTCAGGGACAAAATTAAGGGTCAGGGAGAAAGAAGATGATCGCCTTCTACCGCTCCCAGCAGGGTAGCACTCAACGTGATGCGTGCGTGCCATGCCATCCCTGCTCTCTGGATGTAAGAAGACTCACTTAAGCAGAAGCAGCTCTCTGTCACTTAAGTCTTAACTAACAGAAGACTCACTTGAGGCTGGTTTTGGGCCCGCTGCAGTCCTCGAATCGGATGGAGTAGCCCACCCACCTCCCCGCCGATCGCAGACTCTCTCAAGGCTTGACTAGCACAGATGACAAATCAGACTGGCTTTCAGAAGACTCACTTGAGGCTGGTTTTGGGCCCGCTGCAGTCCTCGAATCGGATGGAGTAGCCCACCTCCTCGCCGATGGTCACATCCATCTCGTCCGCCACTCGCCGCGACACCGACATTGCCGCCACCCGCCGCGGCTGCGTGCACGCCACCTGCTTCTTGTTCATCGCGTTCAGGCACTCCACCACGAATTGCGGAATCTGGGACGGTCGGATGTGGTGTTGCATAGTGGGGAAGGAGGGAGTGGTGTAAGGCGGGGTGAGATTTGAGACTACTCAGGCAAGAATGTGTGCACGCTACGTGTGATAAGTCGAGTTTTGAGTCGACTCAAAACTCAGGCACGAATGTGTGCACAGCACGCTACCTGCTTCTTAGGTGTGCACGCATGCACCAGGTGTCGCATCCAAAAAACTCCCACCACGAACTGCCGAATCTGGAATGGTAAGATTTGACGGGAAAAAGAGCCCTGGAGGCTTTGGGACCTATCACTAAAGAGAGTATTTAGGGCCAGACATTTTGGTTAGAGAGAGAAACAATTACAAACCTGCGTGGTTTTCCCGCTACCCGTCTCGCCCACGAGCACGATGATCTGCTGCTTCTTCAAAAAACCAACGCTTTCACAGATTCAATTACAGCATAGACCAACCAATTAAGCGGAACTCACTCACCTGCGTGGTTTTCCCGATACCCGTCTCGCCCACGAGCACGATGATCTGCTGCTTCTTCAACAAACCAACGCTTTCACAGATTCAATTACAGCATAGACCAACCAATTAAGCGGAACTCACTCACCTGCGTGGTTTTCCCGCTACCCGTCTCGCCCACGAGCACGATGATCTGCTGCTTCTTCAACAAACCAACGCTTTCACAGATTCAATTACAGCATAGACCAACCAATTAAGCGGAACTCACTCACCTGCGTGGTTTTCCCGCTACCCGTCTCGCCCACGAGCACGATGATCTGCTGCTTCTTCAACAGATCCACAAATTCCTGCTTCTGCTGCCACACCGGCAGTGTTTTCCGCTTCTCGAGAATGTCGAAATACCGCTGCGTGTACGGCCGGCCGTTATACGGGTTTATCGTCGTCGACTCTGCCGCGGCCATTACAGCTGCCGCCGTCGCCGTCGCATCCGCTAAACCGTCCACCCTCTGACGGCTCGTGTCCAGCGGGACGTCGAAGAGGGTGATCTTACGCTCGCTTTCGGCTTCCATGTCAGACTCCGCACCAATCGCTGACCACGTTTTGCCAAATGCTCGCCTCTCCTTGCCAGTTGCTGGCTCTTTCACAATTGCTGACTACTCTCCGGTAGAGTCTGGGTTCACGAAACGTGAAGCTAGGGTTTCTGCAGTCTACAGCAGACCACAGAAGACAACAGCAGCGGTAAAACGTCACGCTCGAACGAAATGATTTCTTACGTGCAACAAGCGCTTTTGCTAGCCCAGCAACACTGCTAGGCGATGAGGGAAACTCAAGGTTGATTCACTAGTAGTGTATGCAGGTGGTGTCGATAATAGATGAGCGTAAAGACAGTGGATGAGCACGTGGAGGGCAGGGAAGTGAGACTTGAGGAGAAGTTATGTGGGTACCAATTCTAGGTGATGCATTTTTTCAGAAGGTGCAGTGCGTCTCATATGCCAAGAGATAGTTTGAAAGTGCCACGTGTTTGCTGCTGCCTGTTCTTCGGCTTGGACGAGACGCGACATTTCGAGCCGCGCGGGATGATAATGAGTTCGAGTGAAATAACGCAATTGGGTGACGAAACTTCGCGGATTTGAAGGCAGCCTTTAGAGCAGAAGTAGTGGACATGAGCAGTCCGAGCTTGTGACGCCTGCCGTTCTTAGCCGGAACCTTGGGTACCACCCAATCAAGTTAAATTTCGAAAATGCGATGCGAGCTAGTAATAAGCATCCTAGTGGCCTGGGGGAACCTCGAGAATGCCGAGCTGGTTGGGAACATGCAGAACAGCATGGGCTTCAGATTCCAAATGAACGACAAACATTGGTGTGAAGGGAATTCGACTGTGCACTTCAAGAATTTTTTTTTTTTTTTGGAAGATGATATATACTGAAACAAAAGCATACACCATCGAACGGTCGTAACCGTGCGTGAGGCAACAGTAGAGCGTACTACTGTTCCAGGAAAGTTATCTAAGGCGAGTTGTTGCCAACCTTTTTCTTGGACCAGAGCGCGGCGAAGGCACTTGTCCACGTCCACCCTTTGCCATCCATCTTGATTCTGCTCAGCATTCGCTTCTCTTCCGCGAAATTTTCTTGCTCCCTTTTCTTCCGAGCTGCCCCCATCTTACGCATGTAGATCCTCGCGTGTAATCTGAAGGCAGACTCCGCCCTCCACAAAACTCTTTGCAACCGAAACTTCTGCCCCCGAAAAACAGCTTCGCATCTTTCCAACCAGATCTGATGTAGGACCACCGACGTAAGAGTCAGCTCCGGAAAAGCTGATCTGGTGCCCGTTTTCCGGAACAGCATGTCGCCCAGCGAGGCTGTAGGCCGGTTGGGGTTCAGCATGCGCAGGGCACGTCGGAGGGCCGAGGACACCACTTGTATCCTGGGGCAAAGAATGAGGCAATGCTCCAGGGTTTCTTGCTCCCCACAGTGCGGACAGGATGGCTTGCTGCTGAGGAAAGCCAACCTCTCCCCCACCTGTAAATTAAGACCGTGGATTCGTATCAACACATCACGCGGACGGCTGGGAACAGCCAGAGAGTCTCTGGATGACACCACCCTCTTCCAGTCAATGTGGTTCCCCCAGCGTACGCCCCACTTCTGCTGCTTGTATGACTGGCTGTAAGTCCCCTTCCAGCCCTCCTTCATCCGCCTCATGGTAATCACCCGCTCCCCCTCTAGAATTGGTATCCGCGTGGAAGAGCCAGCCGAGCACGGGGGTACCGTTGGGAAGCCGAGCAGTCTTTGCCAGTGAGACGGGATGGCAAGCAGCGCCCTCATCGCCAGCTTCGCAGGCCCGCTCCCTCCCAGTTCTTGCTTCAGCAGCTCCATGGATTTAACTACCGCTACGCCGTCTTCCTCCCCTTCCAGCAGATCACCAATCCTTAGCTCTGACAGCCCCTGAGCATCCTTTTGGCCTCCCAACGGATTTGTGGTACCGTTGAGGAGAACCGACGCGTTGAAAACCAGTCTCTCCGCTAGGACTTCTTCCCTGCTCCCCACCAGGTTCTTGACAGAGAAGGGGGAGCGCATAAAACTTTCCACTGTCTGCTTCCAGCGAGTACTGCCGCTTCCCCAGTGTTTTAGCAGCTGCACGTGTGCAGTGAAAGAGTCCACCCCCAGCGGGAGCTTTGCCGCCCGTTCCATGAGATCCTTTTTGAGTGGATTTCTCTCCGTGATGAAAAGCCCAACTCTCCTTGCCGCTAGACAGGTGATAAGAATCTCCGGGTCCCTGACTCCGATACCGCCGTCCAACCTTGGGGTGTACAGCAGCTCCCTGCTCCAGAGAGCGAACCCTTTCGCTGTTGCTACTCTGTTGCCCGAGGTAAAACTGTGAATCAACCGTGTGATCTCCAGCCAAATGTCTGCCGGCGGCGGGAAGATCTGCGCCTGGAAAGCCAAAATCGGCGTGATGTAGAAATTAACCACCGTCGCCCTTGCTGTAATTGTCAGGTACCTCAGCTGCCACTTGGTAAGTTTTTCCGAGATACGACTCCACGCCTTTTCCCAGGTCGGCCGACCCTGACCGGATGGCGTCACCCAAACCCCTAGCAGCCGCTCCGCTTCATCCGCTCCAGCCCATTCGAAGCTTCCTGTCCCCACTGCTCCAATATTGGCTCCCAACGGTAAGACAGCCGATTTTGCTTTATTTGTTGCCGACCCTGAAACTTTCTCGTACCGGTCCAGAATAACCTCCGCTTGTTCTATCTGCTCCTGTCCCTGCAGGATCAGTGTTGTATCGTCAGCATAACCAAGATAGCCAAGCTGGTGCCCGTCCTTCTCCAGCCCGAGCCCCTTCCTTTCCACCTCCAAGGCCAACGGCTCCACTGCACACAGGAAGAGGTAAGGAGCTAAGGGGCAGCCTTGACGTACCCCCGACACCACGTCTACCCCTTCACCAAGCCAGCCGTTAATCAGCAATTTCGTTGTCGTTCCTTCGTGCAGACCCTTTACCCAACCAACAAATCGCTCCGGAAACCCCATGGATCCCAACACCTGGAACAGGAAGTCCCTGGAGACTGAATCGAAAGCTTTCTGGAAATCCACCAGAAGCAGATACCGATCATCATTATCATTCTTCGCGCTCTCGATGATATCCGCTACCAAGGCCACTGCATCCGATAACCGCTTCCCCGGTATGAAGCCGTACTGTTCAGGTGAGATGACCATATGAAGTACTGTCTTCATCCGATCTGCCACCACCCGAGCTAGAACCTTGTATGCAAAATTCAGCAGCGTGATGGGCCGGTAGTTGTTTAACTGCTCCTTGTCCCCCTTTTTGTGAAGCAGTATCGTCACCGCCTCCTTGATTTCCGCTGGCAGCACCGCGGAACTTTCGAAGTCCTTCGCCATGGCCATAAAGCTCCCCCCCAGCAGGTCCCAATGCGCTTCAAACAGCTCTTTCGGAAGACCGTCACTGCCCGGTGATTTATTCCTCGCCATTGCTGCAAACGCTTTTTTCACCTCCTGCTCAGACCAATCCGCCGTAAGCGTTTCAGCTACAAACTTGTCCAGACGGCGGGATGGAGTAAAGCTCCAGTCAGTGTGGTCAGTACGACGATCTCTGCCGAAGATGTTCTTGAAGAAACCAGACGCCGCTGCCAAGATCTCCTTCTATCCGGTTATTGACACAGCTCCATCCTTTAGCCCCGAAATCTGCGTCCGTGCTTTCCGTGCTTGGATTTGCGCTTAGAGGTGCTTGGATGCGATCTCGCCTGTCAGCTTTGCCGTTGAGCCAGCGTGAAGGTGCAAACGGTCTTTCCGTGCCGACTGATACATCTTCAGCTGCACCTCCTTCGACCTCAGCAACTCCCGCGTCCTTGAACAGTTGGGATTTCTCATCATCTCCTGCGTCAAAACTGCAACCGTGTTAGTCAGGTGAGTCATTGTCGCCCGCACCCGTTTGCTCTCCTCTTTTACGTAAGCCCTGAGCCCAGCGCTCAGCCTTGCTACCAAAAGCTCGAAGCTGCTTCCGTCGTTAACCGGAGTTCGCCGGACCGTAGCTTCGATAATCTTCCTCACCCCGGGTCGGTTAACCATAGAGGCATGCAGCCGCCAAAGACCTGGACCTGTGCAGGCTTTTTCGTCCAGTCTGAAGGCGACCAGCACAGCACAACTGTGGTCTGCTACAGGCTCGTCAGGCTTGATGTGCGCAGCAACTGTCAGGTAAGGCAGTAAGGATTGCGAGACTAAAGCGCGATCTATCCGTGTGCTGACCCGCTTGGACTTAGAGTAAAAAGTGTATTCCCGGCGGCCAGGGTGAAGTATGCGAAATGCGTCAGAGAGCTGGAAGGTCCTAAAGCGCTGGAAAAACTTCTCGTTCTCACTTGATACCCCCTTACCAGACGATTTGTCCAGCTTGGTGTTCTCTACATGGTTAAAGTCCCCTATGATGAGCAGGTGCGCGGTAGCTGGGATGCTATCTATGAGAGGACCAAGGGAGTCCCTGAGGAAGACTGCTCTAGATTGCGGACACGATGGGAAGTAAGCTGCGACTAAGGTGAGTTCAGGACCGTGTCCCCTAACAGTGGTCTGAATGATTCTACCTGATGCGTGAGCTACTGTATCATGGAAGGTGATGGACGAGTCTCGGCTGAGGACGGCTACTCCGCCAGCTCTGGATCGTGGAGCTGTTGCTAAGACAGTGTAGGAGGAGAGTTTTTTCCAGTACTGGTGATCAGGTCCTATTCTGGTGTCTACTAGTACAGCTATGTCTCCTGCTTGACTAAACCAGCTATTAACTCGGCTCTGTTTAACGAAATTATGGAGTCCGTTAACGTTGAGGCTCGAGACGGTGAGGAGGTTTTTTGTACTCATGGTTCCACTGGCTTGCAGCCCCTGTTCATCATCCACAGGCTGATAAAGGAAACGGTACAACCAATGCTGACTCCTAAACACCAACAAGCCGCTGCAACCAGGTAACTCTCAGGGACTTTCAGAGGCCATACTCCTTGCGAATGATATCGAGGTGCAACTTGTCGAGCGATTCCTTCGTTGCAGAACCCGCTTTCGCAAGCTCTAGCAGGTGAGCAGTAGCGGAGATGTGATCCGCAGCAGCCATAAGGCTCTTCCCTTTTGCTTTTCCACATCCCGACTGTGTGCAGATCCAGTCTTCCCTGCTGCCGCCGGTAGAGACGAGAGCGATGGCTGGGTCGCGAAGAATCGGAAGGAAAAGCGATGACGCTTTCAGCGACGCAGCTGCGAAGATCCGACGCAAGGTTAGTACGTAAGTACGAGGAGCGAAGCAAGAAGCGGAGAAAAGGGTGGCTGCTAATTTTACCGTTGAGTCTGTGCACTTTGCCAAGGGTAAGGTTCCATTTACTAACGTTATTCTGACGCTCAGTGATAAAAGCATCATGATACTTATCATAATGCTTGCCGCCGCAGAGCGAACAGGATAAGGTCGGATAATGGACCAGCAACTTCTTCGCCCGGTCAGCAGGATCAGCGATCACATGAATCCACCGGCGGTTGCGGTTTTCCGGGTGAGCATAGACCAGTCCCTTCACGACGTCCGTGTCAGCACCAGTGACGGGATGAAGCACCCGATGCAGACAGGTACACCGCAGGAAAGCCGTGCGCTGAGTACTCTTGAGCAGATAGACAGCCATGCGATCATGAATCAGAACCAACTCAACTGCCGCGGAGACTCCCCTGATCATGAACTCAATGGCTTGCGGGTTCATCGCCTTTTCCCGAGCGAAAGCAGAGTCTTCAGTGTGGAGCCAATGGAGTGTGATAAGCTGGCCTTGGTTCTTGAGAGGCTGGTAGATAACTTCCTTCCTTCTCACCCATTCAGCATCTGACTCCTTTGCGAATGATACTTGCAGGCGGCAATAACGTGTCTTGGCAATGTAAGACGACTGAAGCTCCTGGAACTTGGTCGTCAAGGCAGCATCATCTGAAAGGTCCGTATACCATCCGTGTTTTATCAGTGCCTTAACAGCATCAATCACACAGGAAATCTCCTTGTGCAGCATAAACGGGATCAGCAAAATAGCGACGGAGCGCAAACCGGAACCAGCCTCCTTAACCACGTCGATGATCATCTCGTCGTCAGAGTCGTCATCGATGAAACCGTCTTCATCCGTAAGTCCGACCGAAGGGATGGTAGCCTTGTCATTGTCAGAAAGACCAGAGCCACCAGCCTCTGACATTGTTGCCTTGCCATTGTCGCTGATGACAGGAGCCTGAGCGCTGACTGAACCAACAGCCTCCGAGGAACCAGCGACAACATTGTCATCCTTGGCCAAAGCAGGAGGAGTAACATCAGCAGCAGGCGGATCCGTCGTCTGCTTGTTGCGAGAGCCCTTCGGATTCGCCATGGTGCAATGATGACGAGCAGGCAGGAAATAGGTGCACTGAGCACAAACAGAGGTCCGCAGCGGCCGATGATGAGCCTGAAGTCTGAGCACTTCATTGTTAAATAATAGCTGTGACTTGTCAGGGTCCAGCAATTCTTGCTGGTGATGTTGGAAACCCGAGGTTAGCACCTTGGGAGCAGCGCGATCAATAATGCAGATAGTGTTGTTAGCGCACACGGAGTATGAAACACCATTGTTAAAGAAACAGAGCCATTGATAGCGTTGCCTTGAGAATGCCTGACAAACCCCTGGGATGATCGTCTCGTAACCGGTTGAGCCAATGTCAGCATAAATGACAGGTCTCCCGAAAGCTGAGTTCAAGACGAATCTTAAGATTGAATCAGAAGGTTGTGCAGAACTGTGTAACGCGGACATTGAGCGGCTCGAAGCTGACGAAATCCATGGCGGCGAGCTAATCTCGAGAGTCATTGTCGTTTCATCCCCTTCCTCTATAAATGGTTTTACCAGTTGTGTTCGATGTGCACTTCAAGAAATATATAACTAGAAGAGAATTGCCACGTGGGTGATACCAGCTAGTATTTAGCGTGAATACAGCAGCAACTAAGGCAGGAATAAGAATAATGCACATTCACGTTTCTTGGTATTACACATCCATGCCCAGCATTGGCTGCACTACCAGTTGCGATCTAACCACATGCAGCCCGTCACTCCAAGTGATGCTACCAGAGAAGAACCTCGCTCTAGTTTCAGTTGGGGTTATCCACACCGAGTACCAAACACTTTGGTTTGGATATATAGTAAACTGGGAAGGAACCACTTTTACCTGTGCACCTTCCGGCACTTCAAGCGTGCAAGTGTACTTCGCAGCGCGTAACGCCACATTGGTAACCCGCCTGGTTACCTGAACAGTCTTGTTCAGCCGCGCGACGACGATATTCGGCTGGTTGAGCATATAAGGCTTCACTGGGTCCAACTGTTTTGGCCGAAAAATCCCCTTGGTAAGCCCGTAGCGAAGACCCGCGAGGAAATTTATGTACCCCTCGATTCCGACGTCGTAGACCAATCCGGGGCTGAGAACTCGCGAGGGAACCACGTGTCCAGATCCGAACACCCAGGGATTCGCGTCGACCCACGTGGACATTTGTATCGGCTGTCCCCATGCGTCTTTCACTCTCGCTGTGGTCATTAGTGCGGATTTCACTGCAGCCGGCGTCCAATCCGGATGCTTCTGCATCACCATCGCTGCGATCCCAGCCACACACGCCGCCGAAACCGACGTCCCGGATTGCATCGAGAACCCCGGGGAGTTTCCGTAGGCTGCCGCGGCGAGGATAGTAAGTCCCGGAGCAACTAAATCGGGCTTTAAGACGTCGTTGGTAATGGTGGGAAGGGCACGATAAGGGTAGCCTGGGCGATAGGGCGGTCCCGAGGAGGAGAAATACGCCATTATTGGCGATCGGACTTTTCTCGGCTGCTCCAACACGAGATGGGAGAGAGTAGCGGTGGGACTTGCTGTCTTCATGATGTAATCTCGTATAAGCACACCCTTGGGGTACCCAAAGGAAATCACCGGGAAATTCCCGCTCACGCTGCGCACGCTCTCATTGGAGTTCCTCGGTATAAGCACCATGCCTCTCGCCCCCGCGTCCTGCACCGTCCGCGCTTTCCTCTCCGGACTAATCCCGCCGATGAAACACAAGACGAGCCCGCCGCCCACTTTCTCGGCGTCGATCTTCCCCGGGCGGCACTGCCGCGCCTCCCAAAGGGAAGCGCCTTTGGCATGGGCCTCCTCGGAGTCAATGAGGGGGAGGTTGGCGGTGAGCACGCCGTCGCCGCCCGTCTGGGTGAGGCCGAAAAGGACAGTGCCGTTGCCGAGGGTGAGCGTGGCGCTCCACTCGCGATCCGTGGCGCTGGGGGGTGGGGAGGGAGGGGGGCAGGGGAGAGTTCTGTACTGTTAGGTCACATGAAAGAAGTAGTGTTTTGAGACATCTCAGAAGTTCTGTACTGTTACGTCAAGAATCATGGGTGGGTGCCACCTCCCAAAGAGAGGCGCCTGTTGCATGGGCCTCCTCGGAGTCAATCAGGGGGAGGTTGGCCGTGAGCACGCCGATGCCGCCTGTCTAAGTGAGCCCGAAGAGCGCAGTGCCGTTGTTGAGGGTGAGAGTAGCGCTTCATTCGCGATTGGTAGCGCTGAGAGGATGAGGGGCGGGTTAAAGGGAATGGATTGGGGGGAGGGAGGGGGAGGGAGCGGGAGGGAGCAGGAGGGAGAGGAACAAGGCCGGTGTGGACGAGGCCGAAGAGGACTGTGCCGTTGCCGAGGGTTGGTCGTGAGCACTCCACTCGCGATCGGTGGCAATAGAAGGGGGAAGGGAGGAGGATCAAATATTCCGTGCCTCCTTCGCTGTTGGTTCCCTTACCCCCTGTTGGTTCCCTTACCCACTGCTTCCCTCTTCCCCATCCCCCCCACTCCCATCCTTCCCTCCTCCCCCCCTCCCCGCTTTCACCGCCCATCCGCCTTTCCCCCTCCTGCACCGCCCCGTACCCCCCTTTTCCATTCTTCCATCTAATGTCTCACCTTGCTCCGACTGTGAGTATATAGGGGGCGACATTCGTGAGAGTGCGCCAATAGGTGGGCGTTGGGGGAGGCCCGTTGTTGCCTGCTGGCGCCACCACCAGCACTCCCGCCTGCAGAGCGAACGTGGAGAGGGAGAGAGAGAGAAAAAAACGAAATAAAGTCAGTGAACAAAATTAGTTGTAACATGAACGTACGACAAATTTGTATAAGAAAAGTTATGTATATACATTTATGAATGTTTAGGGAGGAGTACACCCACCCACCGCCCACCACCCACCTGAACCGCGCGTAACAAAAAGATGGAGTTGAAATAGTTGTCGTCCGTGCCGCCCACCGCTAGCGACAACACATCAACCCCGTCCTTCACCGCGTCTTCCACAGCAGCCATGACGTCAGCAAGGCTGCTCATGCCGCCCCAGATAACTTTGTACACCGCGATGCGCGCGCGAGGCGCCACGCCGCTGAGCGACCCGAGAGTTGCGTAGTTGACCTTCACTCCCGCGTTCCCTGCCGCGACGCTGTTTGGGGCGGGACACATTAGAGGAGGGAAGGTGAGTCGGGGGGAGGCGGGAATATGCGCGGGGGAAGGGGGAAGATGAGACGGGGGGAGGGAAAAAGTGGAAACGCGGGAGGGGATATTGGGGGAGGAGGAAATATGAGTGGGGGGAGCGAGAAAAAGGAGACGGGGGAGGGGGACAGAGGACCCCTTGCCCCGTGCCCCGCGGCCCTTACCCCTTGCCACGCGTTTTCACGCCCCGCGCCCCGCGCCCCAAGACTTACCCAGCGCAGAACGTGCCGTGTCCCATGGCGTCGCGCGGCGACCGGTACTTCCCCTTCGCCAACGCGCCTTCGCCGTACTCCTGTAGAAACCCGTTCATATATAACCCCTTGGCCTTGCCCATCCCATGCCCTTTGCCCATCCCGTGCCCCTTGCCCCGTGCCCCTTGCTCCGTGCCCCGCGCCCGGTTCCCCGCGCCCGGTGCCCCGCGCCCCGTGCCCCGCGCCCGGTGCCCCGCTCTCCGCGCACCAAGACTCACCCCGCGCAGAACGTGCCGTGTCCCATGGCGTCGCGCGGCGACCGGTACTCCCCCTTCGCCAACGCGCCCGCGCCGTACTCTTGTAGAAACCCGTCCATATAGTACCGCGCCCCGACGATCTTATTGTTACACCCGTTGAAGTCGCGCGTTACGTTACAAACCCCGCGCCAACCTGTCAAAAGTTGCGACCCGGAATATCCGCGACCCGAGAAAGACGGGTGCTGCGGCCATATCCCCGAGTCGACGAATCCGATCACCATGTTATCGCCAGCGTATCTCGCGCCGCCAAACGCGGCCCACGTGGTCCGGGGCAGCTGCAGGTATCCCGGGACGTGCGTCATCATTGGTCGAAGCGATCGCATTCGCGAAACGCGGTGCACGCCAGGATGCCGCTTTAATAGCTGGACCTGCTCTGACGTAAGTCGCGCCGCGAACGCGTTAGCTACGTAGTGGTAGCTATAGACTAAGTCCGAGCCGCTTAGTCCGACGTCTGCTAAAGTCTCCTCGTGCGTGGATCTCAAATGCTGCGCGTACGCCTTAACATGCGGGGATGACGGGTCCGGTCGATGCGCTTTGGCTCTCTCCCTCGGCTTGCTGCTTCCCCCGCTGCTTCCCCCGCTGCTGCCTTTCAAACCCCGACGAATGCTGCCACCCATTAGCGCGCCCGCTCGTAACCGTCTATCCTGTAGCCGTCTCTTGCGAAACCGCGCTCTTTGTAACCCTTCCCCTTGTAACCGTCTTTCGCGTACACCACGATGGTGTGTATGTCTCGATAGTGAGTGTCTCGCTTCTACACCTTGTTTTTCCCCCTGTAACAGCTTCCTCCTACCTCGCGAATCCTCTGTTCGCGAATCTGGTGCTGGTAACCCTTCCTCTCCTAATCCTGTTCCCTCCCCTAACACTGCCTCCTGTAACGGTTCCTCTTGTAACCGTCTTTCGTCAATCTGCATAGCCGAAATTCCTTCGACACCCTTCCCTCCCTTCCAGCTACCGCCCTTCCGATCTTTTATCGCATCCCTAACCGTCCTATCGCCCCCTTCCTTGTAACCATCCCTTCTCTCATTAACACCATCGCTACTATCACTATCTCGGTAATCCCCGTAGTAATCCCGATAGTCGTAATCACCAGCCTCCCCTCGTCTGCTTCTTTCATTTCCCAATTCTACACTCTCCTCTCCCTCCTCCGCCTCCTCCTCTCCCTCCTCCTCCTCCTCCTCCTCCTCCTCTGTAGCAGCTGCTGTAGCAGTCGCCTGTAGCCCGTCCACGCCGCCGTGATAGCTTATCACGGGCGGCAGCGCCTTCATGTACACCGTGTACAGCTGCCGGCTGTAGCTCACGGACCCCAGCGACACGTGGCGGGAAATCGAGGCGGCGGCGGAGGACGAAAAGGACGGCTGCGATTCCGTGTTTGTACGCGTTACAAGGGTCGCCGAAACAAGCAGAATCATCAACAGCGGTAACAGTGCTGTCTGGGATTTCCGTGCCATGGTGAAGTGCGGTGGCCCCTCGCGAGGTGTATTTTATCCCCGATATTGCCAACTCGTATGGGACCGTTGATGATAGTCTCGCAAGGTCCAGTTTATCCCCGATATTGTTGTGAGCATCTACGCCCATACATTAGGCGCTACGAATGGATACTGCGCAAACCCAAGAACTGTAAAGACAGGGAAGACGCTCGTTGACATTTCAGTGGTACCGACGGCTCGGTCGCACGGGAGCGAAAGTAAGCGACAGGACGACTCGGTCGAACGGAAGCGACAGTACGACAGGACGAATTGGGCGCAAGGAGGCGTCACAAACGGCAGCACGCGCCACGAACTAGAACAAGACAACTTGGATTGCGGAGCGAAATGCGGCAGCGCGTTTCAAAACTGTTGCGCCTAAGTGTGTTTAGCTGCTCGCAAGATCTCCAGGACTCTGGAAGCAGAAGTGACGCGAGCCAGTAAGCACTACGTATCAGAACGGCGAAACCCTAAAGCTACCTTGCAACTGAGCAATTCCGAAGTTTCGAACGAGAGGGAAGCGGCTCGGAGAGAGAGATGGGCATAACGGCTCAATGTTCCACCAACCCCACCGCAAGAGCTTCGGGGTCATGGTCCACGACACGACATGGCACACACGAGCTGCTGAGCTTGGGTGTCATGGTTATGCCGCGTGAGTTAGGGAACCGAAACGGGCCACTCACTCACACCGTCAAACACACATGCACTAGCCATCCCATGATATCATCAGTCCTTTGTATGCTATACTGTGAGTCCCCCGACTCTGCCAGTCCTCGGGTGAGGGGGGGAGACACAGCACCAAAGCACCGTACACCACCGAATGGTGGTAATTTCAGTTCTATCCACAGTGCGTTGTTGATGTTTGATGTTTACTGTATGCGACTCCAGAGCCTTCTCAAGCTGAGTGTACAGAGGGACCCCGTTTAGTTATACCGTTCTGAAACGCAACGCACCATGGTTTTTGAATCGAAATCATGTGAACGCTTGGCAGGTGTAAGCTGGACGAGGTGGTGGTGGGGACTCGGGAGAGGTAAAACGAAGCGCTGTGGTGCCCAAGAAGAAACCTGAAGTCAGCATGTTATCAGGTGCCTGCGAAAACGAGTCGCTGTTGCCGTTCCCAATGTGTTCATGTGCATGTCTTTCCCATGCCATGGTGCCATGGCAGGCCAAATGTTCCGCCGGGCCACGAACTGAGGCTCGGAGACGTGTTTCTGCACGAAAGTCGAGCTTCGGAAACCGTCGAAGCTTCTACATGGCACTTGACCAGTCTCGTTGGTGAGCGCGGTTTGCGGCGAATGAAACGCATGCATTTTCCGTCAACGTCAATTTTCTTGTCGGGGGCACCGCACGCGGTTCCAAAATTCTCCAACTACCGTTACCGTTTCGTTCGTGCTTTCGATCCCTCGCCCCAGGGAGAGAAGATAATCGATGAAAAATGTCGGTGCCGTGTGCGAACAAATGCGAGCGACACGACTTACTGGGATCTGTCTACACGTTCCACATTTCTGGGAACACACATGCCAACTTTCCGTGGTTTTGGCATGCCCGTCGCCCATCAGCGCACGATGCGTCATATGAGATGTTCCACAGCGTCGGTGCGCGTCGTGTGCGAAACTCGTTACGCTACACATAATGCAGTAGAGATCAATGTGAACAGAAAACTATAAATGAGTCAGAAATGAGAAACATTGTTAACGAAGTTGAGAGGATGTCAGGGAAGTTAAACAAATGGACACCTGCAACCTTGCAAGTTTCCAGGTCAGATAAGGTTATAAGTTATTGCCCTCTTAAATGCACAAGATAGTGCAATAAGGACAAGACTGTTACCTGCAGTTGGGCCCATCTCCCCCATCATATGCACCCCTGCAGTCACGAGCATTTTACCTCCTCAGCAGCTTCCTCCCGTACCACACATTGGGATCTATACGCGCAGTCAGGGATTTTGATACCCGCTTCCGAGAAACTTCGACGGCAGCACAAGATCAAACGGCCACGAGAGCATATCGCCAAACCGTAAATCCTGCTGATGACCCTCCCACAATCCACTAGGGCTACCCCCATCCTCCTCACCGCTCCCACTCCCACCATCCCTCCCTACCCCACCACCTCCTCCACTACCCCCTCCTCCTACCACAACCCCAACATTCCCCCCTTCCCCTTGACCATTCCCCCCTGACGAACTCCCCCCTGCCCCCCCCGCCCCCACACCACCCCTTCCACTCCCCCCAGCGCTATCCACTCCTCCCCATGCATTCTCCCCTCCAGCTGCCGCCCTCCCTCGCCCGGCCCTTCCAGCCATCCATCTCTTCACCTTCGCCAGCTCCTCTCTGCTCCTCGCGGCCTCCCTCTCCCTCGCCTTGGCAGCAGCTCTCGCCTCCCTCGCCTCATCTCTCAGCGCCTCCACCTCTTCAGCCAGCTGGATCAGAGTCTTCTGCTTCGCCTCAGCAAACGCTGCTGATTCTTCCGCGTGCCGTTTGTCGCCGTGTGCCGCATGCACCACCCGCATGCTCAGCTTTTCCGTTCGGGCCTTTGCTGCTCGTAGCTGAAGCGTCAGCTCCTCGTGCCGAGCCTCCAGGTCCGTTATCCGAGCCTCGGCTTCCCTCGCCCGAGCCTCGGCTTCTGCTGCCCGAGCCTCAGCTTGGGCGACTTGGCCAGCATCAGTCCCTGAAGACCGGAACATCCGAGCCTCAGCCTCCGCTTTCGACACCCGTGCCTCCGTTTCCGCTCTGGACGCCTGAGCCGTAGCCTCGGTAACCCGGCGCTCAGCCTCGGAAGCACGACGCTCAGCCTCGGAAATAACCTCACGGGCAGTTTCGGCATTGGCTCGGGCAGCAGCAGCTTCGGACTGGGACCTCTCAAGCTCGCTTTCTAGCCTTGCGGCTTTCTCCTCTGTCCGACGCAACCTCTCCTCCGTCACCCACAATTCCCTCTCCAGAAACTCAATCCGCGCCCGCAACTGCACCCGCTCTGCTTCCGCAGCTCCTGCTGCTGCTTCGGCTCGTGCAGCCTCGGCAGCTCCCGAAGCAGCTGCCTTGGCGGCCTCCTCCTGCTTCCGAGCCCGAGCCTCTGAGCCAGGCTTAGCAGGGCTGCTGAGAGGCGTAACTTCCTGTACCCCTGCCCCCACCCCTGCCCCTGCGCCTCCTGCTCCTCCACCTACCCCTGCTTTTTGCCGCAGTTCCTCCAGCTCGCGTTTGATATGGGACGCCTCCTCCTCCTGCTTCACCAGCATCGTCTGCAAGAAGCGGACGAGCGTCTTCAGCCCGCGGTTCTCCTTAGTCAGTTGCTCTATAAGTGGGCCGTTACTGTTCCCCTCCATCACCACCCCTGCCCCTCCGCTCACCAATCCCTGCTCCCACTTGCCCTTCTGTTCACTTCCCCCTCCGCCGCTTCCTCCGCTCACCCCTCCCTTCCCATCCGCTGCCCCTAGTAACGATTTCCCCCCACCACTGCCGCCTGAGAGATATTCGGGACACCAAGTAAGGCTGCTTCCGCTGCTGTTGCTGCTGCTGCTGCTCCTGCTGCTGCTGATGCTGCTGCTGCCCATGCTCCCGTGGGTGATAATACTGCTACCGCTCGTCGTGCTACAGCCGCTACAGCCGCTCAGCACGCTGCTGTTGCTCCCGCGAATCCCAATCGTGCGCTCCAGCGGCCGGCACGCCAGCTCCAGCAAACTACGAGTAACACCTTCCCCAGGGTTATTTACCCTGGAAATCCCAGCCTCGTATGCGCCCACTGGGGAGTATCCCGGTGCAGCTGAACCAGCAATCTTGTGGCCGCAAGGGGAACTTACGGTACTACCCATCTTATACGTGTATCCCCCATCTTCTGCCCTCTCCCCTCCGCTCTGCCGCCCCTTTTCCGCCTCTCGCCTCTCCCTTTCCCCCAAAATGCTCCGCAAGACACTTTCTTCCGCCCGCCTCCTCCCCTCCTCCGCCTTCCGCCGCCCCTCTTCCGCCTGCAGCCTCCCCTCCTCCGCCACCTTTTTCCCCGCCTCTGCAACCTCCTTCGCTGACTCAGCAGCCACTTTCGCTGACTCAGCAGCGTCTCTTGCTGACTGGGCTGCCGCCAAAGCTGCCTCCGCCGTCACAACATCCGCGTTAAGAGCTTCTATCCGCGCCTCTGCTTCTTTAAGCGACTTTCGCAACCGCTCGTTCTCCTGCCGTAGCAGCACTAGAAGAGAATCCATGGGGCCCTTATTACCCCCAGATGAACCTGCCCCAGATAAACCTCCCCCAGTAGCCCCTTCACCACAACCGCCGCCTGCTGCCGGGCTTCCCACCTCCGAGCCAACGACCGAACCGCCGCCGGGACTGCGTAGGTTGCCGAGCCTGGTTGCTCCGGGCCGAGCCAGCCTGGGGGAGGCGCTGCTAGCCGGGCTACTGCCGCCGAACCCGCCGCAGCTGCAGGTTTCACCCTCCTTCCTCTCCGCCCCGCCCCCCTGCGTTTTCACCTGCGACTCGGCTTGCCGTTGCCAGTGCCTGATCTCCCGGCAGGCAAGCTCCAGGTCTCTCCTCATCTGTTCGTTTCTCCTGACCACCACCGCAAGCTCCGCTTTCAGCGCCTGCGCCGCCTCCCCATCTCCCGTCGTTCCGCCCACACGGAGGTTGTCCGCGCCCGTTCCGCCGCCTCCGCTTCCGCCTCCGCGCGAGAGAGCCGCCGCGTCCAGCCGTTTCTGCAAGCCCTCGTTTCTCCCCTTAGCTTCCGCGAGCTCCCCCAAAAGCTCCGCGTTCTCCTCACGAGCTTCCGCCAGCTCCTTCTGAGTTTGCGCGCCTTTGGCGGCCAGCGCGCGGACCTGCTCCCGCTGTTCCGCGCATTCCTCAAGCGCTCTCCGCAGCTCCGCCTGCGCCGCCTGCGCCGCCTCCTCCAGCTGCCGGAGCTCCGCGTTTGCGCTCGCCAACTGGCGCACCTCCCCGCGTAACCTCCCATTCTCCAGCGCCAAGTCCGCCGCGCGCTCCTGCTCCTTCACCAGCCGCGCGCGCATCTCCTCCGCACTCGCGCGCAACTCCACCATCTGCGCATTTGTTGCTTTGAAACTCTCTTCCGCTTTCCGCCTCTCCGCCTCCGCTGCGCGCAGCCCGTCTTCCAACTCGCGGCTTTCCGCCAGTGCGGAGCCCAACCTTTCTCGGGAAAGCTCCGCCCCTCCGCGGAGGGCGTCGTTCTCCGCCCGGAGCATCCGCGCGTCGTCTTGCGCCGATTGCAGCTGCGCCTGCCACTGCTCCCGCTGCTGGCGCAACTCCGCCTGCCAGCGTTCCTGAAGCTCCCGCTCCTGCGCCTCAAGGTGGACTTTCCGCCGCGCTTCATTCTCCCGCCGCTCCGCTTCCACATCCCGCCGTTGCGCCTCTAGCTCCCGCCGCTGCCCCTCGAGCTTCCCCTCAAGTTCCCGCACGTCTTCCCAGGCGGACTGCAGCCCGCGGCGCAACTCCGCGCACTCGTCTTGCGCGGCGGAAGCTTCGTTCTGCGCTCGGCGAAGCTGCTCCTGCAGATCCTCCACTATCAAATCAACTCTTACCGCTTCCTTCGCCACAATACGCGTCTGCTCCATAGCAGACGCTACTGTGGATGAACTCGAGGAAGCCACTAACGAGGATGGAGTACCTGGCCGCTGCTCCGATTTAAGAATCCCGCTGTTGCTTATCGTTCTCCGATGGTAATCCAGGCCGGCTTTTCCATACTCGTCCGCAACTTCGCTAACCACCACGCTACTAGACCTCCCGACACCATCACGCTCCAAATCCTTCCACTTAACCTGCCGGCTAGCCCTCGCCTTATCGCTCAAATATGCTGCTGTCGTCGTTTTGTCGTTCAGAAGCGCGGGAAGAACCTCCTGGTGAATCACACTCGATAAAAGGTGCACCGACGCGCTTGTCTGCGTCCGCAACGGTAGTGACGCCGCGTCGCTCAACCTGTCGCTCAACCTGTCGCCTAACCTGTCGTTTAACCTGTCGCCGTACGTGTCGCTTAACCTGTCGCCGAGTCTGTCACCGACACGTGTTGCTTCTCTATCTCCGGACCGGGGTGTAGTCGGCCTGCTTCCATATCGGTCGCTTAGTCTGTCGGCTAGACTGTCGCCCAACCTGTCGCTTAACCTGTCGCCGTGCCTGTCGCCATAACGATCGCAGTCGTCGCCGGACGTAAAACTAGCGGCTGGATTGGGCGTTAGCGATTGAGATCGAGGCATTTGATTCGCCGTTGCCCAGTGCTGGTTGCGAAGGCGCTCTATGATGCCGTTTATGTCGTCCTCGTGCATTGGCTCGTCGTCTTCATCCAACGGCCGGCTGCCGCTGGATGCGGAAGATCCTGACCGTCGCATGGTGGGTGAAGGAGAATCTAATCTGGCGATGTGAAGGAAATGGTGCTAAGATTGTCACAGATCTAAGGAAAGCCTCGGACTAATAGAGGAGACGAAGCCAACGGAACGCATGTCGCGTGATATACAGCAATAAATATACATCTGCTAGGACGTAAGTTAACTACTGCTATTATGCGTTGCGTACACTCGAAACGGATGACGTAATGCCGAGGGCAGACAAAGGTCTGGGAGGGAAGCTAAGCGTGAACTAGAACGGGGCAACTGCAACACAAGTCCAAAGAACTAGAACCCTTGGTTGTGGGCTGTGTGGTGGTGTTATCTGGACCGCCATTGCTCTGCCTTGCATGGTTTGGAAAAAAACCGCCACACGGGTTCCAAAAAACTCGGATGCATCCTATAAACCGCTTTGATTATGGTCGGAAACTCTCAGACCGTGAAGAAACGTACTCAGCCGTACTCAACGAGGGGAAGCCATCTGCGAACTACGAGATTGAAGCGATAGATCCAACCCCAAGCAAGACATCTTGCCAAGCTGGGTTTCACTGTAGGTGCGGAGCGAAAGCGGGCAAAGGGAGGGGGGAAATGGGGATTGGGGGGGAAATAGGGACCGCGGGGAGTGGGAAACTGCTGGGCTTTGGGTGTGGGTGTGCGGGCGCGAGCCAAGCAAGGGGGAAGGAAAGCTTGGGAAAAGGGGGAGAAGTACAGTACAAGGGAGCGGGGAAAGGACCAGCGCGAGGAGGGGGAGAAAGCATGACTGAAAAACTACTCTTTCCGCAGGTCCGTCCAACGCGTCTGTGACTGTGACTGAAAATTTGGCGGAAACAAGGGGCCAGCCGAAGCGCCCCTGGGTTTCAGCCAGCATGGCGCGCAGCTCTGCTAAACAGATCAGAAAGTGACCTGTGATTTCGTTGGCTGGGAGACTGACACACGAAGCCACGACTCGGCTCTCCCGCTTTCGCAAAATTGCGGCGAACAAGGGCGAACGACCGTGCAGTCGCTGACGGGTTGATGTGTGACGGTTGACCGTCTGGCCGAAATGTGCCTGACGACCTCGATGTAACTACCCCGACACGTGGCAGCCCTTTCGTTTGTGGCTGATTGACATCCGCCATTCAAGACATCCGCTGTTGGTCGCAAGGGCCGTGTAACTCAAGGATCTCTAGAATACGCGATCCAAATACCGTAACATGAAGAACCTCACTAATTTGCTGACTGAAGCCACCAGTGCTAAAGAATCAATAATAATAACAGTAATAGTCAAGTACCATCAGTTAACCTCAGTTAGCAAGCCTATAACATAAGCACTACATCCACTACAGGTTAGCAAATGTAAGCCGCTCAACAAGGAGTTGAGAGCCTCTCAATTAGCTCCAACATCTCTCGAACCAAGGTTGGCTGTTTCAGCTCAGCCCACCAATTCAAGCCACGAGAGCAACCGGGAGACATCCTTATTCCAACTCACACCCACGGCTGCACTGAACACGACTGACATACAGAGCAGAAAACCCTGATCACTTCTCACAATAATCTCCACAGGACCATGCACCACACCTCCTTGCACCTAGCCCCACCCACCCCACCCCACCACACCGCACACCCCTCCCCACCCCATCCTAAAACACCCTCTTTATTTCCTCGGTTATTCCACATCCTCCATGCAATCCTCCCCGCCCTGACCTCGTCGTGGCTTGCCCCATACCTTGCCTCACGGCTTGCCCCATACCTTGCCTCACGGCTTGCCTCGAAACACAGCCTCACCACACCAGGTTACATTGCCACCACTCCTCACACCTCCCCCCCCCCACCCATACCAACTGCTTACCCCAACCTCACAGCGGCTTCAACACAGCGTCCCTCACTTGGACTTGATCTCAATTGGCTGCACGGCCAGCACGCTCCGCACCTCATGCCCATGCGCACCATCCCCCCTCGCCCCCTGCAGCAGCCCCACTATCCCTCACTTGGATTTGACCTCAATCGGCTGCACAAAGCACGCTCCGCACCTCATGCCCATGCGCACCATCCCCCCTCGCCCCCTGCAGCAGCCCCACTATCCCTCACTTGGATTTGATCTCAATCGGTTGCACGGCCAGCACGCTCCGCACCTCATGCACGCCGTCCTTCCACGTGATGCTCCCAAACGTGAAGTTCTTCTGAACCGCCTTGGGAATAATCGTCACGTTATACGCCGCCCGCTGCCCGGGCCTTAAAGTCAGCTTCGACGGACTCACCGACACGCTCACCCCGTCGGGCTTCACCAGGTAGAGTTTATACGTGGACGTTTTATACTCCACGTTCGTGACCCACCGCGTCACGTTGAGCGTCTTTTTCATCCTGCCTATCGCGATATTCGGCTGGTTCAGATCGTACGTCTCGATAGGAGACAGCGCCGCTGCCGGAAAAGCCGCCTCGGCCTTTTTCTCGTCCAATCCCGCGAGGAAATTAATGTAGTTTGTCGCCCGCACGTCGTAAACTAGACCCGGATTTAACGATTTCGAAGGGGTAATATGCCCTGAGCCGAATTGCCAGGGGGACGCATACGTCCAATCCCACGAGCGAATCCCCTTCCCCCACATGTCCTTCACCGAAGCAGTCGTCATCATAGCCGATTTCACCATTCCCGGAGTCCACCGGGGGTACTTCTGAATCAGCAGCGCCGCAACACCCGCAGCGACAGAAGCCGCAGCAGAGGTGCCGCTGTTGAGCTTGAAACCGGGGGAAGCGGCGTTACCGGTGTTGGTGGAAGAGAGGAGCGCGAGGCCGGGGGCGGTGATGTCGGGCTTGAGGATGGCGTTGGTGACGGTGGGGTTCTTGGGGGTGGACACCCAGGGGTCGAGAGGCGGACCCGAGGAGGAAAAGTAGGCCATCACTGGCGCGAGCGTGCCCTTGGGGAGGGTGTAGAGGATGGGGGATATAGAAACCGTCGGCCTGGGGGGGAGGAGGGGAGGAGGGATGTGTGCAGGGGGGTTGGAAGAGGAAGGGAGGGTGAGGAGGAGAAGTGGGCCATGACTAGCGCGAGCGTGCCCTTGGGAAGGGTGTAGAGGATGGGGGATATGGAGACTGTGGGCTTGGGGATGGGATGGGAGGGAGGGGAGGGAAAGGGGGATGGGGGGGGGAGGGAGTGAGGGAGTTGGTGGAAGAGAGGAGGGCGAGGCACGAGGGAGTTAGTCCAAGAGAGAGGAGGGCGAGACTGGGGGAGGGGAGGTGATGTCGGGTTGAAGGATGCCGTTGGTGACGGTGGGGTTGTTGGGGTAGGGGGATGCTAAAAGCCACCCCCGGGAACGTCCCGGTGGTGACTGACCTGATCCGGGACCACCAGCAGCACCGCTGGCAGCAGCACCCCCTTGCTACCCGCAGCAGCAGCACTGGCAGCAACAGCATGCCTGAACCGAACAAATGAGAAGCAGCTTACTTGGTAGCGTTTTTGAGATACTCCTTGATAGATAGCTTGAGATATGGTCATGCCAAAAGTCACCCCCGGAAGGTCCAGGTCAGCGACCGCTTGCGCTGCCGAGGACTCTGTACCGCCAGCAGCACCACCAGCAGCACCGCCAGCAGCACCGCCAGCAGCACCGCCAGCAGCACCGCCACCAGCACAGCACCAGCAGCAGCCCTGCTGCTGCTCACCTACTGTCCTACTTGCTGTCTTACTTGGTAGCGCTCTTGAGATAGTCCTTGATGGCTTGAGATATGGTCATGCCAAAAGTCACCCCTGGGAATGTCCCGGTCACGGACCGCACGTACTGCCGCGGGCTCTGCACCGCCAGCAGTGGCAGCAGCACCAACAGCAGCACCGCCTTGCTATCCCTGCTGTGGGCCTACATCATCACTCACTTGGTGGCGCTCTTGAGATAGTCCTTGATGGCTTGAGATATGGTCATGCCAAAAGTCACCCCTGGGAATGTCCCGGTCACGGACCGCACGCACTGCCGGGGGCTCTGCACTGCCAGCAGTGGCAGCAGCACCAACAGCAGCACCGCCTTGCTATCCCTGCTGTGGGCCTACATCATCACTTACTTGGTGGCGCTCTTGAGATAGTCCTTGATGGCTTGAGATATGGTCATGCCAAAAGTCACCCCTGGGAATGTCCCGGTCACGGACCGCACGTACTGCCGCGGGCTCTGCACCGCCAGCAGTGGCAGCAGCACCAACAGCAGCACCGCCTTGCTATCCCTGCTGTGGGCCTACATCATCACTCACTTGGTGGCGCTCTTGAGATAGTCCTTGATGGCTTGAGATATGGTCATGCCAAAAGTCACCCCTGGGAATGTCCCGGTCACGGACCGCACGCACTGCCGGGGGCTCTGCACCGCCAGCAGTGGCAGCAGCACCAACAGCAGCACCGCCTTGCTATCCCTGCTGTGGGCCTACATCATCACTTACTTGGTGGCGCTCTTGAGATAGTCCTTGATGGCTTGAGATATGGTCATGCCAAAAGTCACCCCTGGGAATGTCCCGGTCACGGACCGCACGTACTGCCGCGGGCTCTGCACCACCAGCAGCACCGCCTTGCCACCCGCCGTCTGCACCGCCAGCGCTTTTTCCTCCAATGACACACTGCCGTGCCAGCACAGCACGGCGGCTCCCATCACCTTGGCTGGGTCGAGCATGCCCATGCGGCACTGCTCCGCCTGAGGGGAGACAGGGAGGGGGCGGAGGGAGGGAGGGGGAGAGAGTCAGCGCCTTCTCCTCCAATTACACGCTGCCGTGCAAGCACAGCACCGCCGCCCCCATCACTTTGGCGGGGTCGAGCATGCCCATTCGTGCGGCACTGCTCCACCTAATTCAACTGAGAATCCCCAAAAGTGACTCCAATATAGCTGAGATTCTCTCAACTAACCCCATTCCATTCGTAGCGTACCCATGTCATGTGCACCCGAATTCCTCACCTCCTGAGTTTCTGCCTTGGCAGTGCCAGCATGCTTAGCATCCACAAGAGGGAGGTTGGTGGTGGTTCTGAGGTCCCCCCCTTGCTCGCCCCAAAAACCCACTGAACCGCACTGAACCGTCCCCTCACCTCCTGAGTTTCTGCCTTGGCAGTGCCAGCATGCTTAGCGTCCACAAGAGGGAGGTTGGTGGTGGTTCTGAGGTCCCCCCCTTGCAGTGTGATACCCGTGTACCACTTCCCGTTGCCCAGGGTGACCTTGGCCTGCCACTCCCTTGGAACGTTGCTGGGAGGGGGGAAAGGAGAGGAGCAGAGAGGACGAGAGGACGAGAGGAGCAGAGAGGACGAGAGGACGAGAGGACGAGAGGACGAGAGGACGAGAGGACGAGAGGACGAGAGGACGAGAGGAGCAGAGAGGACGAGAGGACGAGAGGACGAGAGGACGAGAGGACGAGAGGACGAGAGGACGAGAGGACGAGAGGACGAGAGGACGAGAGGACGAGAGGACGAGAGGACGAGAGGACGAGAGGACGAGAGGACGAGAGGACGAGAGGACGAGAGGACGAGTGGACGAGAGGACGAGTGGACGAGAGGACGAGAGGACGAGAGGACGAGAGGACGAGTGGACGAGAGGACGAGTGGACGAGTGGACGAGAGGACGAGAGGACGAGTGGACGAGTGGACGAGAGGACGAGAGGACGAGTGGACGAGAGGACGAGTGGACGAGTGGACGAGAGGACGAGAGGACGAGTGGACGAGTGGACGAGAGGACGAGAGGACGAGTGGACGAGAGGACGAGAGGACGAGAGGACGAGAGGACGAGAGGACGAGAGGACGAGAGGACGAGAGGACGAGAGGACGAGAGGACGAGAGGACGAGAGGACGAGAGGACGAGAGGACGAGTGGACGAGAGGACGAGAGGACGAGAGGACGAGTGGACGAGAGGACGAGAGGACGAGTGGACGAGAGGACGAGAGGACGAGAGGACGAGAGGACGAGTGGACGAGAGGACGAGTGGACGAGTGGACGAGAGGACGAGAGGACGAGTGGACGAGTGGACGAGAGGACGAGAGGACGAGTGGACGAGAGGACGAGAGGACGAGAGGACGAGAGGACGAGAGGACGAGAGGACGAGAGGACGAGAGGAAGAGAGGACGAGAGGACGAGAGGACGAGAGGACGAGAGGACGAGTGGACGAGAGGACGAGAGGACGAGTGGACGAGAGGACGAGAGGACGAGAGGACGAGAGGACGAGAGGACGAGAGGACGAGAGGACGAGTGGACGAGAGGACGAGTGGACGAGTGGACGAGAGGACGAGAGGACGAGTGGACGAGTGGACGAGAGGACGAGAGGACGAGTGGACGAGAGGACGAGTGGACGAGTGGACGAGAGGACGAGAGGACGAGTGGACGAGTGGACGAGAGGACGAGTGGACGAGTGGACGAGAGGACGAGAGGACGAGAGGACGAGAGGACGAGAGGACGAGAGGACGAGAGGACGAGGACGAGAGGACGAGAGGACGAGAGGACGAGAGGACGAGTGGACGAGAGGACGAGAGGACGAGAGGACGAGTGGACGAGAGGACGAGAGGACGAGTGGACGAGAGGACGAGAGGACGAGAGGACGAGAGGACGAGTGGACGAGAGGACGAGTGGACGAGTGGACGAGAGGACGAGAGGACGAGTGGACGAGTGGACGAGAGGACGAGAGGACGAGTGGACGAGAGGACGAGAGGACGAGAGGACGAGAGGACGAGAGGACGAGAGGACGAGAGGACGAGAGGACGAGAGGAAGAGAGGACGAGAGGACGAGAGGACGAGAGGACGAGAGGACGAGTGGACGAGAGGACGAGAGGACGAGTGGACGAGAGGACGAGAGGACGAGAGGACGAGAGGACGAGAGGACGAGAGGACGAGTGGACGAGAGGACGAGAGGACGAGAGGACGAGTGGACGAGAGGACGAGTGGACGAGAGGACGAGAGGACGAGAGGACGAGAGGACGAGAGGACGAGTGGACGAGAGGACGAGTGGACGAGTGGACGAGAGGACGAGAGGACGAGAGGACGAGTGGACGAGTGGACGAGAGGACGAGTGGACGAGAGGACGAGTGGACGAGTGGACGAGAGGACGAGAGGACGAGTGGACGAGTGGACGAGAGGACGAGAGGACGAGAGGACGAGAGGACGAGAGGACGAGAGGACGAGAGGACGAGAGGACGAGAGGACGAGAGGACGAGAGGACGAGAGGACGAGAGGACGAGAGGACGAGAGGACGAGTGGACGAGAGGACGAGAGGACGAGAGGACGAGTGGACGAGAGGACGAGAGGACGAGAGGAGCAGAGAGGACGAGAGGACGAGAGGACGAGAGGACGAGTGGACGAGAGGACGAGTGGACGAGTGGACGAGAGGACGAGAGGACGAGTGGACGAGAGGACGAGAGGACGAGAGGACGAGAGGACGAGAGGACGAGAGGACGAGAGGACGAGTGGACGAGAGGACGAGAGGACGAGAGGACGAGTGGACGAGAGGACGAGAGGACGAGTGGACGAGAGGACGAGAGGACGAGAGGACGAGAGGACGAGTGGACGAGAGGACGAGTGGACGAGTGGACGAGAGGACGAGAGGACGAGTGGACGAGTGGACGAGAGGACGAGAGGACGAGTGGACGAGAGGACGAGAGGACGAGAGGACGAGAGGACGAGAGGACGAGAGGACGAGAGGACGAGAGGACGAGAGGAAGAGAGGACGAGAGGACGAGAGGACGAGAGGACGAGAGGACGAGTGGACGAGAGGACGAGAGGACGAGTGGACGAGAGGACGAGAGGACGAGAGGACGAGAGGACGAGAGGACGAGAGGACGAGAGGACGAGTGGACGAGAGGACGAGTGGACGAGTGGACGAGAGGACGAGAGGACGAGTGGACGAGTGGACGAGAGGACGAGAGGACGAGTGGACGAGAGGACGAGTGGACGAGTGGACGAGAGGACGAGAGGACGAGTGGACGAGTGGACGAGAGGACGAGAGGACGAGTGGACGAGAGGACGAGAGGACGAGAGGACGAGAGGACGAGAGGACGAGAGGACGAGAGGACGAGAGGACGAGAGGACGAGAGGACGAGAGGACGAGAGGACGAGTGGACGAGAGGACGAGAGGACGAGAGGACGAGTGGACGAGAGGACGAGAGGACGAGTGGACGAGAGGACGAGAGGACGAGAGGACGAGAGGACGAGTGGACGAGAGGACGAGTGGACGAGTGGACGAGAGGACGAGAGGACGAGTGGACGAGTGGACGAGAGGACGAGAGGACGAGTGGACGAGAGGACGAGAGGACGAGAGGACGAGAGGACGAGAGGACGAGAGGACGAGAGGACGAGAGGACGAGAGGAAGAGAGGACGAGAGGACGAGAGGACGAGAGGACGAGAGGACGAGTGGACGAGAGGACGAGAGGACGAGTGGACGAGAGGACGAGAGGACGAGAGGACGAGAGGACGAGAGGACGAGAGGACGAGTGGACGAGAGGACGAGAGGACGAGAGGACGAGTGGACGAGAGGACGAGTGGACGAGAGGACGAGAGGACGAGAGGACGAGTGGACGAGAGGACGAGAGGACGAGTGGACGAGAGGACGAGAGGACGAGAGGACGAGAGGACGAGAGGACGAGTGGACGAGAGGACGAGAGGACGAGAGGACGAGTGGACGAGAGGACGAGCAGAGGGAAACATGAAACGAAGGTTGGCGGGGTCTCCCTCTCCCTTGCTGTGTGATGCCTGTTTACCGCCCACTTCCCGTTGCCTCCCACTTTCTCATTAGCTTTGCCTGTTTACCGCTTCCCGTTGCCAAGCGTTAGCTTTGCCTCCCACTTTCTCGAAGTACCACTGGTGTGCGGGAGAGAGGGGAGGGGAGACGGGACACAGGAAGGGCAAGAGCAGAGGGAAACAGAGTGGGAGGACGGAGGAGGAGCAGTGGGGATGCAAGACGACATTAGAGTCGACTCAGAAGTCATCAGAGCAGGAGGTTGGTAGGGGAGCAGTGGGGATGAGCCTATTTTTGAGCAGCGGTGGGGAGGAGCAGTGGGGATGCGTCAACTCAACTCTATTTTTTATGCAGGACGACACATTACCAAGTGTGCTTTGATCTAATTCGAAACACAATACTCAACCTGGCAACCCGGTTAATCACCTGGCAACCTCGTTAACAACCTGGCAGCAACAGTATTTACCTGACACCCAGGCTATTCACCTGGCAGCAACAGTATTCACCTGGCAACCTGGTTATTCACCTGGCAGCAACAGTGAAGATGTAGGGAGAGACGTTAGCAAGTGTGCGCTGCTGCTTTACTCCGGGTGCCATGCCTTCATTCCCTGCTGCTGCCACCACAAACACGCCCGCCTGGGTTTGGTTTACGGGAAGATTATAAGGGAGAATGGAGGGGGTGTGAAGAAGCGACGGCGATGGGGGGTAGAGGTATGCGCGATTCTGCTGTGCCCCCGGTGGCATGCCGTCGTTCCCTGCTGCTGCCACCACAAACACTCCCGCCTGGGTGTGGAGAAGGGAGGGAAACACGGGGAATAAGAGGTGAGTAGAGGTGAGGCGAATGTGATGAGGGATGGATGGAGGTAAGGAGAGCTGTGCTGCTCTGCTCTGCTTTACTCCGGATGCCATGCCTTCATTCCCTGCTGCTGCCACCACAAACACGCCTGCCTGGCGTTGAGATGGGAGGGAGGGGTCGAAGCAAGGGAGTGAAAACAGGGAGGACAGGGAGTGTGAGGTAGAGGTGGTGAGGAGGGGTAGAGGCACGGGTGCTAGTATACCCTCTCGGGAAGAGACACCCAACCAGCACGGTGTGGGGTGGGGAGAGACAGGGTGGGGAGGAGGGAGAGGGGGCCCTACCTGGACTGTCCAGCCCTACCTGCCTGCTCAACCGCAGCCATCACATCCCCCACGCTGCTCTCCCCGGCCCACGCCCTTACCAGCACGGGATGGGAGGTGGTGGGGAGGCGCGGAAAGAGGGGGCGGGGGATGACGAGGAGGAGAGGGGAGGGGGGAAGGGGAGGGGGGGGGGAAGGGGGGAAGGGGAGGGGGGAGGGGAGGGGGGGAAGGGGAGGGGGGGAAGAGAGGTGGGGGTGGGGGATGGCGAGGAGGAGAGGGGGGGGGGGAAGGGGAGGGGGAGGGGAGGGGAGGGGGGAAGGGGAGGGGGGGGAGAGAGGTGGGGGTGGGGGAGGAGGCCCCTACCCGAACAGCCCTTAGGAGGAGTTGAAATAGTCATCATCGACAGCACCTGCCCAGGAGGAACTCCCAATGGGGAGCACAGCAGCAGCACATCGACTACATCCCGCACTGCCTGCTCAACAGCAGCCATCACATCACATCCCCCACGCTGCTCTCCCCACCCCACACCGCCTTGTACACCGCCACTCGCGCCCTCTGAGGGGCCTCACACACAGCGCAGCCTAGACTCCCCCCACCACAGCCCTACCTGGACAGGACAGCCCTGAGCGGGTAAAGCGGGAAGAGAAGAGAGCCTTACCTGAACAGCCCTGAGCGCAGCCTAGACTCCCCCCACCACAGCTCTACCTGGACAGCCCTGAGTGGGTAAAGCGGGAAGAGAGCCCTACCTGAACAGCCCTGAGCAGGAAGGCAGAGTTGAAGTAATCATCATCAGTACTCCCGATGGGCAGCAGCAGAATATCAACGCCGTCCCGTACCGCCTGCTCAACAGCAGCCATCACATCCCCCACGCTGCTCTCCCCACCCCACACTGCCTTGTACACCGCTATTCTCGCCCGAGGCGCCGTGCCGCTCATCCGGCCAATCACGCGGCTCCGCGGGCTCATTCTAACCGGTATATTGCTGTTGCTGGCCGCAGCGCCGGCACACCAAGTGCCGTGCCCTGTGCTGTCTCTAGGGGAGGCGTATTCCCCCTTGGGATACCCCTTGTTTGCCTTGAGGTAAGCAGCAGAAAAGAATTGCGCGGCGACGATTTTGTTGTTGCAGGAAGTGGCTTTAAAGTCTTTGGTCGCCGCGCATTTGCCCCGCCAGGTCTTTTTCGGGCGGGTGTATCCCCGCCCGGAAAACGCGGGGTGCTCCGGCCAAATACCTGAGTCCACCACGCCTATGATCACGTTTTCCCCCGCCCGGTTCGCCCCGCCGAGACCTTTCCAGACCGCAGAAGAGAGGTTGAGAAAGGCGGGTGTTATTGTAGTGAGGGGAGCGAGAGATCTCGACCGTTCAATTCTATCGACGGCTGGATGTCGCTTAAGCCGATGCAGCTGAGAGGGAGTGAGTGAGACGCAAAACGCGTTACTTAAGTAAGTGTAGGAGTAAAGAAGGTCGGAAGGGGGGAGGCCGATGCTGGCAATGGTGTGGGAATGGAGGGAGGCGAGTTGCTGCGTGTATGCTAGCACGTGGGATGCTTTAGGATCAGGCCTGGGGGGGATTGGTGTGGGATTTTGTTCTGTGGTCCCCACTGCTGCCACGTCAGCATCGGCGTCGGCGGCGGCGGCGGCAGTGGCAGTGGCTTCAAAGCCGGGAACGCCGCCGGTGTAACTGACAACGGGTGGTAACCCTCTCATGTATACAGTGTACACTTGGTTACTGTAGCTCCTCCTGCCGTCACTGCTGCTGCTGCGCCCACTGCCCCCATTGCTTTCACTGCCCCCTCTGCTTTCACTGCCCCCTCTGCTTTCACTGCCCCCGCCAGTCATTATTCGGAAATCCTCTTGCTGCTGCTTTAGTCGCAAGGCGGCATCTGACGAAGCTTCCTTTGGAGCAACGGAAGCTACCGTGGTGAGATGGGGCGAGTACGACGCTGACGTGGCAGGCGAGTCCGAGAACGGGTCCGATGCTGACGTGGCAACGGGGACGTCCAGCTGTTCATGGAATCTCGCGTGGTGCAGCCAAAGGGGGAGCGAGTCGGCGTTGGTCAAATCGCTGGCGCCGCGCACACGTGGCGCGTGAGCTGACGCAATAGCGGAAGGGGCGAGGCGAAGATACGGGGTACAGTGGGCGGGGGGATGGGCATGGGGGGGGAGGGCGAGGGGGGCATGGGGAGGGAGGGCGAGGGGGCCATGGAGGGGAAGGGAGGAGAGAATAGTAAAGGGAGAAAAGGGGAGATGAAATCAGTCAAAGTGGAGCAACTGGCTTATTACTGCGCAATTCATGGCTGAGTAAGGTGGAGCGGGGTGGAGGTCGGTGGAACGAGAATGGAGAAGGGGAAGGGGAAGCAGCGTGACGCGCAGCACGAAGAGGAGCGGAAGGATGAGGACGGTTGAAGCGGAGAAGGAGATTAGTTTTGAGAATTCTCAAAACTAATCTCAAACAAGACGGTTGAAGCCGAGAAGGAGAGCACAAGCAAGAGACGAGCACAAGAGAAATCAGCAACACGACGTACACACGCACGCACATGATGTTACGGGGAGGGGAGGTGCAAGCAATCGCTTGTGATGTGGCGAAAATTTAACACTACAAAGGATCATCGCGCGACTCACCGGAAGCGACGAGAAGGGCGACGAGCGACAGAAGCAGGCGAGCTGTGCGATCCATGTCCCGCGACCAGTTCGCGAAACCTGAGTTTCGCTCTCTAAGCGATGGAGTTCCGCTCTCAGGTACAGCCCGTGCGACGAAATCTGTAGTGTCTTTTCAAGACGTGGAACGAGAAATCAGTTGCGATACGCCCGTGGTCCGCGCGAAGAGTCTCTGTTACGGTGCGGTTATTGCGACGCGATTTTTTTTTTTAAGGTGTTCCGCGTGAGACTGCTGGAACATAACGCGTTTGCGAGCATTATTTAGTCGACTCAAAAATCGCCCATGGCGAGGAAGCATAATAGAAAACTGGCGACAATATTCTGCCTCGCAAGTTCTAGAGACGATGCGACACAATCCCATGCCGCTTTTCTAGCCGGTTAGCATGAGCGAAAACATCCATTTCTCCCATGATTCCTAGGCCGGTTCGCGGAAAGCACGAAAAATATGCGAGAAATTAAGATAACTATAGTGTAGAAGGTCCCCTGTAAATTTATGGCTGAAGATGTGTCTAATAAGCAGTCACGATAACCGTTCACATGCACTAAGCGAAATGGAGATTATATGGTGTATGACGAAGCTAGATAAGGCACTGCGCCAGATATCTCAGTCTTCACGAACAAAGAAGAGAGTGCTATCACGACAAACAGAACAGACGAAAGGGCTATTACGAGCAAAGAGTGGCTAAAAAGGTGAGTGGATTGTGCTGAAGGTAGCAGTAGGGAGAACGAGCAACTGAGACAGGCGGTGGGATGAAACCCTAAAAACATAATAATGTCAGAAGGAAAGAATGTTGTATGTTTCTATGATCCCGAGAATTGTCGATCAATCAGCACTTGCATATGAGGGTTCGTGTGTGTCTGTCCGTGTGTGTGTTTGCTGCTCTACTAGCGCACACCGAAAGCAGAGCAGTACAAGACCGACCAAAGAAAGGGAGCAGGCTGGCTGGGCAGATGGGATGGGCGACGGGAGAGTCCCTTGCGCATTCCGCCACGGCTGTTTAGGCAGAATTTAGTTTGCAGCGCTGCCCGCGTCTCGTTGATGTGCCCGAACACCAGCAGAACCAGGGTCCCTGCTTGCCCGAACACCAGCCCCCCCGCCAAGGTAGGGGCTGGGGCAGCAAAATGGCAGCCCTTGGTGGCCGCCGCCAGCAGCCGCTTGCTGTAGGCAAACCGCAAACCGCGACAACACTGACTGGCGTCGTTTTTCGTTACAGTACTGCGGACTCCCACGACCTTCCCAAGTTCCCACCAATCAGTGAATGTGCTTGTAGCGAGTTTGCCAATCAGTTTGGTTGGTGGAGAGAGCATTTGGAACTTTGCAGGCTCCCAGGTGTGAGGTTTGGCAGTTTCCCGAGTGTCCTACACGTCGACACTCGCGTGGCCCAGGGCGAGGCGCAGAGGTTCGTGAAAGCCCTGGCGAAACAGCCGGCTTTCCTCTGATAGGTAACTGTCGCCGAGACAGATAGGGCTCCGCTATCCCAGTTCTCGTTCCAGAATAGGGCTTCTCAACTTACTACAACGTTTCTAAACTTATTTGAAGGTTTCTCCACTTTGCAGTGTTTCTCAACTTTCCACACGGGTTTCCAGCGAGCATCTCCACGGTTGTGTGATAAGCGAGATAGTCTAGAAACTCTGATAAACGAGAAAGTCTAGGAGACAAGTGAAACGATCGGTCCAGGTTTTGTGCCAAGGCAGAGTAGAGCATTCTGAAATCACTCATTTGAAATGAATCAAGAGCCCACTGGTACTTGGATTAGAGTACATATCAGAGCAGCTATCTGTCCTACAGCCTTTGGCAAGCGTACAATACACGAATTTGCCAAAACACGAACATGTTACTACCCTTGTCCCACGGCTTTAAGCCACGGCGGGAAGCTCGCCAGTGTTGAATGCAGAAAACCGGCAGTCAGTCGCCATCACGGAAGAAGTCTCGTAGTCAGAAACCTTTCCGTCAAGGAAGCCCTTGCCCTCCGCTCCGTCAGCCGAAACGGGGTGGTGCAGAACGGCAGCCAGACGAGAGAAGTCCGTCGTACGCTTCTCCCTGCCCGAACGGTACGTCTGGCCCATGACACCGTGCACGTCAGCAGTAGGTGCCACGTCAGTGAACATCACGTTGATGTGCGTCTCGGCGTCATCGGGGGTTTGAAGAAGCGGGTGAGCGACGCGGAGCCTCAGATCCAGCTCCATCTGATCGCCGATCTTGACCGTGTACGCGTCCACATCGTACGGTCCAACCTTCTCGATCTTGTTGAAGGTGAGAGTGAGATCTGCGATCTTCTTGCTCTCGCCGACCTTCATTCTCGGCAGAACCTTGTTGTCTACGACGACAGACTTCACGAAACCGTCGCCACGAGCCTGCTCCTTGCCGTCGCGAGCGGTCATGACGAAGCTGTGCGACGCACCGTCGCGCGACCGCCACATGATCGCGAGCTGGCGAATCCACGTGCGAACCGCCTTGCCGTTAACGACGAGCGCGGCGCCGTCGGTGCGGTCATCGTAATACCCGCGCATGCCCATGTTGATGTGCAACTGACGGTCCGTGTACAGGCAGAAAGATTTCTCGGGCAGCCCGTTGAACTCGAAGCGCGTTCCGTGCGCGCCGAGGAAATGCGGGTCGTCCTTGGTGGTCGGGCAGGCCTTGCCGATGCGGATCTTCTTTCCGCCGCCCTTCACGGGCTCGATGCCGTCGATTGCGGGGAGCAGAATGCACTTGCCGCACGGCTTTCCGGAGCACGCGTCTGAGCTGGCGCCGGAGGATCTGGTGTCGCAACAGAGAAAAGAGAGGGAACAGGGAGACATACGAGAGGAAACGAGACGGGAGGCAGCTGTGAGAACATGATCAAAGAAATGTTCGAAAAAATAAAGCCTTGAAAAAAGTCGAATAGTCAAACCCAGGGACGGGACGGTAGATCACAAGTGGAAATGCAAATACGTAAGGGGGAATGGGGATCGGGAAAAGAGAGTAGCTTGGGATTGGAGTGGAAGGAGGGAAACACTGCTTCTTAAAAGGATAGCCAAGGGTCAAGATGGGGAGAGGGGAGGATAAGCGTAGGGACGCACGGAATGTGGACCCAGTAGCGGCAGTTGAAGGAGTTGGTGCCAGTGGTGTTGGAGCATTTGTTGCAGCACGCCTTGGCGTGAATGCTGCCTGCCGCACAGTAGGGCGACGAGGACGAGGGCGGAGAGTTCACGCACGCGCCGTACTCGGGGATCTGCGGAAGGAATCGGGGGAAAACGCGGAGGGGAGGACGTGGAAGATATGAGCGCGCGTGGAAACGGGTCCTTGGGAAATGAGCGGGAGGGTGCCGGAGCGAGAGGGAGAAAGCGAATAGGAGTCAAAGGGTGAGGGCCCAGGGAAGTAACGCAAAAAAGGAAGCAACGCGGCGGTGCGGTACGAAAGGCGCAAATGACAAAGAGCCGAATTGAAAGAGGAACTAACCGTCCAGTAGTCGAACGAGCCGGAATTATAATCGCAGCCGCCCTTGGTACAGAGGCCCTTGAGATAGTCCGGATACGGCTTTCCAGCTGGCTTTGTAGCTGGCTTTGTAGCTGAGCTTGCAGCCGCCATTGCCAGAACGGCAACAAGAATCGCGAGTCGGGACGCCATGGCGACGCTGTTTCTGAGAGACCCGCACTGACTGAGAAGACAACTTCTGGTACTCTACAACAAGCTGGTAAAGAAGTTCTATGAAAGAATGAACAGCAGCTGGAGATCTCTATTGTGTCCTTTTGATGTGCTGAGCCAAGAGCACAATTTCGCAAGGCCAGGGCAGCGATCAGGAGGATAGTTCGACTGTGGGATTTGTGCAGCTGTGTGGGATGGGACTGGGCAGGATGGATGGGAGGGACCAGGCACACGACGACCACATGAACAACATTTTCCGGGCAGCTTGGAGTGAAAATCATGGTGCCTTAGGGATTTTGGCGATGTCGCCCTTAGGAAGTCCTATTTAGTTGGAATGGCAATCCTACAGTGATGAAGCAGTGACGGGCTGTATAGTTCGCTTCACTGTACCTAATTCGTAATATATTACCGTAACCCCTGTGTTGGGAATCTGACCTCAACTTGTAAAGAGTCTATGTACAAAGCTACAATAGCAATTACCCTGGCTCACAAGCTGCCCATGTGAATGTTGAATGTCTCCTGAACACTGTCTGGGCTTCCGGAACCAAAAGGCTGGAGCAAGCCAACTTCAACGCACGAAGCGCCAAAATCAGTGATACACCTGAACTTCATCTGCGCCTTGCAAGAAAGAAAGTGCAATAGCTTTTCGGAGCAGATAGTGACCTGGAAAAACACCTGAGCGTAGCTTGGAGCACAACCGACAAACAAATTAAGGGACGGGTTCCTACTTGCGGTTCGTCACTGAAACTGACTTCGCTTTAGAAAGGCTGGCTGTTGAACCTTCAATTCAAGAAAATATCATTTTATAAGTAGCAAAGCATACTAAGTTTCAAGAAATTTTAGTCAGCCTTTAAACCCATCTGCTGATGATGTCTCCTTGTATTTCAATCAAATCCTCTTAGGGCCAAACACGACTTTGAAGGCTTCAAAGATCTGAATTTCACATCTCAATGTTGTAGCACACAGCAAACAATACAAACCCCAACTAAAGCCCACTCTAAATTCCCTAATCCCATGGAAACAGGCAAATAGAAAGCTGAAGCAGGAGCGAGAGGAGAGGTCTATTCCTCCAAGCAGCAGTCCACCCCATGCTTGGGGCAGCAGCAGTCTATCCCATGCCGGAGCCCCAGTGACCGAAGTCAGGAAAAGCCTGCAGCAGCAGCCAGCAGCAGTGGTGGTGGTACGGGCGGCCTCGGGGGGGAAAGGGACTCAGAGATCAGTCATGAATCGGCTCTTCAAGCATTGTAGCAGCAGCATGTGCGAGGCTCGGTGCAATGCCATGCGCAGCAGCGGGCAGGCAGCAGCAGCAGCAGCAGCAGCATATTTGCAACAAATGGACAAGGCAGAAACCGCTTTCCACCAACCCCTTCTGATCCCGTTCCCCCCCCCCACTTCTAGTCCCCCCTCCCCCTTAAACCCCTATCATTTCCCTCTGTTAACCCCTATCGCTTCTTCCCAAAAACTACGGTATACCTCCATCCTAGGGGAAACCAAGCCACATGTTGCACATCCTGCACATGAGCTACGGTATAGCCACATGTTGCACATTCCTGCCTGCCCGTCCTTTCCATCCGGCCAACGAAAACCCTCAACCCTGGGGCCAGTACAACGCTCCCAGACGTCTAACCACCAGCACTATGGACTCCTCTCCAGCACCTGTTCTCTTAGTCGCCTAGAAAAGGGCCTCCAGCATCTCCGTTCCCCAGCTGCGGCCTCCAGGATCTCCGTTCCCCAGCTGCGGCCTCCAGCACCTCCATTCTCCAGCTGCACTTCTGGAAACTTTTTCCATTCCAAGCGTTCCCGTTATTTCTCAAAACATATATTATAATAGCTTACTGATGCACACTATTGGAGGGTACCACTGCCATTGCCCACCATGCACACAGGCAGAAGCTGCCACTCCAGCAACACCTGCCATTCACCCATGCACCAGCTGCTCTGTGTCAACAGCTGCTTCACATCACACAGAGCAGCTCGCCCTACCTTTTGACTTACCCCCACCCAGCACCTTCAACTTGCCCCTCCACATCCCCTCCCCTTCATCCTCCCCTGCCTTCTCCCTTCCCCCATCTTTCTTCTTTTCTTTCCCATCACCTTCCCTCCCTTCCATTCCCCCTCCTCCCTTTGCAATCTGCCACGCATCTCCCCGCTCCCATGCTCGTTGCCCCCATCACCTTCGCTCCCCCCATCTTCCTTCCCACCCCAAGGGTTCGATCCAACAGTTGCGCTCGTCCGAAGCCCCACTTTTTCCAGCCGGGAAGATAGAGAATTTCGTCGCAACCTGCCCCGAATTTGCCCAGCGGTTTCACTCCCTCTTGCCCCACCAGCCTCACTCCTAGACCCTTGAAGTGACAACCTCCTTCCTCTCCTCCCAGCACCGTCCTCCTCTTCCTCCTCCATCAACTCACTCCCCCCTCCCTCTCCCCCCCCTTTGCCCCAACCTTTCCCAAACAGCTTAAGCCACATCTTTCCAAGTGACCCTTCCCCTCCCTTCTGATTGCTGCTACTACTGCTGCTGCTGCTCACCAAACTGCTAATGCCAGCAGCAACAGGGGTGGAACTACCAGCAGCAGCAGCAGAAGCAGCAGCAACAGCAGCAGCAGCAGCAGCAGTGGATGTAGCAGCAGAGAACCCGCTAGCAGTGCTACTTGCAGGGCTCGCGTCACCTCCCCCCCAACCGCTCTGCACCGGCCAGAACCCTCCCGATTTCACTGTGTTCAGCGGACTCTTAGGCCCAAACGCTTTAAACACCTTGGAAGTACGCCTAGGCTTAGAAGAGGGGGGCACGGGTGGGACTTGGGAGCGGGAGGGGGAAGTGGTGAAGATGGGTTGCGAGCGGGAGGGGGAAGTGGTAGACACGGGTGAGGCGGAGGGAGAGTACTGATAGTCAGGGAAAGCAGGGCGGCTGGAACGATCAGGAGCAGGCGAGGTGGGGGGGAAGGTGGTAGCAGGAAAGTCAGTCGGTCCTGCTGCTGCTCTTGCAGGTGATACTCCTCCTCCTCCTCCTGCTGCTGCTGCTCCTCCCTTTGCTCCCATTGCTCCTGCTGTTGCTTGTCCATACTGAGGGGATCGCAGCATTACCTCCGAACGACCCTCTAGACTGGAAGCGCAGGAGCGGGTTGGCGAGGTTAAATGCACTGAAGCACCGGGCGAGGCCAGACACGTTGAATCTGCACCGCCAGCTGCTGCTGCTTCCGCACCTCCTCCCAAACCTCCTGCCGCAGCAAGCCGGTCGCAGTCCGTGAAGGTTCGGCGGAGGACAGGAACGGCAACAGAACTCGCAGGAGAACGAGGCGACGCAGACGGCTCGGACACAATACTCGCAGATGCGCCAAACCGGTCAGTTACGCGGTTACCACCGTACCCAGCAGCCGGAAGACCGCTGTCACTCCCAGGCCCGGGTTTCCATTCGGAGCTGGTGCTTGCTGGTAGAGTCCATTTCTGAGGCGCCTCAAAAACTGCTATGTCCCCACCAGTGGCTACACCAGTGGCTATGTCCCCACCGCTACCAGCACCGAGAAACCTGCGGCTGCTGCTGGCACTGCCGCTTCTGCCACTGTCGCCGCGCGGGTAACCAGGAGAGTAACCAGGAGCACTAGGGTTACCACCAGCGATCCTACCAGCAGCACCAAGAGCAGTAGTGTTGCTGTTGCTGCTGCCTTGCTCTGGAGCTGCGCCCGCTCCCTCAAGCTCCTCGATCTCTTGCGCTAGGCTGCTACGTCTGGTGCTTGCAGGTGCCAAATCCGGAAAAGCAACTCTGTCTGGAGAAGATGAGCTTATAACGGGGACAGACTGTACTGACCCGCTTTCCTTCTCCAAATCCGCGAGCTCTCGAGCCAGAGGGCTCGACCGTGGGGGGAGGTTCGAATCCCGCAGAGGGCTGCTCCTGTGTGGCCCATCCACTGGGGTGTGACTATAAGAGTTGTTTCGTGAAGCGTGACTATACGAGCCCTCCATATCCGGAAAGGAATGCGAGGAAACCGCAGCAGTGGCAGCGGAAGGAGAAGCAGAGGAGCCCAATCGGGACAGCCGAGACGGCGTGATGGCACCAGAAGGAGACATGCCAGGAGACATGCCAGGTGACATGCCAGGAGAAACGCCAGAAACCGCACCCTTCCTGCCTTGACTGCTCATCGTCCTTCTCCCTTGCACCGCTTCCCACCCCTCTCCACCCCCTCCTCCGCCACTTCCTCGGTCGCCCTCCTCCCCCTCCTCCCCTTCGTCCAACCCACTGGATCGCACGTTCCAGCTATGGCTGTGCACAAACGCGCGCTCCCCCCTCTTCGCCGCAGCCACTGCAGCCGATACACTCCTCCGCCCAAACCCCACCCCAGGACCCCCTCCCTCCTCCCCACCCCCATTCCCATCTCCTCCCCCCCCATGCCCTTCCCGCAACGCCCCCTTCCCCCCGTCCTCGTCCTCCCCTTCTTGCATGGCGGCTGCGAGCTGGGCGAGGGCCTGGGGGGGTAACGTCACGCTCATGTTCCACCCGCTGCCGCTGCTGCCCGCGATGCCAGCTGTCGGCCTCTCATTGATCGACAGCCGCTTCCCCGAGCCTGAGCCGCGAAGGGCAGCAGGGGAGCCGAAGGAGGGCGCGATGGGGGGGGTGGAGGAGCCTCGGGGGGGGTATCCCGGTGAGGGGCGGGCAGGTGCAACTGGGGACTGTTCGACTGCAGTAGGCCGAGATTGCAGCTCTGCTCCTCCTCCTCCTCCTCCACTGCCGTCCCTGCTGCTATCAACGGCATTTGCCTTGGCCGACCGGTTGCTTCTATCTGCTGGTCTAACGGGTTGACCCAGGTCAAGGGACGGGCCTACCGGCCGGATGGGTTGACCGAGGTCAAAGCAGGGGTCAACGGCGCACCCTGACACATCTGCCCCCACTCCCACCAGCACCTCCCCCACCTCCTGCAGGAGCCTCTGTCTCGGCGTGAGACGACTGCCCGCACTCCCCCTCCCCCCGCTCCCCTCGACACTGTTCCGCCCAGTACCTCCTCCTTTCCGCCTGCCTCTTCCCCGCCCGATTCCCGGATCCGACGCGGGGAGACGCTGCCACGTGGCACCCTTCAGCGCTTGCCCCGTCACCAGGGTAGCACCATCAATCCATCCTGAGTCATCATCATCATCATTCTCCCTGCCGTCCCTGTCGTCCTTGCCGTCCCTGCTGTTCCTGCCCTCAGCATCGCTCCCCCCTGCTGCTTGCTGCTGCTCTCTCGTCTGTTGATCCTGGCCGTTTGATCTGCGTCTTGACCCTGTTCCTGTTCCTGTGCCGGCCGTTGGCCTTCCTTCCGCTTCCCCGTTTGCGGAACACCGCCTATAGTCACAATCGTTAGGATCAACCCCACCATCCTCCCCCCTTAGCTCTGCACTGTCCTCCCCACCACCACCACCACCACCATCACCATCATTCTCGTAATCATCCCACCCCCCTTCCTCACGCTCCTCCCCCTCGTCGCTCTCCTCCCCATCCTGACTCTCACCTGCGGGAAACGAGTCCTCCGACTTGGTCCGGTACGCGAACGGCGCGTCGTGGTAGATCGTCAGCGGCGGCGGCTGCGCGCCTTCCTCGATCTTTCCTCTGTGCGAGCGGAAGGTCGACGCGAACGACTTGCGGATGTTGTCGCGCGTCGCGTCGGGCAGCGGCGCGCCCGAGTGCAGGTCGCACTTGCGCGCGGAGTAGAGGAACGCCGTGCGCACGCGCCCCAGCAGCCCGCGCGCCTGGTCCTTGGTGAGCGGGTCGTAGCCCAGACAGAAGAATACGATGCCGTCCTTTGCCATCAGAAACAGCACGAACAGCCGCCCGTGGCCCTGGGAACGGGGGGTGGGAAGGGAGGCGAGGCGGAGGGATGGGGGAGAGGGAGAGGGAAAAGAGTGGGTGGGGGAGGGGAGGGAGGGGGATGGTAGAAGGAAGAGGGAAGCATTTCGTTCCCCTCATTTTCTTTCGGGTGAGCTTTGCGCGGATAATACGGAACGACGAGCCACAGCAACCCGCGCGCCTGATCCTTGGTGAGCGGGTCGTAGCCCAGACAGAAGAACACGATTCAGTCCTTCGCCATCAGAAACAGCACGAACAGCCGCCCGTGGCCCTGGGGACGGGGGGTGGGGGGAAGGGGGTAAAAGGGTGGTAGGTAGGAGGGAACGGAGAAAGAGGAAAAGAGTTGAGGACCGTGAGAAAGGGGTTGGAAAAGGTTGTCCGATATTCGCTCAAGGTCTTGGCAAACGTTGCGTTTGAGATTCCTGATTACAGTGACAGAACTTTATAACAACTTGTGAGGCGCCTCAAAATGTTTTATGATTTCCCGTAATTCGCTCGAGGTCCCAGTAACCGTTGCGCTTGAGGTTCCTGCTGACAGCTGCCAAAAAAAAAAAAAAAAAAAAAAAAAAAGAGGGTGATAATGCTACAGGTTCCTGTTAACCGTGACAAAATGGCTCTGCGATATTGTTAGTCTAGGTTATGGCTCGTGCAGTGAAACGATAGCAGTTCTTGGCTACGGCGATCAGAATGCAGCTATATAGAAAAAAGCTTCAGTTTGATCAAGCTACAGGAGAGCAAAAAAAAAAAAAAAAAAAACTCCAGCAGAGAGTTGGCCATGGCGTGGCGGCTCATTTCATACGGTATCATTTCTACAGTAGCACACTGGCGGAGACAAATTGTGGCTATTTCAGGACAAGGGAAAAAAATGTGACAAATTTCCGCCATAAAACATGGAGCCATGCCGTTCATTTTCCCAAGGTTCATTGTAATCCCAGAATTTTTATCTTACCATGGAGATTTGCGACGCATGTTCCGGGAGAGCGGGTAATGCGGCGGATATCGCTTCTCGGTACGCGTCCCTGTCTCGGCCGTAGTCCGCGAGAATATTACCCTTGCTCGTCGCTATCCCAGCATACGCCACCAACTCTACTTCCTCCATCCCTTACGAAACGGCTTAACTTTAGAAAGTATCCGTATATTGTGAACGTGGATTGGAGCCTCTGCGATCGTGCAACGAGAGTTGCAGATGGGCTAAGCTAGGACGCAATACGGGGGCAGTCAATGCAGAAATGTCAGAGACGGTGCAATAGTGGCCATAAATGCCGTCACCAAGCCCGCGAGTTCTTCCGCTTAACTAGATAAGAGGCAACGTTTCGCCGATCTTCAAGCGATGACTGCTGACTGGGAACCGCTGCCACTAAGATATGATCCTACTGCGAAAATCATGTAATAAAGACGTGCTAAGTGTGCCTTGGGAATATCAGGCAGGCTGTCAGGTGGTACAGTAGATAAAAACATCCGTGTTTTGTCGTTACCTACGGTAAAGTACGTTTCTGTACGGTGCATCGGTTTCAGAAGCCTTACAGAGAGAAAATGTCAAGAGGTGCGTTTCTGCCTAGGCTCAAAAAGCAAGCGAGGTCGGCGTAAGTAGGTGGGGGATGCTACACAGGGGGGGATGCTTTGCGCTACACAGGGGGTCTGGCTAGATGTATCTAGCTGGGGGGGTGAATGAAAGCTCGGCGCGCAGATGCACAGAGCCGGATTCTGGTCAGCTTGCGGCACATTCCGAGGCCAATCCACATTCCGAGGTGATGTGCGGGCAGCGAGGCCCGTTGGATGTTGGAGGAAAGTGACCCTAGGGGGAATCGGTCAAGGTGCGCTAGTTCTGTATCTTCTGGTGAGGTGTACATGGAGCATCCTGTATCATGACATCAAGTATTGGAAAAAAAAAAACTTTTAACAGATAAATAATACACCCACACCCCCCCTCCCAACACTCTCTCTCTCTCTGTCATAGAACAATACAAAGCATAAAAACCTAGAGAAAATGACCCTTATGGTAGTTCCCTCTGCTTGTGAGGAGTTATTGTACACAATATTGCAATAGCAAGCAGCTATTATGATCGTGAGGTATACTCATACCTCGTCGTCAGTCAGGTACGCATCTAAGCCATTCATTTTCTGATGGAGCACTCTCAACCTAAGAATATCCCCAGAAAAAGTTGAACGCGGCGTGCCTATAAAGATACGTGCATTAGCACATATATGCTTCTCGGCAAGAGCCCTCAGTATCCCATCCTCCTCTGAGTCCAAGTCCTGGAAATTCCTCACCTATCGCCACGTACTCATCCACCGTAATAGCAGTCTCGTTATTACCATAAGCTGGCGCGAGGCACTCCCTCATTCTAGGCACATCCACGATATTGTCCCATCGCCAGCAGAACGTCGCGAAAGCTACGCCGCAACTCTCGTTCGGAATGACCAGCGTGCGCTGCAGAAGCGCCGCGGCGATTAGATAGTTCCGCAAGCATCGCTCCTGATTGGATAGTCTCCCATACACGCACAGAGCCAGAAGATACCGGTTTTTACGCGGATTCCAGGATTCGATCTTCGGCTCGTTCAAGTCGATCTGCTGCGCCGACGGGTACGGGGATTTGATTTTCCTCGGCTTCGGCTTGTCGCCGTTGGTTTCCTTCACTCCAGCTGCCCCTATAACGGGGATACTGGCTCCGTTACTGGGCCCGCTTTGCATCAATTGCACGATCTCCGCCAAAGCCCGTCTTACGGTGTGAGATTCCCTGGGTACTACGTTTCTCCCTGCGTCCCCTGATGAGCTGAGTTTCCTGCTAGCCCTAACGCTGTGAACTTCGTCGCGGCGAAAGACATTTTGATTAATGCTGCTTCTCTTTCGTATCTGAGCAGCAGGCTTTCCACGAAACTTCCCAGTCGTAAACTGCGTCAGCAAATCTTTCCAGTTATCGTTTATTCTCTCGGGATGAAGGTATTTTTGCCATGATGTATGTGGTAGCGACAACGCATGCCCCTTTTCTAGAGTGGTGGTTTCAGATGCAGCGAAGGCGCAGTCTAGGGTACAAATGAGCAGCGACACGTAAAATAAGACGATACTGATACTTGCAGTGTTTGCGGAAGATGAAAGAAATGAGACTCGAATCCTGCTCGCCATCGGGCATTCACTCAGAGACGAGAAAAAAGAGAATCTCGTCGTGAACATTCGCTCGTGCTGTGGCTCACATTAGCAGCATTCAACAGTTTGGCACAGCAGGGCCGCGTTTTATGCTTTCGCAAAGAGCGTCGTCTCTAGTCTATCCGCTTGGTCGCTTACCAAAACGATAAGGTCAAGCAGATGTGTGTGAGGGCTCATGGTGGTCAGGTCAGTGCTGCCTGCTAACCCAGTTATCGTGTCGCGATGTGTGACGGATTTCGTCCACTTCACAACTGCCGCGCCGCATCTTGTTGTGTGTAATGCCCTGAAGCTGTCGTGCATCGGTGGCACTTCGCCACACTCAGTGCAGCTGGCGGACTCACGACGGGTAGCAGCTGTCTCAGGTTTGTTGCACATTCCACCAATCATGAAGCTGCAGAGATGTGCTGCGAAAAAATCATGTTTTGCGAAAGGGCAACAAATCCACAAAATAGTGGCGGAGTATGGGAATGGTGGTGACGGGTGGCAGTGTGGCTGGGATGCATTCTCGTTATTAAACATCGAGCCCATTCGCCTAAGAACTTCTTGATGTAAGTATAAGAAACAAATTTCCACTAATTTGGGCCAACAACACTTGAGAGCTTTCTAGCACAGGTAATTGAAAAAACTCCGGAAGGCAGCGGAGCGGATCATAAGCTAACCATGAGACATCTCAAAATGTGGAAACCGATGTAGCTATGGTGCCCCTCATCTCCGCACCATTGAGCTTGATGGACGAGTAAAACGCTGTCGGGTTTGAAAAGAACCCTGCGTCGATCAACAACTTAACTTTGTTCACCGGCTCGTACGCAACAGTGAGCGCTGCGTTGTCTGAAACGGTGCACGTGTAGGAGGTACGGGTTGCAAGCTTGAACGAGCATGGGAAATCAGCCACAAGGGCGAGGCTGCTGTTGGCGTAGTACCCAGGGGTGGTGAATGTCGGGGTTGGGAGTAAAGGAACTCCGTCCATGCGAAACACAAAGGACGCATTCTGAAAGGTAGCCGTGCTGAAAGTGAAGGTAGAGTGGGATAAGACACGCGAATGAAACGGCATTAGTGAGATTTAGATGTAGAGTCTTATCAGCTGAAGCCTTCAGTTGAGAGTGTTGGATGAAAGGTCAGGAGTGATGATGGGTATGGATTAGCTGAAAAAAGATATGCTACTTTGGACTGAAAGGAAAGCTGAGGTTGGAATGGCAGCGCTTACATGTTGACATCCACGCTAAAACTGCCAGTAGGACTAGTGGAAGTCGTAGAGGTGGTTGTAGTGGTTCTGAGAACAGGGGGATGAGAAAGACGCTTGTATGTGAGGCAACATTACAAATTTGGAAGTATCAATATGTGTATTTTAATGAAATTGAGGCGAATCAAAAGTCATCTTGCTGCAGAACAGTCCGTTTCTGCACCCTCAGCATAACAGTCGCTATGCCCATAGCATGGCATAACTCGGGTTTGGGGGAAAGTGCACTTACGTGTTACTGCCGGCGGTAGTATTGGTCGTGGTGGTAGAAGATGACACTTTCGTGAGCGTTGACGTCGCTTGGTCTGCAGTGGCAAGTAATGGGATGGAAAGATAACAAATAAGAAGGTTGAAAACTGCTCGGAGAAACGAACTTGGGCGATGCGGTTGGTTTGGCTTGAGCAGCTAAACGGACGACGCGGAATTTTATGGGTTGGTCCAAAGCCAAACGGTCGACTTGAAGCGCTATCAGACTGCCTCACAGCGCGAATCGGACTGTCCCACAGCGTGTATTCATACTGCGTGTATCGGACTGTCCCACAGCGTGTATTCATACTGCGTGTATCGGACTGTCTTACAGCGCGAGGTGATGCCTGTCTGGAGCAGGTGACGCGCGGCAGACGCGCAGGAGACGAGCGAGAGCAGCGCTGGGGAGGGAGAGCGATCGAATGGGGCCCGGGGGACGAGAGGGAGGGAGGTGGGGCAACGTAGAATAGCGCTAATTGATTATTCGGCTACAGGAGGGCCGCGCCTCAGATGTTCGAAATTTTGTGAGAGAAGGGGAGTGCAGAAGCCGCGCGAGAGAGAGCGCAGCTTTTGGGAAAAGAAAAGAAAAGAAAGGGCTCGGAGTGACATTTGGTGCGACGTTGCATGCGACGACCCCCGGGGTGAATTGCGATTTCGCCTGCAGTTGCTGGATGCGGAGGGGAAAAATTGCGCACGAACTTTAGATTTTTCCGTTCATCGACCGCATTTCGAGAAAAAGTCGACCGAAATACCCGCGACAGCTCAGCCGCAAAATGTCCAGTGCTCAAGGATTATCAAGAGATTTCTGGGTAATTCGCAAACCTGTTGACCGTAAAACCCAGCGCCGGTTCAGCAGGAAGAGGAAAGAAAAGGAGGAAGGTCATCAGCGTCTTCAAGACTGAAGGCGATAGGCAGAAAAATGCGTTCAGAGCAGAGATTCCGCGTTTAAAGGACGAAAGAAAAAAAAAGTGTAACTACTAAATCTAATCACTCACCAGCAAGGGCGACAGCAAGTCGCAGGGGGGGTGACGTCCTGGCCATGATGGTGCTTGCAGACTGACTAGCTACCGCTGGTAGTACGACTGTTGAGTTCGAAGGGATGTCGAGGATGAAGAGACAGGGGCGACACAGAGCTCTAAGGCACAGCTAGGGATTCTGTATTTTGTCTGGGAGTGTGAGGCTGAGAAGAGGTTTGTGAATGAAGAGAACGTGAAAAATCGCGTCTTTGTAGTGCATGCACGCCAGTGGTTGCAATTCCGAATGGAAAGAAAAACGGGAATGCGTCCATATGCTGCGGCGTAGCAGGTTCGAGTGTTGGTGTGATGCGTGAAATGGGGGCGTCGGGCGACATTCGCGTAGAAACGCAGGGAGAAGAGCAATTCCCGCGCGAACGCAAGTAGACCTGGGAAGATTTGTCCTACGCAGTAGATAATATGCTGTGCTGCTCGGTTCCGGGTCGCGAATCTCAGGTGCTTCCCGGATTGCTGCTGTCTATTCGCGACGAAACAACAGCAGAGTTTTCGCTGTGCCCCTGGGACCAGTTGTGGCCCTGTTCTGTTGCCGCACCACTTGATGCGGCGGCGGACAGGGCAGCACCGCATCACTTGGTGCGGCATCAGTCTTCCGCGAAGCAACAGACCCCTGGCTAGGTGCAACGCAGCCTCCTGCCACCCTCCGCGCAACTGCAGGCGTTTAGTGTTTTCGGGCCGAGTTGCACCAAAATACCCAGTCAAAATCGGGTAAAGACGAGCACCACCAAAACACAACCACAGGGTTACCACGCACCCATAAACAGAGCCAAAATTACAGCGCCCTTAACTAGGTTTCGTAGTGGCGGCTGAAAGACATGCTGCAAAATTAGGGGAATTCGCTATCTCGGTCGGTAGGGGCTTGTAAAATTTATATCTGCTCCGCACCACGTGATGCGGTGCCTGGATCCCCCCTCAGACCCTGAACCAGGCCCGCACCACTTTCGCACCCATTTTGCCTGGGAGTGGGGGATTGTGAGTCAGTCACTGGTTCACCGTTCTTTTGCCCAATGCAGGGCGGACTGCACTGCACTGCACTCACTAGGTTCGGGAAGGGGTTCAGTTTCCCGAGCCTGGAATCGAGGAATAGACCCTCAAAAACGAGGCTTCCGGGATCACCGGTAGAAGGCCGTAAGAAGCATCAAATGATGCGGTGCGGAGGGGGCCGCACCAAGTGGTGCGGCAACAGAACAGGGCCTGTGTAATGCCGGCATGTTCGGCAGATTCAACAGTGAGTTCACACTTGGCCATATTGGCCGTCCGGCGTCCCAAGCGCCGGGCGTTGCGCTGGGAAAATGTGCTCCGCCTTAGAAATACTGCATGAGCTAGTATATGGAGGATTCTTCAGAGAATGCATCTTTTGTCAACACCAACGTGTTGGAATGCTCAACTGTTTGGATAATTCAAATTTTTGAAAAAAAAAATTGAGACAAAATGCTCCTTGATGCTTTATTTATTTCAAATCGCTTCGATATAAGCATCTGCACATGATGCCAGACCTTGCACCTCTCGCATGCGAAAGATATCCTTGGAATAGGACGAGTACGGAGTGCCAATAAAATGCTTTGCTCTGGCACATATGTGCTTCTCGGCAAGAGCTCTTGCAATGCCATTGGTGTTCGATCCACCCTCCATGTCCCTCTCAGCTTCATGAAATGCCTGCAACCGGCAGATAAAATTAAAAGGAAATCTTGTAGAAACAATGAAGGGACAAAACTCTCCCAACACAAGCACACGAACGTGTAAGGAGGAGCAAAAGATTTACAAGTACAGCTATATTTACCTTAACCCACGGGAAGCGCTGGTACTCATCGGAGCTTGCGCCGAAAGCTGGCAGACGCACCACAATGAGGGGGCTGCCGGGCGCCATGCCTGGAGAAGAGATCACAGTATAGCAACAGATCATGTTAAGGTTGGATACCGAGTCACAGACAGAAAAGAGGTGGTGTTTGAAACCAAGCCAGCACAGCCTGCCGCTTCATCACAATGGGGGTGCAAGGAGACATGCTAGAAGCAGACAGAAGCTCACCCATGTGGAGCCTGTCCAGCAGCTCCTCCTCGCACTGAATCTGTTTTTTGAGAATTCTCAAAAAAACATAATTCTTAAAAAACAAACTTCTCAAAAAACAGAATTGCTCCTAAAAAAAAAAAAACAAACAAATTTCTAAAAAAAAAAAAAAAAGAATTATAAAAAAAACAGAAGCACACCCATGTGGAGCCTGTCCAGCAGCTCCTCCTCGTACTGGCTAGCAGACACAAGCCCATAAAACACCTCTCACAAGAAGCCTATAAAATGCCTGTCAAAGCCACCAACACCGACACCCACACCCACACCCACACCCACACCCACACCCACACCCACACCCACATCATAAGCTCACCCATGAGAAGCCTCTCCAGCAGCTCCACCTCGTACTGGCTGGCGTCCGTGGCGAGGTAGACAGCTGTCACGCTGCGATTGGCCAGACGCCTCATGATGAACCGCCCCACGGCTACGATGGGCAGGAAGGCGGGATGGCTCTTGGTCTGGTGCGCGTGGTGGTACACCCGAGAGAAGTCAGACCTGAGGGAGTAAGGTGGGTTGGAAGGTGAGGGGAGGTGGATGGGAAGGAGGGTTAGTGCCTCATCATGAGCCGCCCACTGCCACGATGGGCAGGAAGGCGGGATGGCTCTTGGTCTGCTGCGCGTGGTGGTACACCCGAGAGAAGTCAGACCTGAGGGAGTAAGGTTGGTTGGAAGGAGAGGGGAGGTGGATGGGAAGGAGGGTTAGTGCCTCATCATGAGCCGCCCCACGGCTACGATGGGCAGCAAGGCGGGATGGCTCTTGGTCTGCTGCGCGTGGTGGTACACCCGAGAGAAGTCAGACCTGTAGGGTCAGGGAGGCGGGGGAGATCAGACAAAGAGCGTGTGCAGGGAGAACATGTCAAAGGGCACACCGGCGAGGGATAGCCCGTTGAGATCACCGAGGGAGAGAGACACGAGGGAGCTAAGGGAGTGGAGTGAGGAAGAGAAGTGAGGGAGTGGAGCGAGAAAGAGGAGTGAGGAAGCGCAATGCTTACCTCCTGAGGTGCACGGCTGCATAGTCCCCTCTCAGAAACGTGTTTTGAGGCGCCTCAAAAGTCACATTCTCACCTCCTCAGGTGCACGGCCGCATAGTCCCCGCCCAGAAACGTGTCAATGAATCCAGTGACGAAGCCCTCCACTGGTGGCGGTGGCATCCACAGATCCACACAGGAAAGGCGGAAGGGCGGGTGCGGGGAGAGCATGTCAAAGGGCAGACCGGCGAGGGACAGCCCGTTGAGGTCACCGAGAGAAAGCACTGGCGTGGCGGCGTAGGCGAGTGAAGTGGAAGGAGAGGAGGGAGAGGAGGCGGTAGCAGGTGGGGAGGAAGGTGAGAGTGTGGCGTTGGTGCTGTGATTGCCGGCCATGCCGCGCGGCTGGAGAATCAAAGCAGAAGAGGGAAGTGCAGATGCGGGTGCTGGCTCCTGCATGCCGTGCTGTGCAGCATCTGTGGTGCCTGTGGCGTCTGTGTCGCCTGTGCTTGTGAGCACGTGCAGCAGCTCGTCTAGGTGGTGGGAATGCAGAGGGGGGTACTCCAGGTGCGAGGTGAAGGAGATGTCTCGAAGCGCCTTGAACACCTGGTTTGGGGGGGCGACGAAGGAGGGTGGGATTGAAGGAGTTGTGACAGCTATTGGGATTGAAGGAGTTGTGACAGCTATTGGGATTGAAGGAGTTGTGACAGCTATTGGGATTGAAGGAGTTGTGACAGCTATTGGGATTGAAGGAGTTGTGACAGCTATTGGGATTGAAGGAGTTGTGACAGCTATTGGGATTGAAGGAGTTGTGACAGCTATTGGGATTGAAGGAGTTGTGACAGCTATTGGGATTGAAGGAGTTGTGACAGCTATTGGGATTGAAGGAGTTGTGACAGCTATTGGGATTGAAGGAGTTGTGACAGCTATTGGGATTGAAGGAGTTGTGACAGCTATTGGGATTGAAGGAGTTGTGACAGCTATTGGGATTGAAGGAGTTGTGACAGCTATTGGGATTGAAGGAGTTGTGACAGCTATTGGGATTGAAGGAGTTGTGACAGCTATTGGGATTGAAGGAGTTGTGACAGCTATTGGGATTGAAGGAGTTGTGACAGCTATTGGGATTGAAGGAGTTGTGACAGCTATTGGGATTGAAGGAGTTGTGACAGCTATTGGGATTGAAGGAGTTGTGACAGCTATTGGGATTGAAGGAGTTGTGACAGCTATTGGGATTGAAGGAGTTGTGACAGCTATTGGGATTGAAGGAGTTGTGACAGCTATTGGGATTGAAGGAGTTGTGACAGCTATTGGGATTGAAGGAGTTGTGACAGCTATTGGGATTGAAGGAGTTGTGACAGCTATTGGGATTGAAGGAGTTGTGACAGCTATTGGGATTGAAGGAGTTGTGACAGCTATTGGGATTGAAGGAGTTGTGACAGCTATTGGGATTGAAGGAGTTGTGACAGCTATTGGGATTGAAGGAGTTGTGACAGCTATTGGGATTGAAGGAGTTGTGACAGCTATTGGGATTGAAGGAGTTGTGACAGCTATTGGGATTGAAGGAGTTGTGACAGCTATTGGGATTGAAGGAGTTGTGACAGCTATTGGGATTGAAGGAGTTGTGACAGCTATTGGGATTGAAGGAGTTGTGACAGCTATTGGGATTGAAGGAGTTGTGACAGCTATTGGGATTGAAGGAGTTGTGACAGCTATTGGGATTGAAGGAGTTGTGACAGCTATTGGGATTGAAGGAGTTGTGACAGCTATTGGGATTGAAGGAGTTGTGACAGCTATTGGGATTGAAGGAGTTGTGACAGCTATTGGGATTGAAGGAGTTGTGACAGCTATTGGGATTGAAGGAGTTGTGACAGCTATTGGGATTGAAGGAGTTGTGACAGCTATTGGGATTGAAGGAGTTGTGACAGCTATTGGGATTGAAGGAGTTGTGACAGCTATTGGGATTGAAGGAGTTGTGCTCCCTGATTGTGCACACGTGCAGGAGGTCACTAATGAGAATTCTCAAAAGTAAACTTCACGTGCAGGAGGTGACTTTTGAGAATTCTCAAAAAGTAAAATTCACGTGCAGGAGGTGATGGAGGTGGTGGGAGTGCAGAGGGGGGTACTCCAGGTGTGAGGCAAACGGAATGCCTGGTAGCGCCTTGAACATCTTGTTGGGGGGGAGGGGGGAGAAAGAGGAAAAGGGGAAGGGAAAGGTGACAAGGACGATTGCATGAGAGGGAAGGAGATGCGAGATGCAAGCGTGATAGATGGATAGATGTAAGCATGACATCCGGTCCACACCACAGTGAGGTTGCGCCCATTCAGTGCCTCGCGGGAAAGCATGACACAGGTACTGTTTCTCACATGCACACACAGGCTGATACACACATGCACTCACCATTTGCGGGTGGCTCAGGCACGTGTGCGGCACAACACATGCGATCCGGTCCACTGTCAGGTTGCGCCCCTCCAAAGCCTCATACTCGTCCTGGCTGATGGATGTGCATGTATTGAAGGTGACTAACACACAACTGCACTCACCATCTGCGGGTGGGAGAGGCAGGTGTGTGGCACAACACACGCTATGCGGTCCACAGTGAGCTTGCGCCCCTCCAGTGCCTCGTACTCGTCCTGGCTGATCACACTCGGCACCTCTCCACTGCCCGCGTGCCAGCTCCACTCACTACTACAACTGCTGCTGCTGCTGCTGCTGCTGCTGCTGCTGCCGCCACCGCCACAGCCATTGCCGGACGTGCCACCACCACCAGTAGCAGCAGCAGCTGCAGCAGCACCAGCAGCACCACCAGCAGCGGCAGCGGCAGCGCCAGCAGCCCCAGCAGCGCCAGCAGCAGCAACAGCAGCAACAGCAGCAGCAGGAAGGGCTGAGGGGTAGCGGGGCATGAGGCAGGAGCGCATGTGAGGCACGTTCACAATGACGCCCCACTGCCAGCGATACTCCGCCACCACTGAGATCGCATACCCATGTCGTGGGATGATCAAAGTTCGGTTGAGAAGCGCTGCAAGGGCCAGATACATGTGCACGCACGCTTCCTGGTCGAGGGAGTGGGAGGAGATGGGGGGAGCGAGAAGAGGGATCTAACATGGATGCTAAAATCACAATGAACCCCCACTGCCAGCGATACTCCGCCACCACTGAGATGGCAAAGCCGTGGCGTTGAACGTGGGATGATGAGCGTGCGGTTCAACGGCGCTGCCAGGGCCAGGTACATGTGCATGCACGCTTCCTGGGAGGGGAGGAGGGGGCATGGGAGGGAGGGGGCGGGGGAAAAAGGGAAAGGGAAAAAGGGTTTGGAGGTTAAAACGGGTGCAAGAAAAAGGATGGAGACAAACGAGGGGATGGTGTGGAGGAAAGGGTTAGGGCGCGTCAGATCCGTTACAATGTGATTTGGCTGGAATTTGGTCGACAATTTGGTCGACTAAATCTTTCGCCAAAGTCGACAACAGGGTCGACTTCAAAAGCGACCAATATCCGGCCACATTTACAGGGCCGAAAAATCTGACACATTTGGTGGCCGATTTGCAGGCCGCTTTGCAAATGTGTCAGATTTGCAGTTCGCCAGGGTGGCCGGATTGTGCGACAGATTCGCAGATGCAGTACTTGTGTGACACGACACGTTGCGTCGCATGAGTCGGCGACGTCGCGTAGTGACTGTAGCGATCTCAGGTCGACAAATTGGTCGACTTTTGAGTCGACTGCATGTCGGAACTTTGTCGAATGCTGAACCGGCCATCAATTTTTTTACAAATGGCCGGATTTGGCGAAGTGTGCGAAAATATGAGCGAACGTCGCAAATATGTTACTTTCGCTAATTCCGGCCGGCCGGATTTTTTCAACAACGGATCTGACGCACCCTTAGGAGACGCCTGGTCAGACCGCCACACCTGGTTGGAGAGGCGGCAATAGGTGCAGAGTGCCAGCAGGTAACGCCCCTTCACAGGCCTCCACGCCTCTATCACCCTCCTTTCGCCCCTCGCACTTCCCCCTGTGCCTTTTAAGGCGCCTCAAAGGTCTCACCTGGTTGGAGAGTCGCCCATACGTGCAGAGTGCGAGCAGATACCGCCCCTTTACAGGCCTCCACGCCTCTATCACCCTCCTCTCGCCCCTCGCAGGCCCCCCTGTGCCTGCCCCTCCCCCTTCTTCACACGTCATGCCTGATGCCTCTAGCACCCTTCTCCTAATCACACTGCCTCTGCTGCTCCACTTCTGACCAACTCGTTCTAACCTCGCCTCTAGGTCTTCTTCCCTCATTCCTATCCCTACCCCTCTCCCCTCTGCATCATTCCCTCCTTCGGCTGTAGATCGGCCCCTTAACTCTACCACCTTTTTCCCTGGTAACCACCTGCTCCAGCTCAGTTCGCCTCTCTTCGCCAGTCCTGCCAGTTTTCTTCGCCAAGGCCAAAAAACTTGCCCACTCAACCACTGCTTTCTCAAGATGGCGGAAAATCCATTTTCCAGCTTCCGAATGGTACTGTCTGTCAGCTGCTGACCGTCAGGTGTTTCGCCAGAAGCTCTTTCAGGAGAATTCTCAAAATCTGTGGTACGAAGCGCTCCAGGAGTGACGAATCTCGCCAGAGCGGCCGGATTCGCCAGTGTATCGAGATCGAACACGTGTTCATCTCTGACTGCGCCCACACCGCATGAGAGGAGACTCGAGCACCACAGGAAGCCCAGCAGAAGCACGCTGAAGGAGAGCGTCGGATCTCTATAAATGCGGAGCCTCGGCAGCCTCTGCGCAGCGTTCTCTGGCTGAAGGGTTACTGCAGGCACCATCTTGGCAATCGGCTGTCCGATTACTGTAGTTGCTCAGGAGGCAGTATCCAATATAAAAAGACCCGATAATCTCTTTAGGCCACCCACGAGTGAGCAGAGGAATGGTCAGCAGGAGCGAGCGCCTGGTATAAATGGTTGAACTCCGCCAGAATGGATTATGCTGGCGCGGCGCTGACCTCTGCTTAAATTTTGGACATTATATGCTTGCACGAATCCGCAATACATCGAGCAGTGGGAAAGACCGATTCTGGAAGCTCTTAAAAGTGAATCACGAATCGCGGCAAGTAGTGGTAGCGGCGATCATGTGCTCGGGCCCTACTATTCCAGCGACAATCTCCCTTTAGGATCGTCCCGTTTCGCTCCACATGCGTCGCGACGCGAAACGGGACGATGGCCAAAGCCGAAGGCCGAAGCCGAAGTCCGAGGGCCGTGGAAAAAGGCGGGTCAGGGCGGTTCGAAAGGCGCCATTCGCGCTGGAACGCCAGCGGAAAGGTCGGGCCGGAGGTGCCAGAAAGGCGGCGGCAGGGAGGGAGGGAGAAGTTGCAAGAAAGGTGCGTCGCTGCTCATAATCTCCGTCGATAGGCGGCGGGAAGTGGTCAGCATGCAGAGAATGTCACAAAATACAGGCACCCGCGAAGCACGGTCGGTCGCTAGTGACGAGTAGAACGGATCGTTGTCAGGCGAATCTCGACCGTCCGTCATTCCCTCGAATCGCCGCCTGGCGAAGCGTGAGAAGGAGCTAGTTGCCAGAGTCAGAATCTGACAGAATCTGCTAAGATTGAATCGGTAGTTTGCACCTGAAAGCTAAGTTGATCGTCTGAATGTTCAATGGTTTTTGTTGATTGTTCACACGGCATAGTCAATCCCGATGGTCATCTGTTCGCGTTTGTGGACGGATGTTCCGTCTCGATCCAAGTACTGTATAACATGGAGATTCGAGTTTGCCTTCTACGACGGAAATTTGTTTTGCCCTCTATTCCCCCCGTTCTTCTGCATTCCCTAATAAATATCATGTGCACAATAAGGAGCAAGTGGATACTTAGAACAAATGCAGATATTCTACTAGCAAGAGACCTCACTTGAGCATCTAAAGTTGTAACTTAGCGCTGTTGGAAGCTCACAATGCATGCCTCAACACAGACATTTTCCATGTCAAGCAGCAGTACAAAATAGTTATTTCGAACTGTCGTTTCGAAGGGCTCTCATTTAAAAACCCCGTTTCAATAAGCTGTTGTGGAAGGCAGCAAATCTGTTACGGTGGAAGGACACTCTAGAGGTCGGTGAGTGAGGTGAGCACAGGGAAGCCAGGTTCAGCAGGCAGGGCACCATTGCCAGGGCGCGAGAGCAGCACCGCCTGAAGACCTGTGGGTGGGTGGGTGCGACAGTGGGGTGGAGGGCAGGCAGGGAGAAAGAGAGGGGATTGTGAGAATATATATATATATATATTTTTTTATATATGTTTATATATATTTATATATTTATTTGTATATATATATATTTTTTCACGTATGGATAAATTTGACCGATTTTTGCCTACATTCACGTGGGTACCTGCTTGTTTGAATCATCCACCTGCTGCTGGCTTGCTTGGCAGCCTGTGCCTCCTCCAGAATGTTGGTGCAGAATGAGATATGTGACGGGGAGTCAACGGGTAGCGAGAGACAGCACAGCTGCCTGCTCACTATTCGTCTGCATGCATACATGCTCATCCCTGCCTGCCTGCTAGCTTGGCAGCCTGTGCCTCCTCCAGAATGTCGGTGCAGAAGGTGATGTGTGCAGGGGAGATCACAGGAGCACTGCTAAGGATAGGCACTGCCCGATTGCATGCCCTGTGTTGACCTGCCTGCCTACTTGCTCCTCCCTGCCCTACCTGCTTGCTTGGAAGCCTGAGCCTCCTCCAGGATATTGGTGCAGAAGGTGATGCGTGACGGGGAGACAACTGAGAACGAGAGAAACAGCACAACTGCCTGCCTCGTGCTGTTGACCTGCCTGACCCATGCCCATCCCTGCCCTACCTGCTTGCTTGGCAGCCTGTGCCTCCTCAAGAATGTCGGTGCAGAAGGTGATGTGTGCAGGGGAGTCAGCACCCAGAGATAGCGCGATCTCCGAGTAGCTGCACGCCTCCCTCTTGTGGCTGCTCGGAGGGTGTGTGAGGGAGGGTGGGCGAGAGGGAAGAGGTGAGGGAGAGTGGGTGAGAGAGGGTAGGTGAGGGAGGGTAGGTGAGAGGGAAGAGGTGTGAAAATTTGTGAGGAAGAAGGAGAGATGCGAGCAAACAGGTGCAAGCGAGGCACAGATGATAGAGTCGTTCAAACCCTGTGAAAAGAACAAACCAGGGATCGGTATGTGCATAAGACGACTTTTGAGGCGCCTCAAAGATGATAGAGTCGTTCAAACCCTGTGAAAAGAACAAACCAGGGATCGGTATGTGCATAAGACGACTTTTGAGGCGCCTCAAAGATGATAGAGTCGTTCAAACCCTGTGAAAAGAACAAACCAGGGATCGGTATGTGCATAAGACGACTTTTGAGGCGCCTCAAAACATGATGATAGAGACGTTCAAACCCTGTGAAAAGAACAAACCCGGGATCGGTATGTGCATAAGGGCTTCAGCTGGATGTGCGAATCGACCCTGTGGCAGTATCAAAGAAGCCACTAATGAAGCGGCACAGGTCCCCCATACTGTCACATATGAGCATGAGCTAGAGGCGACATATGAGGAGTGTGCATAAGAGCATCAAATCGACGTAATATAAATACCGACCTTGTGGTGGTATCAAAGAAGCCACTAATGAAGCGGCGCAGGTCCCCCATGCTGTCACATATGAGCATGAGCTAGAGGCGACATATGAGGTGTGTGCATAAGAGCATCAAATCGACGTAATATAAATACCGACCCTGTGGTGGTATCGAAGAAGCCACTAATGAAGCGGCGCAGGTCGCCCACATTGGAATAGCCGAAGATGAGGCGCTGCGCCTCCCTGCTGCCACTCGAATAGATGTAGATCTGAAGGAGTGGGGAAGACAGGGAGGGAATGGGGAGTCTAGTTTTGAGGCGCCTCAGAACTGTGCCTCCCTGCTGCCACTTGAATAGATGTAGATCTGAAGGAGTGGGGAAGACAGGGAGGGAAGGGGAAGATAGCTGTGGAGCGAGGAAGAGAGGGAGAAGTGGATTACGAAGAGCTTGGAAAAAGAAGACGCCAGCAGGACTAACGCCAGACTACAGACACGTGAAGATGACCTTTTGCACCTCCTTCTGCGCCATTCCCAAACGCCGCTTTGGATGGGAACGAGTCACAGCAAAGCTTGATTACATGCGCTGCTCGAAACCAGATGACACCTGCCTTGCACCCAGCCGACTAAGATGAGAATCACTTCCTGACTCAGCCCCCTTGCAGCCAACCTGCAGCAGATAAGTCACCACTGTTGGTGTTGACTCTTCCAGACAGCACCCACCTTGCTCCCAGCAGCGTGCCACTGGGTGAGCGCAGTCAACACATCACTAAAAAACTCCCCCTTGAGCTCGCCCTTCTCGTACCCGCCCCTCCAAACTTGGTGACAGTGAAAAGTTACCTCTGCTTGTGTTGACTCTTCCAGACAGCACCCACCTTGCTCCCAGCAGCGTGCCACTGGGTGAGCGCAGTCAACACATCGCTGAAAAACTCCCCCTTCAATTCGCCCTTCTCGTACCCGCCCCGCCAGATGTGCCCCTGCAGCTGCTTCAGCGCCGTCACCTTCCTGTCCGCCGCTATCATCGCCGCCACGTTCCTCGCCAGTGCTGCCACCACGGCTTCTTTCCCAGCTTCAAAGGGCGGCACGGGCTCAGCACCAGCAACAGAAGACTTGAGGTCTTGGTCGATTTGGGTGCGCAGCAGCATGATGTCTGCCTGCGTCTCGGGGGTGTCGAAGGTGGCGAGTAGATGCTGCCCCACATGTGACTTGGCATACGGGAAGAGGACCTGCGGTGGGAAGGGCAGAGAGGTAGAGGTCGCTATCAGTGCTTTGACCCTGCCCCTGCGTTCCTATGGAGCCCCAAGTAGGAGGCATGGCGTAGCGTGCCAGCAGCTATTTTTTGAGAATTCTAAAAAAATCCCTGCAAGTAGGAGGCATGGCGTAGCGTGCCAGCAGCTGTGTTTAGCAAACAGCTGCTGCCACGCTACGCCATGCCTCCTACTTGGGGCTCCATTGGTCTATCCAAGGACCTGGGGTGGGAAGGGCAGAGAGGTAGAGGTCGGTATCAGTGCTTTGACCCTGCCGCCACGTTTCTCTCCAGTGCCCCCACCACAGCATGTCGGCTTGCGTCTCGGGGGTGTCGAAGCTGTCCCTCAAGTGCTGCCCCACGTGGTCCTTGGCATATGGGAAGAGGATCTGGTGGCATGGCAGGTGGTGAGAGGGGAGAGAGGATACAAGAACAGGATGCAGTATGAGAGGAGGTAGTCGATTTGGGTGCGCAGCAGCAGCAGCATGTCGGCTTGCGCCTCAGGGTAATCGAAGGTGGCGAGCAGGTGCTGGCTCATGTGGGCCTTGGCATAGGGGAAGAGCACCTGGTGATGGGGGGATAAGGGGAATGAAGTATTGGCTAGGAGAGGTCTGGTGATGTCAGGCCGTTGGCTTGGAGAGGTTTGGTCTCAATTTGCTTTCTTGCTGGGACAGCGTAGCCTTGTAAGGGAGACAGCGTTCTAGAAGAGGATCAGACGCGCTGGCAGGCACTAGAAATATACCAAACGCAAACGGAAAGAGATCTGCAGGCGGCAGGTAGCGTAGCGCTAAATCTGCGTTTCAGCTACTAGAGAGGCTCTGGGCTCTAAGGCTGGGCTCGAAGGATTTACGGTTGGGAATTTTGGATCTGGAGTCTAAGGCTTGGTGTTTCAGGTTTGGGGTTTAAGGTATGCGGTTTAGCAAGCGGGCAAGACATACCTGAGAGACAAAGGAGATGGGCGTGGTGGTGCCCTCTATGTCCAGCACTATGAACTTCTGCAGATTGGGGTAGGAAGAGAGGGGGGGGGAGGTGGGGGAAGGGGGGAGAGAATTGAGCCACAGGTGAGAAGGGGGGTAGGCGTAGATGAGATGGGTGTGGTGCGGTGGTGCCCTCTATGTCCAGCACTATGAACTTGTTCAGATTGGGGTAGGAGGAGAGGGATTGTTGTGGGGAGTGGAGTGGGGGGGGCGGAGAGCAGAAGGGCGGGCATGGCTGCAAAACTGGGAAGGAGATGGGTGTGGTGTGTTGGTGCCCTCTATGTCCAATACTAAGAACTTGTGCCTTTTGAGTCGACTCAAAAGTCAACTGGGAAGGAGATGGGCGTGGTGTGGTGGTGCCTTCTATGTCCAATACTATGAGCTTGTGCTGATTGGGGTAGGAGGGGAGAGGAGGGGGGAAGGCAGACAGAGAAGGGCATGTATGGTGGTTGGGGAGGTGTTTTGAGATGGGGGTGGTGGTGCCTTTCATACACCTGGTGGTTGGGGAGGAGGAAATGGGGGTGGTGGTGCCTCAAACCCTGAGCACCACGGTTTCTGCATTTCCTCCTCAGGCACCGCCCCCACTAGGAATTTCTGCAGAGTGGGGGTGGAGGGCAAGGGTGGCAGTGGTGCTTCCTCATAGCTGTGTCAAACAGGCAGTGGTAACACTCCCATCAACTTTTGAGACGTCTCGAAAGTCAAACATGCAGTGGTAACACTCCCATCAACTTTTGAGACAGTCTCGAAAGTCAAACATGCAGTGGTAACACTCCCATCAACTTTTGAGACGTCTCGAAAATCAAACATGCAGTGGTAACACTCCCATCAACTTTTGAGACGTCTCAAAAGTCAAACATGCAGTGGTAACACTCCCATCAACTTTTGAGACGTCTCGAAAGTCAAACATGCAGTGGTAACACTCCCATCAACTTTTGAGACGTCTCAAAAGTCAAACATGCAGTGGTAACACTCCCATCAACTTTTGAGACGTCTCGAAAGTCAAACATGCAGTGGTAACACTCCCTTCAACTTTTGAGACGTCTCGAAAGTCAAACATGCAGTGGTAACACTCCCATCAACTTTTGAGACGTCTCAAAAGTCAAACATGCAGTGGTAACACTCCCATCAACTTTTGAGACGTCTCGAAAGTCAAACATGCAGTGGTAACACTCCCATCAACTTTTGAGACGTCTCGAAAGTCAAACATGCAGTGGTAACACTCCCATCAACTTTTGAGACGTCTCAAAAGTCAAACATGCAGTGGTAACACTCCCATCAACTTTTGAGACGTCTCAAAAGTCAAACATGCAGTGGTAACACTCCCATCAACTTTTGAGACGTCTCAAAAGTCAAACATGCAGTGGTAACACTCCCATCAACTTTTGAGACGTCTCAAAAGTCAAACATGCAGTGGTAACACTCCCATCAACTTTTGAGACGTCTCAAAAGTCAAACATGCAGTGGTAACACTCCCATCAACTTTTGAGACGTCTCGAAAGTCAAACATGCAGTGGTAACACTCCCATCAACTTTTGAGACGTCTCAAAAGTCAAACATGCAGTGGTAACACTCCCATCAACTTTTGAGACGTCTCGAAAGTCAAACATGCAGTGGTAACACTCCCATCAACTTTTGAGACGTCTCGAAAGTCAAACATGCAGTGGTAACACTCCCATCAACTTTTGAGACGTCTCAAAAGTCAAACATGCAGTGGTAACACTCCCATCAACTTTTGAGACGTCTCGAAAGTCAAACATGCAGTGGTAACACTCCCATCAACTTTTGAGACGTCTCGAAAGTCAAACATGCAGTGGTAACACTCCCATCAACTTTTGAGACGTCTCAAAAGTCAAACATGCAGTGGTAACACTCCCATCAACTTTTGAGACGTCTCAAAAGTCAAACATGCAGTGGTAACACTCCCATCAACTTTTGAGACGTCTCAAAAGTCAAACATGCAGTGGTAACACTCCCATCAACTTTTGAGACGTCTCAAAAGTCAAACATGCAGTGGTAACACTCCCATCAACTTTTGAGACGTCTCAAAAGTCAAACATGCAGTGGTAACACTCCCATCAACTTTTGAGACGTCTCGAAAGTCAAACATGCAGTGGTAACACTCCCATCAACTTTTGAGACGTCTCAAAAGTCAAACATGCAGTGGTAACACTCCCATCAACTTTTGAGACGTCTCGAAAGTCAAACATGCAGTGGTAACACTCCCATCAACTTTTGAGACGTCTCGAAAGTCAAACATGCAGTGGTAACACTCCCATCAACTTTTGAGACGTCTCAAAAGTCAAACATGCAGTGGTAACACTCCCATCAACTTTTGAGACGTCTCGAAAGTCAAACATGCAGTGGTAACACTCCCATCAACTTTTGAGACGTCTCGAAAGTCAAACATGCAGTGGTAACACTCCCATCAACTTTTGAGACGTCTCAAAAGTCAAACATGCAGTGGTAACACTCCCATCAACTTTTGAGACGTCTCAAAAGTCAAACATGCAGTGGTAACACTCCCATCAACTTTTGAGACGTCTCAAAAGTCAAACATGCAGTGGTAACACTCCCATCAACTTTTGAGACGTCTCAAAAGTCAAACATGCAGTGGTAACACTCCCATCAACTTTTGAGACGTCTCAAAAGTCAAACATGCAGTGGTAACACTCCCATCAACTTTTGAGACGTCTCAAAAGTCAAACATGCAGTGGTAACACTCCCATCAACTTTTGAGACGTCTCAAAAGTCAAACATGCAGTGGTAACACTCCCATCAACTTTTGAGACGTCTCAAAAGTCAAACATGCAGTGGTAACACTCCCATCAACTTTTGAGACGTCTCAAAAGTCAAACATGCAGTGGTAACACTCCCATCAACTTTTGAGACGTCTCAAAAGTCAAACATGCAGTGGTAACACTCCCATCAACTTTTGAGACGTCTCAAAAGTCAAACATGCAGTGGTAACACTCCCATCAACTTTTGAGACGTCTCAAAAGTCAAACATGCAGTGGTAACACTCCCATCAACTTTTGAGACGTCTCAAAAGTCAAACATGCAGTGGTAACACTCCCATCAACTTTTGAGACGTCTCAAAAGTCAAACATGCAGTGGTAACACTCCCATCAACCCATCAATCCAACCACCCACTGCGTGTATCTTACTGAAAACGCTTTGCCGCCGGCCGTAGCAGCAGGAGCAGCAGCAGCGGGCAGGTGCAGCAGAAGAAGCAGCAGCGGGCAGGTGCAGCAGAAGCAGCAGCATTGGCAGGTGCAGCAGAAGCAGCAGCAGCGGGCAGGTGCAGCAGAAGCAGAAGCAGCAGCAGCGGGCAGGTGCAGCAGAAGCAGCAGGAGCGGGCAGGTGCAGCGGGTCACAGGGGTTGATCCCCATGTGGCGCATCGTGCTAGCCAAGTCAAACAGGTAGTGGTAGCTCTCCCATCTACCCATCAACCCACCGGCTTACCAGAAAGGTCTTGCCACCAGTGGTAGCAGGCACAGCAGCAGCGCCAGAGATTTGCAGGTGCAGAGGGTCATAGGGGTTGATCCCCATCTGGTGCATGCGGATAGCTGCGTCAAAAAGGTAGTGGTAGCACTTCCCATCAACCCATCAACCCATCAACCCATCAACCCATCAACCCATCAATTCAACCCACTGCCCGTGTCTTACCGGAAAGGTCTTGCCACCAGCACTAGCAGCAGGAGCGGCAGCAGCAGAAGCAGCGGGCAGGTGCAGAGGGTCACATGGGTTGATCCCCATCTGGTGCATGCGGATAGATGTGTGAAACAGGTAGTGGTAGCACCCCGTCAACCCATCAACCCACTGCATGTGTCTCACCGGAAAGGTTTTGCCACCAGCAGCAGGAGCTGCAGCAGGAACAGCAGCGGCACCAGCAGCAGCTGGCAGGTGCAGCGGGTCGCACGGGTTGATCCCCATCTGGTGCATGCGGATAGCAGCGTCAAACAGGTAGTGGTAACACTCCGCCTGTGTCTTGGCCTGGATCCAGTTGTCCCCCCAGATGTACACGCCGTGGTTTCGCACCAACACTGCCGTTGCCTTGGGATAGGCCGCGATCTGCAAGTGAAACAGACGAACGGAGGAGCACAGAGGGATAAACTCAGCAGGTACAGGTAGTGGTAGCACTCCGCCTGTGTCTTGGCTTGGATCCAGTTGTCGCCCCAGATGTACACGCCATGGTTGCGCACTAACACTGCTGTTGCCTTGGGATAGGCTGCGATCTGTGTGGGTGGCGGATGGTGGGATGGACAAATGCGGCAGGGGAGAGGGAGAGGGGTTGGGCAAATGGGGATCATCAGGTAAGGGTCTTTGCTTAATCTAGTTATCCTCCCAGCATGACCCTTGAGAATATTCATATTTCTGAAGAACGTATCTGAAAAGACTATGGAGGAAGACAGGAAAAGACGAAAGGACGAGAGGAAAAAGGTAGAAGTAAGGTAGTAAGAGGATTGAAGGAAGAAACGAGGATGGTATGAGAAAAAGGAGTGGGGGTTTAGGTTGGAAGTGAAGAAAGGTGAGGTGAGGCGAGGAAAGGCGAGGCAAGGGGTTTACAGTGGCAGCGAGGGAGTCAGTAAGCTCGTTTTCTCTGGCGGCATTCTCAATGATTAGCACCACCAGCTTCGTGCAAGGCAAGGGCGTAATCTCAACAGCACTTTCACCAGGGGCGAGGGACCTACAGCACAAGCAAAGGGCTTACAGCGGCAGCGAGAGAGTCTGTGAGCTCATATTCCCGCGCGGTGTTCTCAATGATGGGCACCACCAGCTCGTCGTAATAGCCATGGCCCACGATGCCCTTTATCATCTCCATGTGAGATATCTGGGTGGAGGGGGGAAAAGGGAGTGGGGCGGAGGGGGAGGATGTGAGTGCGAGTTAGCACCTATTGCAGTACCCATGGCCCACGATGCCTTTTATCATCTCCATTTGAGATATCTGGGAGGAGGGGGAGAGAGAGGGAGAGAAAGAGTGAGGGAGAGAGGGGGGGAGAAAGAGAGAGGGAGAGAGAGGGGGAGAAAGAGTGAGGGAGAGAGAGGGGGAGAAAGAGAGAGGGAGAGAGAGGGGGAGAAAGAGTGAGGGAGAGAGAGGGGCTGAGGGGGTGGGAGTGCAAGAGAAAGGGTTCCTGGTAAGGAGCACTAGTTGTTGCGAAATGTGATCGTTACCCAGCCAGCTCAGTTGAGCCAGCCATCGAATGGAGCTAAGTCAATAAATACAGCAAAAGAGAATCAACGCGGTCAACCGAGAGTCAACTCACAATGGTGCCTAAGTTAACTCATCAATTCAGTCACTTCAGTCAGCTCAGTCACTTCAGTCAGCTCAGTCACTTCAGTCCCAACTTGGCATCAAGCCTGTCACCACAGTCAACGCAGTCAACTTGGTCAGTGCTGCAGTCCACGTATGCAGTCAACAACGTGAACTCACACGGAACTCCTTGGCGCCAGGGACGAGCATGGTGGCCATGGAAGTCGCCATGCCGTGGCTGTGAATGAAGCGATTATAGTGGTGCCTGAGTCAACTCAGTCAACGCATGTAGTCAAAAGAGTCAACTCACACGGAACTCCTTAGCGCCAGGGACGAGCATGGTGGCCATGGCAGTCTCCATGCCGTGGCTGTGGATCACCGCCCCCGCGCCGCGCATCTCAAAGCACTGTTGCACGGGGGAGTATCGGCGCACACGGGAGGAGATAAGGGGAAACGGAAGGGGAGGGTCCGGAGGAGGGAGCGAGGGGATGGGGGAGAAGAATGGAAGCCGGGCTGAGGAAAACGGAATGGGGGGGCGGAAAAGTGGGTAAGAGTGGGTCAGGGTGGGTTGAGGAGGGTGCAAGAACGGAATAGTGGTTCTCGTAAGACGTTGGTCTGAGTCAAAGGCGCGCTTTAGAACCCAGGAGACAATGAAAACGCTCGCCTTGAGAAAGAGCGGGCCGCACTCGCTGCACTTGGGCGGCTTGTGCGGGGCAGGCTTGACCTTAGGCTCCACGAGAATGGTCCCATCAGGCGCCATCACGTACATGTCCTCTGGGAGCATGCGCTCCTTCTGCACGCCTGTGGGGGAGGGAGAGGCCAGAGGCGGGGAATGAGAGGCAGGTCTCACTCTGGGCTTCACACTTCCTGAACCATCCGGCGCCTGCACTGCACGCACGTACATGTCCTCTGGGAGCATTCGCTCCTTCTGCACGCCTGTGGGGAAGGGAGAGGCCAGAGGCGGGGAACGAGAGGCAGGTCTCACTCTGGGCTTCACACTCCCGGAACCATCCGGGGCCATCACATACATGTCCTCTGGCAGCATTCGCTCCTTCTGCACGCCTGTGGTGTGGGGGAGAGGAGCCAATGAATGCATGGATAGTAGGGCGGGAGAGAAGGATAGGAGAAGGCGGGCTCAACTGTTGGTTCCACCAGCACTGTGGCATCCACCAGCACTGTGCCATCCACCAGCACTATGCCATCCACCAGCACTGTGCCATCCACCAGCACTGTGCCATCCACCAGCACTGTGCCATCCGGGGCCAGCACATACATGTTTTCTGGCAGCATGCGCTCCATCTGCACGCCTGAGAGGGTGCATGCATGTGCATATGGGGCATGATGGATGGTAAGGGCTGAGGGAAGGAGCATGGGATTCGCACCGGCACAGGGCACGGGGAAGAGACCATGGGGCATGGGGAAGAGACCATGGGGCATGGGGCATGGGGGATGGGGCATGGGGCATGGCGCATGGGGCATGGATGGATGGAAGGGTGCGTGCATGGGCGCATGGGTGCATGAATGCATGGGTGCATGAATGCATGGGTGCATGAATGCATGCATTGGTGTACGAGTGCTACCCACCAGAGGGAGCTACCCACTCCACCCACCAGAGGGAGCTACCCACTCCACCCATCAGAGGGAGCTACCCACTCCACCCACCAGAGGGAGCTACCCACTCCACCCACCAGAGGGAGCTACCCACTCCACCCACCAGAGGGAGCTACCCACTCCACCCACCAGAGGGAGCTACCCACTCCACCCACCAGAGGGAGCTACCCACTCCACCCACCAGAGGGAGCTACCCACTCCACCCACCAGAGGGAGCCATGACGATGGTGCGCTCTTGGTTGGTCTTCCCCGGCTCATTTGCCTTGATGCTGATGCTGCCCCCTGCATGCACGCACGCAACCACACACACAAGCCACATGTTTCACACACGTTCCCCAGCCGTTATCAGACGTGCACAGACAGACATGCATGTGGATAGCATGTACATACACGCACACATTGACATGTCATGGATTCAAGAATTTTCAAAATTATCCTGCATGGCATGTACATGCACACATTGGCATGTCATGTCATGCACGCAATCGCATCCAGGCAGGGAGAGGCTTTTGAGAATTCTCAAAAGAGAGGAGCACACGGGAATCGTGTTTGCAGCAAAACCGGATACGGAGTATCCAAGCAGTATGAATGAGTCTGTGTGTTTGGTGTGGTGTGGAGTATGGTACGATGAAGCTGGGTAGGGTAGAATTGACCAAATGATTCATCCATTGATACTCATACGGATGGACATGTGCTTTAATCAATGCTGGTTAAAGGATGGCCAATGCTGCTTAACGCTGGTCAACGCTGGTCAATGCCGACCATTACAGTCACTGCTGGCCAATACTGATCTGTGCTGACCCACGTTGGTCAATAACGGTCAGTGCTGGTCAGTGCTGACCCATGCTGGAGCCAGGTCATTCGAACGGCACTGGTTGAAGCTACAAAGACGGCACAGGCTGAAGCTACAAAGATGGCACTGGTTGAAGCTACAAAGACGGCACTGAATCGCGACTGCTCGAAGCTCTGTTCAGCATTGACCGAGCCAACGTCCCGCGATTTGAACAGTCGCCATTGGTGGTCGTGAAGTGGCGCTTAGGAATGTAGCGAATGAGGAGCTTATAGAGGATCTAAGGAATGCGGGTTTTCAGGATAGAGGGATCTGAGAGGAGAGCACGGAGACTGTGCGAATGCAGAAGGTATGGGGGTTATGATTCAAGTGCGCCCGATCGAAGGAGTGTAATTCGCGCGCACCTGTTCCCGAGACCCATCCAAGGGTGTAGAAGTGACGGCACAGCTCCGCGACAAGATCGCGGGCTTCCCGCACCGCGTCGCTCTCCTGATACCCCGCCGCCATTGTCGCAAAGCGTCGCACGGCAGCTCTGCCGCAAACTGTTCGAGACGGTGAGAAGAGCGCAAAATGCGGCGGGCGGGGAGAAGAAAGAGGCGAGCGGGAGATGGGGGAGACTCGTTGAAGAGTGCAACGACGGATGGCGATGCAGGAAGATGGGATGAGAGCAACTGCCGCCATGAAGGTGAGAGAAGCACTTGGATGGGGAATTTAAGATAAAATGTATTTATTTATTCAATGTTTCCGTTTGGTAATCAAACAGGTGCCGTGGTGTAGTTGGTTATCACGTCAGTCTAACACACTGAAGGTCTCCGGTTCAAGTCCGGGCGGCTTCATTGAGTTTTAGCCCATTGAGGGGAACCCATACAATTTATTGTTAGGTGTAAAATTTCCAGATGGGAGTAGGTACCATATACAAAAGAAGATGCAGCCAAACAGGGAGTTCGGTGAGACCTACAATTCATGGAAGGGTGAAAACTGGTCACTGCAGTTTCCCTAGCCAGCCCTTCACAATTGAAGGCTAGCCCTAAACGAGCCCAAGAACTAGTCAGTGCAAGACCATGAATAAGGATATTTCACGTGTTCAGTGAGCTAGAAACGGCAGGCCTAGTAATCTTCAACGCATTCAGCATCAAAGTACACTTTCTTCATTTCGGTGAGGATAACCCTGATTGAGATGATGGAGGAGAAGGAGCTAGAAACGGCAGGCCTAGTAATCTTCAACGCATTCAGCATCAAAGTACACTATCTTCATTTCGGTGAGGATAACCCTGATTGAGATGATGGAGGAGAAGCAAGGCTGTCTTGAGCAAGTTCACATAAATACCGTATCATCCTATTTTTGTCACTTTCTATGCATTCCCTCTTGTCAGATGTTGAAGTTTCCGTATCATAATTTCAATGTAACAAGTTGTATGACAGCTTCAAAATGTATGAAGGATGCAGCAAGTACCGTAGGTATGAAGCTACAAATTGTTATTTATGATTTCGTCCAGTAACAAATATTTTTTTGCGATATATAATCTATCATTGATAGTACGCTAGTAAAGGGCATCCTCTCTGAAGTGCGTATGCTTCCTCCAGTTTCTTCCAAATCTTGATCTTGCCACTGATCCCACCCGGCACTTCACCACAGCCAGCTTCGATCATCCCAAGGTCCCCCATAATTCAGCGTCTTCCCCACGGCCAGTATCCTTTCCTGATAACGTGAAATATCTGACTGGTCGCATGGTCGGTCCGTCGCTTCGAGGTCTGCAGATTGCGCGCGTCTCGCGACCATCGCGGCTTGAGTTAGGCGTAAGGATGAAGCCGATCGTAAAGGTCGGGGTTTTGGTGCTGTGCGTGGTGACGTTGCTGACGGCGGAATGTCAGGCACAGTTGTCGAATCCGGTTACCAGAGACTCTCACGTGATCAATGAAGGGAATAAATTCCTATCTCGTCACGCGACAGCCGACAGCGATGCTATTCCAGCTGTGTAAGGAAATCCGTGAACAGCTTCATCTTCTCGTAACCATGCGGTTATCCCTCGTTTGAGTACGAATTCAGAATCCTTTTCCAGCGATTCCGCTTGTCAGAAATGCATTATTCTTAAATTAGAAATTCCACCCTCTTCTGCCTGTTTCTTAGCGTTCTTTACCACCATCCCTGTGGCCATGTTCATAAATCGTTGTGATCTGTCGGACAAACGACCGAACACACGAGCAGCGACGAGGAGGCGATGGGGAACAGCCGGTGTCCCGTGAATCTGGAGCTTCGATGGCAAGCGGAGGTCAGCAGCAGCATCTACTCCACTCCCCTCGTCGCCGATATTAATAGGTCAGTACGTGACTGATGTAGGTATATTTGTTTTGTCTCTGTTCGATATCGTTGATAACAGCGATTCAGACCTTCTAGCGATTTTTAAACGCTGTGATCAGGACAGTCGTACGAGATCGTTATGCTGATTGAGCTTATCTGACATTCATGGTTCTCGCGAATCGGTCTACCTTCATTCACGATAGATTCCGCTGAAAGACTTCGTTCATACCGCCTCCTCATTTCCATCGCGCTGGCACTGCATTCCCCTCACACTCGGGGTCCGGCAAGGCGAAACGTCGTGTTGTCAAACCTCTTTTCTCACTGCGATCTGCCTGCCCTCACATTCCTCGTCTCCCTTGCTCTGATCGCTGTCGCTCGCAGGGACGGCAAGATGGAGGTGGTGGTGCCGTCCTTCGTGCACTACCTGGAGGTGCTGGACGGTTATGATGGTGACCGGCTGCATGGTACGCGATGGTAAAGGATGCTTCTGTATGGACGTCTTCACATATAGATATGGCTGTTGCATCTGCGAGCAAGAGGTGGAGCCGTCCTTGGTGCATTACCTCAAGGTGCTGGACGGTTATGATGGTGACCGGCTGCATGGTACGTGATGGCTGTGGTGGTGCTGCTGGTCAAGAGTGGTAGTTGTGGAGGTGGTAGTGCCGTCCTTCGTGCATTACCTGGGGGTGCTGGACGGTTATGATGGCGATCGGCTACATGGTGAGTGGTGGTGGTGGTGATGGTGGTTGTCGTCGTCACAAGTGGTAGTGGTGGAGGGGGTGGTGGTGCCGTCCTTCATGCACTACCTGTAGGTGCTGAGCCGCTACGAGATGGGGACTGGCTGCATGGTGAGTGGCAGTGTGGTGGTCATATTCTTGCTCGTCTGGGTTCGCCACGTAGGGATGTGGTTTGCACTTACAAGCAACAAGGGTGTGGTGATGCCGTCCTTTATGTATTACTTCAACGTGCTCCATGGCTACATTCCAATTCACCCACTTGCGCCTCTGTTTCAGGCTGGCCGGCGTTCTACCGCTCCAGCACGCACACGAGCCCCCTGCTGTACGACATCGACAAGGACGGCGTGAGGGAGATCATCCTCGCGGATTACAACGGCGAAATCCTCTCCTTCACGTGAGTTGCTAGGTCGCTTCCTCTCAGAGATGCGTGGGATGGGCGGCAGGCAGTACGGATGGGACAGTCACAGTGTCAGTGCGTGCATACCCCCCTGTACGACGTTAACAAGGATGCGTTAGGGAGGTCTTACTTGCATACTACAATGGCGAGAAATTCTCCTTCACATAAGTCGCTAAGTCTCTTCTTCTCATAGATGCGTGGGAGGCAGGCAGTGCCGAGGAGTTGCGCGCAGATGCTTGCTTGCACACCCTGTTGTACGGCATCAACAAAGACGGTGGGAGGGAGGGAGACCATCGTTGCGGTTTACAACACTTTGATCATCTCCCTTAACGTTGAGCCCACCCAATCCAAGGCATGCCTTTTACTCTCCCTATTCCCGGTCATACCTACTCACTACACCCCTTGACTTGTATCATCGTCTTCTTGCAGGCCTGGTGGCGAGGAGCTGACTCATTATAAGTTGAGTGTGCCAAGCCTGTTTCTCAGAATTCCCTACTTAATTTGCTCTTGCTTGCAGGCCTGGTGGCGAGGAGCTGACTCGTTATAAGATGAGTGTGCCGCGGCTGCGCATCCGCAAGGAGTGGTATGTGGGGCTGGACCCAGACCACGTGGACCATGCTCACCCTGACATCCACGCTCCCATCGACGACGGTAAGTTATGGGTGAGACATTCTCGTTATGAGTACTGCACACGGCACAGGGAGTGGTATGTGGGGCTGGACCCAGACCACGTGGACCATGCTCACCCTGACATCCACGCTCCCATCGACGACGGTAAGTTATGGGTGAGACATTCTCGTTATGAGTACTGCACACGGCACAGGGAGTGGTATGTGGGGCTGGACCCAGACCACGTGGACCATGCTCACCCTGACATCCACGCTCCCATCGACGACGGTAAGTTATGGGTGAGACATTCTCGTTATGAGTACTGCACACGGCACAGGGAGTGGTATGTGGGGCTGGACCCAGACCACGTGGACCATGCTCACCCTGACATCCATGCTCCCATTGACGATGGTGAGCCGTTATAGGCTGGGCTTACAACTTAGTGAGACATCCTTGTTGTAAGATACTGCACGTGTGAGGCTGGACCCAGACCACGTGGACCATGCACACCCCGAAATCCACGCTCCCATAAACGATGGTGAGGTATATCCTCGTTAAAAGCAGCTGCATTCTCAGTACTGGTATGCTTGGCTTGACTGACCCAGAGTCCCGCCCCCTTCACCATGCGTCACACGGCAGCCAAGAACGAGTCCAGCCAGCATCAGGAGAGCGATCTGCCAAACCTGACCAAGCCTCACGCTGCTGATGGCCTTGCCAAAGACGGTTCTGGTGGTGGTCCTTCTGTCGTCACAGCTGTTTTTTCTCCCTCCGCACTGACCCTCTCTCCCTCCCCCTCCCTCCGCTTCTGCATCTTCCCCCTTCCCTCCGTATGTTTCATGCAGCAGCAGCAGCAGCAGCAGCCAAGAACGCGTCCAACCAGCACCAGTAGAGCGATCTGCTGAACCTGCCCAAGCCACACACTGCTGAAGCCCATGCTGAGCGCGGCGCTGATGGTGGTTCTCCCATTCTCACTGATATTTTCTCTCCCTCCGCACCCACCACCCCCCCCTCTCGAACGGTCCTTATTAAAGTCAACATGCTACACCAGGTAAGGCAACCCCCCCTCTCTCTCTCTCTCCCCCTCCCTCTCTCCTCCTTCCCCGGTCCTCCCTCTCCTCCCAGTGCTTCACCTAGCGGCCAGGAACGCGTCCAGGCAGCACCGGGGGGGCGACCTTCTGAACCTGCCCACGGCCGCACGCTTCGCTGATGGTGGTTCTCCCATTCTCGCTGATTTATCCTTGCCCTCTGCACCCACCCTCCCCCTCTCCCACTGTGCTTCACCCGGCAGCCAAGAACGCGTCCAGCCAGCACCAGGGGGGCGACCTTCTGAACCTGCCCACGGCACACGCCGCTGACGCCCATGCTGAGCGCGGCGCTGGTGGCTCTGACACCCACGCACCAGGAACACCAGGGCAGGCCCAGGGACAGCAGGCACAGGCGCAGGGTCAGCAGACACAGGGGCAGTATAAGACTCAGCCACTGCAGCAGCAGCCGCAGCAGGAAGTGCATCACGAGCACCATCCGGAGCAGCATCCGGACAAGCATACAGAGCAGCAGCACGCAGCAGGAGGGGGCGGATTGCCTCATGGGAGTGACCTGCAGCAGCCAGGCATCCCCCACGCAGCAGCAGACACGGCGTTTGGCACAGCCACCGCTGCTAGGACGCTCGCAGAACAGCAGCACCCTCAGGCGCAGGCAGAGCAGCAGCACCCTCAGGCGCAAGCACAGGTTAAGGTAGAGAATCCTCAGGAGGACCCCGGCCTGCCCCCTGTTGTAACTGCTGCTGCTGGAGGTGCTAGTAGCGGGGGGATTGACATGCCTCCGCTTGTAGAGCCTCTGCACGGCGCAGGCGCTGCTGCTGCGGGTGCTGCTGGGGGTGCTGGTGCTGCTGCTGGAGCGGGAGGGCGCGGGGCGGCGTTGGCAGATCTGGATTGTGGGAAGGACGGGTTGTGCGGCAAGGAGGCGCATGCTGCAGCAGAGGCCAAGGCAGCCGCTGCTTCTGCTGCTGCTGTGGCTGCCGCCATGAGTGGGGGAATCGCAGCAGCTGCGGCAGGGGGGCAGCAGGGACAGCAGCAGCAGGGGCAGGGGCAGCAGCAGGTGGAAGGTTCTGGAAAGATCCAAGCAACTGAAGCAGATTTACAGAAGATCCAGTCATGGGAGAAGTGGTACCAGGATGTGACGGCCAAGGGGGGAGGGGCGATGGGGAAGAGGGAGCAGGCGCTGTGGACGCATTACCAGGACTGGAAGAGTAAACTGCTGCTCCCAGGGGAAAACATGCCTGGTGCTGCTGCTGGTGGTGCTGGTGGTGCTGCTGCTGGTGGTGGAGGGGTGCATGGGGCGCGGAGGCGGTTGCTGCAGGTGCATGAGGAGAAGGCAGGGGTGGGGAGGGGTGGAGACGTGGGGGCAGCACGCAGGAGGCTACTGCAGGTGCACGGGGACCATCATGCCGGCGACCACGAGGATGTGAGTCCCGGGGAGGTTCGGGTGGTAGAAATAGGGAAGAAGGGGGTGTGTTTAGGGGGGGAGAGGGGGTCGGGGCAGCACGCCGGAGGCTGCTGCAGGTGCACGGGGACCACCACGCAGGCGACCACGAGGATGTGAGTCCTTGGTGGGCGGTGGGGGGTGGTGTGGTTGAAGTAGGGGAGAAGGGGATGTGTTTAGGGGGGGAATGCTGCTGCTGGTGCATGGGGACTACCATGCTGTTGACCACGAAGGTGTGAGTCCTACTGCTGCTGCTTGTTGCGCATTGTCACACATTCCTTCTCTTCTTCTTCTCATTCTCAGTGTCCCACAGCAGAGCCTGATAGTAAGCTGGATGAGGAGGGGGCGGAGTCATGGGACGTGTTCAAGGATGATGGTGACTGCTGGCAGTGGGAGGGGGACAGGGAGTTGAAAAGGACTGGACTGCTCCGCGTTGTCACCCACGCCTTCCCCCCCCCCCAACCCCCCCGTGTGTGCCTGTTCTTCTCCTCTCTCTGTGCGTTTCTCTCAGTTCCCCACAGCAGAGCCCGACAGTGAGCTGGATCAGGAGGGGGCACAACCAGGTTGACTCGGTTCCCCACCCGGTTCCGATCCGGTTCCCCGCCCGGTTTCGGTCGAGTTGATCCATCGGATTCGGTCCGTCCGGTTCCCCATCCGGTTGATCCGGTTCCCCACCCGGTTCTGGTCCGGTTGATCTGGTTCCCCATATGGTTCCGATTTGGTTCCCCACCCGGTTTTTGCGTGTTCAACGATGATGATGACTACAGGCAGTGGGAGGGGGACGGGGATGATTGGGAAGAACTTGACTGTTTGGCACCGTCATTCCCCCCTTCTCTCCTTCCGACAGTGAGCTGGACGAGGAGGGCGCGGAGTCATGGGATGTGTTCAAGGACGATGATGATGACTACATGCAGTGGGAGGGGGATGGGGAGTAGGGCAGGACTGGACTGTTCCGCATTGCCACCCACCCCTTCTCTGTTCCTCCGTGTGTGCCTGCTCTTCTCTCTCTGTGTTGTTCTCCCGCAGTTCCCAACTGCAGAGCCCGACAGTGAGCTGGACGAGGAGGGCGCGGAGTCATGGGATGTGTTCAAGGATGACGATGATGACTACCGGCAGTGGGAGGGGGACGGGGATGACTGGGCGGGGAACAACGAGGGCGAGGGGGAGGCGGCAGGGGAGGGGGAGGAGCTGGGGGGAGAGGAGCACGAGGGTCACGGCGGGTGGGGGCACCATGAGGAGAAACACAAGGAGGAGCACGGAGGAGAGAAGGAAGAGGCGGAGGATGATGATTGGGGGGGACCGCGGGCGGAGAAGGAGGATGGGGACGAGTATCAGTACGACTATGACGACTACGTGAATGAGAACATGTGGGAGGACGAGGACTGGACGGAGGCGGAGCATGAGGCGGATAAGGAGTACATCCTTGTTGACTCACATATCCTCTGCACGCCGGTACAGATCATTGTTCTGGACTGGAGACTTTGTAATTGTTGGTGGGCATTGGCTTGCATCACATGCTCAGGTACTGGATGGAACCAATCCGATCCAATGACAATGGAATGGGCAAATGCAGAGCCCTGAAGTGGATAAGGCGTTTCATTGCTGCAACGTTTCGCTCTCTCTTCAATCTCCATGTCTCCCTCGCTCATCTCTCCATGCTTCCCCTCAATGCGTGCCTGCTTCCCCTCCATGCGTGCCTGCTTCCCCTCCATGCGTCCCCTTCCCCTCCATGCGTGCCTGCTTCCCCGTTCTCCCTCGCACCAGGTGATAGCGGACATTGACAACGACGGCCATGATGAGCTGGTGGTGGCGGCGTCTCACTTTTTTGACCGAGAGTGAGTGCGGTCCGGGCAGCTTGCAGTCCCTTGACTCCATGCCATGTCTTGCCCCATATGTCATGTCATTGCTTGCGTTCTGTCTCTCTCATTTGCCATCATGCCATCTCATTTGACTTTTGAGAATTCTTCAAAGTCAAACCAACATAGTTGACATCTCTTGCCTCTCTTGCTGGTAGAGAGACATCTCTTCAGGTGCCCCAAAGTCGTCCTTTGAGACGTCTCAAAACAAACACGTGGCTACTCTTGTTCGTAGAGAGACATCTCTTCAGGTGCCCCAAAGTCGTCCTTTGAGACGTCTCAAAACCAACACGTGGCTACTCTTGTTCGTAGAGAGGCGTCTCTTCAGGTGCCCCAAAGTCGTCCCTCCAAGCCATGCTATGTCATGCTGTGTCTCATGACATCACATGTTGTAAGCCATATCATTCTGTGTCATGCCATGCGGTGCCTGCTGCGTAAAATAATAATGTTCTTTCTCACAGATTTGTGTGTAAAGTAATGATATTCTTTTTTTTTTCCCTGCCATTTATACCTCATGTCCATCCTATGGTTTCTTCCCATGTCAGGTACTACGAGGACCCGGCACACAAGCACGAGTTGGAGGAGGGGGTGGACATGAGCAAGTACATCGGGGGGGCCATTGTGGTGTTCGACCTGCACACGCAGCAGCTCAAGTGGTCGCAGCACCTCGACCTCACCACCGATAGCACGCAGTTCCGCGCCTACATCTACTCGGCTCCCACCGTGGTGGATTTGGATGGGGATGGGTTTTTGGAGATAATTGTTGGGACGTCTGTCGGCTTCATCTACTGCCTTGACGCCTTTGGTACGTGGCTTCTAGTGTGGGTTGGGTTCTGGTGTTAGTTTTGGTGTGCTTTGGGTTTGAGAGTGATTTCTCTCTGCTTAGGCAGCAGCACCTCGATCTCACCACCGACAGCACGCAGTTCCGCGCCTACATTTACTCGGCTCCCACCGTGGTGGATTTGGATGGAGATGGGTTCCTGGAAATCATCGTTGGGACGTCTGTCGGCTTCATCTATTGCCTCGACGCCTTCGGTACGGTCTCGTGTGGGTTCTGGTGTGGTTTTGGGGGTTTGGGAGCGTCTCTGCCCGCTTAGGCAGCAGCACCTCGACCTCACCACCGACAGCACGTAGTTCCGTGCCTACATCTACTCGGCTCCCACCGTGGTGGATTTGGATGGGGATGGATTTTTGGAGATTATTGTTGGGACGTCTGTCGGCTTCATCTACTGCCTTGACGCCTTTGGTACGTGGCTTCTAGTGTGGGTTGGGTTCTGGTGTTGGTTTTGGTGTGCTTTGGGTTTGAGAGTGGTTTCTCTCTGCTTAGGCAGCAGCACCTCGACCTCACCACCGACAGCACGCAGTTCCGCGCCTACATTTACCCGGCTCCCACCGTGGTGGATCTGGATGGGGATGGGTTCCTGGAAATCATCGTTGGGACGTCCGTGGGCTTCATCTACTGCCTCAACACTTTTGGTACGTGCGGTGTGCCGTCTAGGTGGGCGCTGCTTGTTTTGTGTTCCCTTTGCTCCTGGGGTGGCCTCTGCTCCCACTGTTATGGACCTGGATGGAGATGGGTTCCTGGAATGGAGATCATTGTGGGCTCGTCCATCAGCTTCATCCGCTGCCTCGACGCCTTTGGTACGCTCCTTCAATCTGTGGTTGAATGGCCAGTTGTTGCCTTGCGTATTCGGTTCCCCTCTCCCACCTTCTTTTCTCTCTTTCTCATTCACTCCATCTGGCTCCACTCCCACCCACTCAGACCACTCCGGCTTTGAGTACTCGCGTATTTCTCCCCTCCCACTTTCTCCCCTCCCACTTTCTCTTCTCCCTCTTTCTCCACTCCCTTTTTCCATTCTGCTCTCCTGCCCCTCCAATTCCCCCCCTGCAGCCTCCACTCCCCCGGGCTATGTGAAGCCCGGCTTCCCTTTGCAGATGGGCGAGGTGCAGAGGCAGGTGGTGGCGGCAGACGTGAACCACGATGGCAGGCTCGAGGTCATTGCAGCCGACACACGCGGCAACGTGGCCGCCTTCACGTCCCTCCTCCTCCTCGTCTCCCCTTCCCTTCACCATTTCTAGCCAGACTCACCCTGTTCCCCCCTCTTTCTCTCCCCTCCTTACTCCCCCCCTCCTCCTTTCCCCCACCAACCCAGGCAAGGTGAAGCCTGGCTTTCCTCTCCAGATGGGCGAGGTGCAGGGGCAGGTGGTGGCAGCAGACGTGAACCACGATGGCAAGCTTGAGATCATTGCAGCCGACACACGCGGCAACGTGGCTGCATTCACCTCGGAGGGCAAGGAGGTGTGGGAGCGGCACCTGGCGTCGCTGATCGCGCAGGGGGCGAGCGTGGGCGATGTGAATGGAGACGGGTTCACGGAGGTGGTGATAGGGTCTTCATCGGGGCACATTTATGTGTTGGATGGCAGGACAGGTGAGAGGATGGCAGGACAGGTGAGGGGATGGCAGGACAGGTGAGGGGATGGCAGGACAGGTGAGGGGATGGCAGGACAGGTGAGAACTAACCACAGGATAGATAGTGATTTGAGACGTCTCAAAACACTTCTTCAATCACGCGGATAGATAGTGGCAGCTTAGCAGTTCCAAGGAGAACTTGGAGGTACGTTTGGCTTGCGTGGTACGTTTGGCTTGCGTGGTAGTGGTTGGAAGCCACCTTCACCTCGGAGGGCAAGGAGGTGTGGGAGCAGCACCTGGCGTCGCTGATCGTGTAGGGGCGAGCGTGGGCGACGTGAATGGAGACGGGTTCACTGAAGTTGTGATTGGGTCCTCGTCAGGGCATATCTACGTGCTGGATGGCAGGACAGGTGAGGATTCACCACAGGATAGAGGTAACCTGGCGTTTACTAGGCCCTCGTGAGGTTGGGTGAGGTGGGGTGGGGTAGAGAGGAGAGTGGCGGCATTCACAGCGGAGGGCAAAAAGGTGTGGGAGAGGCATCTGGCTTCTCGAACAACACCTGCTTTCATCCCCCCTGCCCCTCACCACTCTTTTCCCTTTCCCCTTCCTCCAGGCAAGGACGTGGGCGCCTTCCCCTTCTGCATACACGGGCGAATCATGGCGCCGATTCTCCTGGTGGATCTGCACTGCACAGGCATGGTTGGGTGGGCAGGACAGGGCACCACGCGTTCTAACTCCTTTCCCCCTCTCCTCCCCCTGCCCCGCCCCTCCTCCCCCTGCCCCGCCCCTCCTCCCCCTTCCCCGCCCCTCCTCCCCCTGCCCCGCCCCTCCTCCCCCTGCTCCGCCCCTCCTTCTTCCCTCTCTAGGCAAGGAGTGGGCGCCTTCCCGTTCCGCACGCACGGGCGCATCATGGCGCCGATTCTGCTGGTGGACCTGCACAAGCACACCAGGCCAGGCAGCAAGGGGCAGCACACATTCCTTACTCCTTGCATCCCTATCTTCCTACCGCTCCCCTCCTCCCCCTTCCCTTGTCAGGCAAGGACGTGGGTGCCTTCCCCTTCCGCACGCACGGGCGCATCATGGCGCCGATTCTGCTGGTTGACCTGCACAAGCACGCGGGCGGCAAGGGGCAGCACGCGGGGGCGTCTTCAGGGCTGCATCTGGTGGTGGTGTCGTTTGATGGGTTCCTGTACGCCGTGGATGGACGGACAGGATGCGCCGACACGTTTGACATCGGGGAAACCTCGTGAGTGCCATACTTGTTGTGGGTGGGTGGTAGGAAAATGTGTTTTGAGACGTCTCAAAACATCAATACTTGTTGTGGGTGGGTGGTAGGAAAATGTGTTTTGAGACGTCTCAAAACATACTTCTTGTGGGTGGGTGGGTGGTAGGAAAATGTGTTTTGAGTCGTCTCAAAACATACTTGTTGTGGGTGGGTGGTAGGAAAATGTGTTTTGAGACGTCTCAAAACATCAATACTTGTTGTGGGTGGGTGGTAGGAAAATGTGTTTTGAGACGTCTCAAAACATCAATACTTGTTGTGGGTGGGTGGTAGGAAAATGTGTTTTGAGACGTCTCAAAACATCAATACTTGTTGTGGGTGGGTGGTAGGAAAATGTGTTTTGAGACGTCTCAAAACATCAATACTTGTTGTGGGTGGGTGGGTGGTAGGAAAATGTGTTTTGAGTCGTCTCATAACATACTTGTTGTGGGTGGGTGGTAGGAAAATGTGTTTTGAGACGTCTCAAAACATCAATACTTGTTGTGGGTGGGTGGTAGGAAAATGTGTTTTGAGACGTCTCAAAACATCAATACTTGTTGTGGGTGGGTGGGTGGTAGGAAAATGTGTTTTGAGACGTCTCAAAACATCAATACTTGTTGTGGGTGGGTGGTAGGAAAAAAAGGGGGCATGGGGAAGCAAGGCTAAGGGCTTGGTCTTGAGGCACGTTTTCAAGCGCCTCACAGGTCATGAGACGTCGCAGGACTTGTTCGGGGCGAAATCCAACAGAAGGGCAAGGAACAGCATGGATAGGGGCAGCATGGATACGGGCGGCATGGATAGTGCAGCAGAGAACATGGATGGAGGGGTATGACTTGGACTTGGTGGGTGTCCCTCAAGAAACCCACCTCTCCCCTGCCCCCTCAATCCCACCCCACAAATACCCCACCCGACCTCCTTTCCCACACTACAGGTACAGCATGGTGCTGGCGGAGAACGTGGATGGGGGCGACGACAGGGACCTGGTGGTTTCCTCAACCTCTCTCTCCTGCTCTCTTGTCCTTCTCTGTCCCCCCTGCCCCTTTTTTTCCTTTAACCCAACGCAACAGGTACAGCATGGTCCTGGCGGAGAACGTGGATGGGGGAGACGACCTGGACCTGGTGGTTTCCACCATGAACGGCGCTGTCTACTGCTTCCAGACGTCCGTGCAGTACCACCCGTTGAAGGTGAGACAGTTCAGTAGGTACCACCCGCTCTCAAGGTGAGACAGTTCAGTAGGTACCACCCGCTCTCAAGGTGAGACAGAACCCACTTGGAAGGCACGTTGAGGCTCAGTGGTTGTGGCATTCACATGTGTGGTCAGCACTGGTGGTTTCCTGCTGTGTACTGCTTCCAGACGTCCGTGCAGTACCACCCTCTCAAGGCTTGTTCTTCCCACGCTACGGCCACAAGGGAATCTACGTGCTGCCATACCCCCGCCACTACCGCCACACACCCACCTCATTTCCTGGCCTCTTTCTCAGGGCTTCCCACCCTACTTCCCACCTCCCCATGCACCAGCCACCTCTTAATCATACAGAGCACTTGCTCTTCCTTTATTTCCCTGTTCTAACTCTTACTCAGTATGGCTTTCCCGCCTATCTTGTCTCCCATCCCACCAGACGTGGCCGTCCCAGAACCAGGGGCGCAATGTGTCGTGAGTCGACTCAAAAATAGACCTCTATCTTGTCTCCCATCCCACCAGGCATGGCCGTCCCAGAACCAGGGTCGCAATGTGTTCTTCCCACGCTACGGCCACGAGGGCATCTACATGCTGCCGCACTCCCGCCAGTACCACCACGCATCCCCCTCATGCCTTGCCTGCCCTCTCTCCTTCCTTCCCACCCCACTTCCCCACCTCCCCGTCCACCAGCTGCCGACGAATCACACACAGCATATGCTCTTCCAATTATCCCCTGTACTCACTCTTTCCCACTGTCTCTCCATCCCCCTGCCAACCCAAATTACTGTGTATCAACCAGGCATGGCCGTCCCAGAACCAGGGTCGCAATGTGTTCTTCCCACGCTACGGCCACGAGGGCATCTACATGCTGCCGCACTCCCGCCAGTACCACCACGCATCCCCCTCATGCCTTGCCTGCCCTCTCTCCTTCCTTCCCACCCCACTTCCCCACCTCCCCGTCCACCAGCTGCCGACGAATCACACACAGCATATGCTCTTCCAATTATCCCCTGTACTCACTCTTTCCCACTGTCTCTCCATCCCCCTGCCAACCCAAATTACTGTGAATCAACCAGGCATGGCCGTCCCAGAACCAGGGGCGCAATGTGTTCTTCCCACGCTACGGCCACGAGGGCATCTACATGCTGCCGCACTCCCGCCAGTACCGTGACATCGGCAAGGACTCCTTCCGCGTTAGCTTTGAGATTGTGGACGCGCGGAATCCCCTGGGTCACGGCGGGGCGTATGGCACTCAGATCGGACCGTATAAGGTCAAGGTGAGAGCAAGCCATCAGTTTGTGTAAGTCACTGTCAGTCTCTGTCAATCGGCCACGAGGGCATCTATATGGTGCCGCACTCGCGCCAGTATCACTCCCGCCAGTACCGTGACATCGGCAAGGACTCCTTCCGCGTTAGCTTCGAGATTGTGGATGCATGGAATCCCCTGGGTCACGGCGGGGCGTATGGCACTCAGATCGGACCGTATAAGGTCAAGGTGAGGCTTCTGCCTAGAGTCTAGGCATGATGGGTCTGCCCTTTCAATCTGCGCTCCTGCCAGTACCGTGACATTGGCAAGGACTTCTTTTGAGTCAGCTACAAAATTGTGGATGCACGCAACCCGCTTGAGCATGGAGGGGCGTATGGCGCTCGGATTGGGCCGTACAAGGTCAAGGTGAGTGAGACTTGTGGTAGACTCTAATCCATCCGGGTCAATTTCACATCAAGTTCAAGGTGAGACTTGTGAGATCGTGGATGCGCGCAAAACCTGCTAGCAATTCCCACACCACACCCACCCCATTTCTCAGGTGTGGCTGTTTGTTGACGCAAAGACTTTTGAGGCGCCTCAAAAGTCTAGCAATCCCCACACCACACCCACCCCATTTCTCAGGTGTGGCTGTTTGACGACGCAAAGAGGGAGCTGACCCATGAAGAAACCTTCCAGCACGCGGGCGTGCACACGCTCGTCATTCCCACGCCCAAGCGCCGCACCCACGCCACCTTTTTTATTGAGATGGAGGACGAGCGCCGCCTGCACTTCCACGATGAGTTCGCCCTTTCCTTCCACGTCCACTTCTACCGCCTCCTCAAGTGGATCCTCGCTCTCCCGCTGCTCATCATGGCGGCGGCTCTTGTGGCGCGGTCTGCGCCTGATTCGGGCCCAAACCTGCCATCCTTCTCCCCTGCCAGTCGCCATCTCGCTTGAGTGAATAGGTAGTGGATTTTTCTAGGCGATCATACTGAATGTAGAATGTTGGTTCTTTTCAGCGCTGAGGAGGACGAGAGCCGCCTGCACTGCCATGATGAATTCGCCCTCTCCTTCCACGTCCACTTCTACCGCCTCCTCAAGTGGATCCTCGCTCTCCCACTGCTCATCATGGCGGCGGCGCTGGTCGCTCGCTCCGCGCCAGATTCCGGACCGGACCTCCCGTCCTCCTCCCCTGCCAGTCGCCATCCGGCTTCTTGTGAAAAAGTTTATGCAAATTACCGTGTGTGATTTTTTTCCGTCACGAATGAATAGAGGACGAGCACTGTCTCCACTACTAGTCGCCACCTGGCTTGACCTGTTGTGTCGTGTGCTTCTAATATTCATAACTGGTTGCATGGTGAGGGGGGGGGGGGGGGGAGGGGGGGAGGGGGTGTCAACAGGACTAGGCAAGAATGGTGCATTGAATGAAACAGTTGGGTACAAGTAGCAAACCCTAGTTGGGGTTGTACCCCATATTGGCTACCCCACTACAGCCTACCAACATATAACACATTACAATTTAACACACCCCCATAGGCAAAGTGGGGGAGAACAAAGGGTCACAAGACCAGTCCAGCAAAGCAACGCAAGCCTAGGGTGGATCACAACGTCACCACACTCCGAGCACAAGCAAAGGCCACACGGTCAGTTCACATGCAGTGCTAGATAGTACAAGACAAGCAACACAGTGATCAAAACCTAGCAAGCAAGCAACAAGATATATATAAAGTACAGTACAAAGAAAGTCAAGCAGTAAGCAAATGAGGGAATGTGGACACAAGGCCTAAAGAAGTACAGTGCCGCTGATGATCACTAGGCGGGAGCGCCTTGGTGAAGATATCAGCAGTGTTGGCCTTCGAGTCCACGTACACAAGCCGAAGCTGACCGCGCTGCTGCAGCTCTCGAGCAAGAAAGTAGCGAAGAGCAATGTGCTTCGTCCTGTGCTCCAGTCTGTGCTCCTGACACAAGGCAAGGGCCGCCTTGTTGTCGCCGTACAGAACTGGAGGAGAACTAGGCCGCTCTCCCAAGTCAGTCAGCAGGTAGGTGAGCCAGCGTAACTCCTGTGCAGCCATGGCCGTGGCGTAGATCTCAGCCTCACAACTAGAGCTGAGAACAGAAGAAGAGCGGGTGGACCGCCACGAGACAGAACCAGAGCCAAGGCTGAAGGTGTAACCCTGCGACGACCGCTGCGTAGCCAGGTCGTCCACCCAAGAAGCGTCCGAGTGACCAGTGAGGACAACTCTGTCGCGTCCTCCAAGCACCAGCCCCATGCCTGATGTACTGCACAAGTAACGCAGCACCCTCTTAGCAGCCTCCCAGTGCTCTCGCCTGTGTCTCCCAGGCGCAACGTAACGAGCAAGGATGCTAAGAGGGTACGCGAGGTCAGGTCGCGTGCAAGTCATCAGGTACATGAGGCAGCCTACAAGCTCTGGGTACGGGCCACTCGGCTCTACGGACTCGTCCGAAGGTGGAGCTGAGAGCGAGTGGCTGGTAGCCAGAGGTGTGGCCTGTGGTGAGGAGAACTGGAAGCCGAAGCGCTGAAGGACCTGCTGCACCATGTGTGACTGAGTCAGGGTAATGGTGCGGCGTGCTCTGTCCCGGGTGATCTGCAAGCCAAGGTAGCTACGCAGCTCTCCCAGGTCAGTGCAGGTGTGTCTCTTCTGCAGCTCCGACTTCACACGAGCGAGTGCCTCAGTGTCAGCAGTAGCAAAGACCAAGTCGTCGACGTACACGAGGATGTAGAACGGCGGCAGCGACGTGTCTGTGCGCAGGAACAGTGACGGGTCAGCAGTGGAAGGAGCAAACCCAAGGGCCGCAAGTGTAGTCCTCAGTGTGTCGTGCCACTCGCGTGGCGCCTGGCGGAGACCGTAGACTGGCCGCCGGAGGCTCCACTGGGTACCAGGAGGAAACGACCCAGTAAAGCCAGGTGGGCGGCGCAGCCAGATCTCCTCGTGCAGGCTGCCCTGCAGGAACGCTGTGCTGAAGTCAAGAGAGTGAAGCTCGTAGTCATGCTGAGCAGCAACGTGCAGCAGAACCCGAAGAGTGGTCATCTTCGGGGTGGGGGAGAAGGTCTGGAAGAAGTCAACCCCCTGACGCTGACTGAAGCCTCTAGCAACGTAACGAGCCTTGAAGACAGGTGGAGAACCTGGCGGCCGCTTCACCCTGAAAATCCACATGCCATCGACGATGTTCGCCCCAGGAGGGGGAACCTCGTCGATGTAGGTGCCTGTGGATTTCCAGGATGCCATCTCTGCATCCATGGCTGTCTGCCACTGAGAGGAGTAGGGACCCGAGATCGCCTCTGCGTAAGAGCGCGGAGTGGGGATGTCTAGTGCATCCGGGTCTCCCTCAGGGGCAAGCAACCAGGCCACGAGATGAGGTACAGCAGCCGCAAGAGAGTCAAAGTCCTCCTGCCTGTCCTCAAGGACGTCCGTGCCAAGAGCACACTCACCCCCGACGGACGGAGGACAGACAGACTCAGACTCAGCAACAAGACTGGCGGCGTAGTCTAGACGACAGGCAGCAGCAAAGTCGACAAGCTCAGCGACCAGGGCAGACGCAGCAGCAGACTCAAACGACGGGTCAGTGACAACAGTGGCGAGAAGACGCGTAACAGTAGGGTGGGCAGCACGAACACTGTCAGACTCAGGGTCGGGAACGTCAGGAAGAGAAGACGCAGGAGGAGACGGTAGGGGGACACGCTGTGGACCAGTGGAAGGACGAAGTGCCATAATGTGCGTGCCAGGAACAGGAGGAGGACGCGGACGCGCGACACGACGGCCAGTGGGACCAGTGCGAGCAGTGCGAGCAGTGCGAGCAGCGCGAACAGGCGAGGCAGGACGAGACGCAGGCTCACGACGCTCCGTAAGCGAGTCCGGCTGTGCAGTGTAAGGCACAGGAGCAGGGAGGGGGGAGCCAGGCTGGAGGGGAAGGCCAGTGGAAGACGGGAGGGAAAGAACCTGGCGAAGTACCGTGTCAGGCGGTGGCAAAGCCGACGGCGACGGTGGAGCGAAGAACAGGCGCGACGGCGGAGCTCCGCCAGCACCTCCAGCACCCGCAGCACCAGAAGCACCAGGACCAGCACCCCCCGCCGCAGCACCCCCAGAGCCGGCGACGTCAGCACCAGAGGCCCCAGCAGCGGCAGACCTCCCCTCGCCAGCACCTCCAGAACCAGCAGGACCAACGTCTCCAAGACCGTCAGCTCCAGTGTCGTCAGCTCCAGCAGCTCCAGCACCTCCAGGAAGAGCACCCCCAGCGCCGGCAGCTCCAACTCCGCTAGTACCGCCAGCCCCAGAGGCCCCAGCTCCAGCAGCTCCAGCCTCAGTGCTCCCAGTTCAACCAGCCCCGGCAGCTCCAGTACCCCCAGTACGAGCACCTCCAGGACGAGCAGCTCCAGCACCCCCAACTCCAGCAGGGCCACGAGGACGGCGAAAGCGCCGGACGTACCAGTCACGAAGCTGCTGGGTCGTCTGGGGACGCTGCTGCTGCTGGGAGCTCTGGCCCGAGCCGGTGCCTCCACTCCGACCTCCACCGCCGCCACTACCTCCGCTCCGACCGCCACCGCCGCCACCGCCACCGCCGCTACCGCCACCGCCGCCACTGCCGCCGCTGCCACCACCGCCACTGCTCCCGCCGCCGCCCCCGCCTCCGCCGCCGGCCCCACTCCCACCAGCACTCCCGCCACCGCTCCCTCCAGCACCGCCTCCCCCCCCCCCCCCCCCCCCCCCCCCCCCCAGTGCCACCCCCGCCACCCTTGCCCCCCTTGCCCTTGCCGGTGCGGCGCCTCCCACCAGGAGCAGAAGCAGCGCCAGCAGACTCAGCACCAAGGAAGTCAACAGCAGCAGCAGTAGCATAGGAGGGAGCGAGGGGAGAGGGAGAGCACCCCTCAAAGATGGGGGTGCGAGGAGCGCCGCGAGCAGCACCTACAGCTACAATGCTCTTCTCGGCTGCTAGCAGCTTCTCCTCTAGGAGGGCGACAGTGAGCTCAGTGGGACAGCGAGCAAGGAAATAGTCGCGCACTGAGCTGAGGGTGTCAGGGAGACGGGTGACTATGAAGTGGAGTGTCCAGTACAGTGGAGGGGGGTTCTTAGCGCAGAACTCGGTGGGAAGGGCGGCACGCAGGCGAGCGTCACTAGTGCGAAGGTGGGTGATAAGATCGGCGACTGTAGCAAAGGTGGACAGCTCAGGGAACAGGTAAGGCAGCATGAGGCGGCTAAGCTCGGCTGTGGCAGGCGAGGAGTAGCGAGCAACGACAGCGTCGTAAAGGGCCTTAGCGGTTTTGCAGTCGCCAAAATGCTCGAGCTCAGCTAACGGCAGGTGACTGCGAATGGCTAGGCGAGCAGCAGCGTCACGCGTCTGCCAGTGGGAACGGGCACTAAGCTCGGCTGTGGCAGGAGGGGCAGGCGCAGCACCAGATGCGTAATCATAGAGTGACACGTGCTCCTTGCTATCGCTCAGGAGGAACAGCTGCAGGTCATCTAGCCAAGTGGTGAACTGCACAGGGCGGCCCTCAGCATCGAAGGACAGCACGCGGATGGAAGCCATCGCGACAGCACGTCAGAGCAAAGCAAGCAGCCGCAGCAGGGGAAGGCTGGCGCTACGGGCAGGCGGCGCTGCAAGCAGGTAGCTCGGTGGGGAGCGCGGCGGGCGGGCGGCGCTCTGAGCGGGCAGCGTGGCAGGTAGCGCGGCGGGCAGGCGGCGCTGCAAAGAGGCAGCGCGACGGGCGGGCGACGCTGTGAGCGGGCAGCGCGGCGGACGGGCGGCGAAGCGGGCAGCGCGGCGGGCAGGCGGCGCTGCAAGCGGGCAGCGCGGCGGGCGGGCGACGCTGCGAGCGGGCAGCGCGGCGGGCGGGCTGCGAAGCGGGCAGCGCGGCGGGCAGGCGGCGCTGCAAGCGGGCAGCGCGGCGGGCGGGCGACGCTGCGAGCGGGCAGCGCGGCGGGCAGGCGGCGCTGCAAGCGGGCAGCGCGGCGGGCGGGCGGGCAGCGCGACGGGCGGCGATATGGGCGGCGCTACTGGCGGGCAGCGCGGCGGGTACAGCGCAGCGAGCGGGCAGCGCGACTGGCAGCGCGACGGGCAGCGCGGCTGGCGACGCGCGGCGCGACGGGCAGCGCTACAGGCGGCGCGACGAGCAGCGGGGCGGGCGAGGGCGCTAACGAGGGGCGCTCGAGGGCGCTAACGAGGGCGCGCGAGGGCGCTAACGAGGGCGCGCGAGGGCGCTAACGAGGGCGCACGAGGGCGCTACGAGGCTAGGGCACGGGGTAGCGTGGTAACCGCATGCGAGCGGTGGTGGGCCCTAAAAAAAAAAACGGTCGGTAGGTCCTAGGGACCTCCTGCTCTGAATACCATGTCAACAGGACTAGGCAAGAATGGTGCATTGAATGAAACAGTTGGGTACAAGTAGCAAACCCTAGTTGGGGTTGTACCCCATATTGGCTACCCTACTACAGCCTACCAACATATAACACATTACAATTTAACAGGGGGTTGGGAGCGGAATGAAAAAAATCAACTGCTTTTTTGTAAATGCTATGGTGTGGGAACGGTTGCTGGTGCTGTCCTTCCTTGTGATACCAAAGAGACTGTATGGTATGATTGACCTCGATTGTGGACAGAAACACAGTGAAGTGCATAGTGGAAATGAGAGTGCATATGGTCATATGCAGAGTAGAACTGAGATCGCCTTCCTGAGATGGGGCCCCATTCGGCCCCATCCGACGTGGCCCCAAGCAACAGTGCACGAAACATGTGCCTGTGGCATGGCAGCAGAGTGGGGGGTGAATGTGGACGTCGCATGAGTTGGCAGGCGAGGGTCGTGCGAAATTGCCTCACGTTAACTTCTGAAGTCTCCGAACGTCAGAACGACAGTCTCGCTAGACTGCCACGGGTTCCCAGTCGAGGCTTGATTTCGCACGTTCTAAAATGTTAATGAAGTACGTGCCGAAAACTTTTGTCGTTCCCTCCCAGGCCGTTTTCGACCGTCTCCTGGGTGCATGCGGTCGTTGGGTAATGTCGCATGAACGTTTGCTGCTGGCGCAGGTGAGTGGTGTTGGAATAACCGAAAGGTTATAAAGGCATTCCCGAAGTTGCTCCACTGTACTAGTACCGCATTAGCTCATATAGAGCACGCGGAATGGCGAGGGACACCAGAAGGTCAACCGTCTAAGATAGTCAACGGTCGTGACCCTTGGCGATTCAGTAACCGTGCGACAGTTAACAGACTGCAACACGGTAACTGTCGAGAATAGCAATAGTCGTGGTTACTGTAGCTATGTAATACAGTTAATAAGGGAATGTACCCCTCAGAGTACATGGCTAGATAGTTTGCTATTTAATCACTTGTACTCCTGCTCCCTAATTATCTTGTTCTCTTTCAACTATTACTCAACAAGGTCACTACAGAGACTTCACTGTCTCCTCTCAGGCTTAACACATTCTATCCTATCCACTGATCCTTTGGTTGTATCAGCAAGTGGTTGCACCAATTCTTTGCTTGTTCTTCGCCCAATGCGACTCCCGTCGCATGGCACGTGTGGTGGGTGTGACCCATATCAATTTTGCCACGCTGGACCAATGGTGCTGCTCCCCCATTCGGCCCCATCTCAGGAAGGCGACCTGAGTGTCTGCAGGAGTGGTGATACGGTAGTAGCCCAATCCCCTGTGTCTATACAGTTACATTGACTTAGGGTGCATTCATTTGTCGACATTTGTGTCTCAATCCCCTTTTTTCCGAGTCGCGTCTAAACATTTTGTCAATCTCGCGTCACAAAAATTGAATGTATCGCGAAACTGGGCGACCAGGCGAAATTTACAGCTGTGCGCATCTGATTGGATTTCGAACATGACTGTACACTAGTTTCTTCAACCGCTTGGATGGGGTGGGGTTTCTACGAGCGGATTTTTTTCCCGCGCGAAATTGGAGTTGTGGGGTGTCCAGGTGCACTGACATTTCGAACCACGTGCAACTTTTTGACAGTGACGGGTCAGCATGCAACTCGTCCGCGACGTCAGCGCGTTTCACGCTGACCAATAAATACAATAACAATTGTACAAGGGCGATACGCGTTTGTGACATTGTATGTTTTATGCTGCTTTCAAGCATCACAGAAGGACTGAGACACAAATGTCGACGCAGGAATGGGCCCTTAACGGTCGGTTAGGCAGTGGCACAGGCTAGTTAGGACAGAACCTGTTCTTGAGAAGAGAGCATACAATGTCGTACACATGATGCGCAACCCCTGCACGCGAATTCGCTCTTCACCGGATGGAAAGTCTGCACCCGTGTTTTTTTTACCAGGCAGTTGCACCCACGTTACAAGCACCTCGCGCAAGCTGTAGTGATTCTGAACCAATAGTAACAAAGAATCCGCAGTCAAACATAAGAGACTGAAGTCAAAATGTCAACGGTAAGTCACAGTTTATTTTATAAGCATTGACGAATGCTTTATTTGCTAGCTGAAAAGTGACGAAATCGTAGCGAAATGCAAGAATCACTTAAGAGCCCCCTTCACAGGGCGGCCTTGGGTGACTTAAACGAGCATCAGGTGTAACACTGTTCTAATGTGACAGACACTACTCGTCTGTAGTGATTTTCGCCAACCACTAGTGGTTACTCTTTGGGCAGTCTGTTGACGTCCGTTGACCGTCCGGCGACGTATGGTGAAAAGGCTAATCAACGGTGGGTATGTGCGCACTGTACGACAGGTTCTGACGAAGCGTCGCGAGGTCTCAAAGAAACGGGTAACCGTTCGTACCGCCCATCGTTATGCGGCCCAAACCCCAAACCCTCTTCCATCCCTTGGCATTCAAGCTCCCACCGACGAAAGGCTAGTTCCAAGAAGCACCTTCGTAATTGCGACGAAGGGCTTAGTCGTTTTCACACCGACACCTGCCTCGATCTCTCCAGCCTTGACACACGACACGGGGTCGTTTCTGTTTGATATTTCCGAGGCGATCCGTCCCGTGTTTTGTCAATTAGGTGCTGTAACGGGTGCGAGCACGTCTTTCAAATGTTTAGCCCTCGCGGATTCACGCTTTGCCTGCCTAATTAGCAAGCCCTTGATGGGGCTAAGTGTATGTGAGTGCTAACTACGCTTCGGTCGAACTCGCTTGGAGTCACTTTTAAAACTCTACCCTTTTCTCGGTTTTGAAGGCTTGCAGGAGAATGTTCCTGGTCGCGACGCGACCCGAAAGAAATGTGTGCCTGGCAACGAAGAAGCACTCTCACACAGTGACACGCGCCCAACCTAAGTCATGATGGCGCCGCCTTTCAGCGACGTGAGCGACTGTACTGTAATTTGGATAGCGGACCACCAGCACCATGCACTGCGCTGTACACGAACCAACCAACCTGCAGTATCCTGAATTGCAGGGGGCAATGGAACGGGGTCAGGGGAGGCATGATTCAGGGGGAACACAGCACGACGGCACGGGAGCGGGAGTTGGTTTGTGCTCACTACTCCCGCACCGCAACGCCTGAATTGCTGCTGGTCGGAAGTATTTCCTCAGTACGCACCGGACCCAGCTGATCTCGTCGTGAACTTCGATGCAAATGGCTCCTAGACGGGACTTTAGGGAATGGGAGCGACGATGAGAGATTATGACGGGAAATGTCGGTGGAGTTATGCTGGTAACTCGTGCCACGAGGGAGGGAGAGGATGGAATGTTGACCTCCAGCCGAGCAATCCGTGACGGGTTGACCTAAGACGCCGCAGCGTTGGCGCCAAATATTTGATCCGTGGTCAAAACCTAGTATCGCGTGATATCCGCAGACTGATAGTAGGCCGCCGGATCGTTCCGTTTTCAAGGCAGTGCAGAAAGCGACTTCGGTCTCCGCAAAACTCGCCATTATCGTCGGACTGCACTGCATCTCACCAGAGCGCGACTCGGAATAGTGGTTAATCGATTTTCTCTCGAGCGATTGAATTTTCTTTGGCGTCTGAAAACCTGGTGTAGTAAGCAGCCAGCAAAGAGGCAGCGAATTTCTGTAATCAACAAATGTGGACCTTGAACAGTAAGCAGCCAACAAAGCGTTTCTCCCTTCGCCATGGCGCCTCGACATTGGAGATTAAGGCCTACGTGATGGACTTATTTTACGAGCTTGAAACCACGCGGCTCGCTGGCTTCCCGCTCTCCGCCGGTGGGTGGCGGCGCCGGACTGCCGGTGCGCTTCGGCTGCAGGACTGCTACAAGATTGGGCGGGAGCTGGGGCGCGGGCATTTCGGCGTCGTGCGCGAGTGCGCGGATGCGCGCACGGGGGAGCTGTTCGCGTGCAAGTCCATTCTCAAGGACAAAATTCAGCGACCCGAGGATCTCAAGGAGCTCCGCGCGGAGGTGCTCGTTCCGCTGCTGCTGCAGCCGGAAGCGGCGGGGACGGCGGCGGCGGCGGAGGAGAAAGGCTCATCTGGTGCGCGCGTGCCGAATGAGGCGGGCATCGTGCGCCTGTTCGAGGTTGTGGAGGACGAGTCCGCGCTGCACCTCATCGTGGAGCACTGCGCGAGGGGGGATCTCTTCGACCACGTCGCGCGCAACAAGCGCCTGGCGGAGCGCGAGGCCGCGGAGATCTTCCGTCAGGTCGTCTCCGCTGTGCTGCGCATGCACACGCGCGGAATCGTTCACCGCGACCTCAAGCCCGAGAACATCCTCCTCCTCCGCGCGCCCTCCGCCAGCTGCGCGTCCGCCACTCTAGCCAGCGCAGCTGTCGACGCTCGCGCCGACGCGACTTCCGCGGAATGTTGCGTGGAGGTGCGCGTGGGGGACTTCGGGTTGGCGCAGCAGCTGACCCGCGCGCGGCCTCGGTTGCGCGGACTGGCGGGGAGCCCGTTTTACATGGCGCCGGAGATTGTGCGCGGAAAGGAATACGGTGCGGAGGTCGACGTTTGGAGCCTCGGTGTTGTTTTGTACACCTGCCTGTCCGGCATTCTTCCGTTTTACGGTCAAAACCACAACAAAATTTTCGCTGCTGCATGTCGCGGGGATCCCGATATGAGCAAGCATCCGTGGTCGTCGATTTCAACGGAAGCGAAGCACCTTGTGAGGAGTATGCTCCAGGCGGACCCAACTCGGCGAATTCGTCTGCACGAAGTACTGTACCATCGGTGGCTGACGACTGCTGGTTCCCACCAGAACGTTTACCGAAGCCTTCAAAGACGAGTCGGAGTCCCCCTAGATTTCTCAGCCGCGCCAAAGTCAGCACCAATTCCCGTGCCTAGGCCAAGACAAACCACATACCAAAAGCCTGTTACAGAAGGTGCTCGTTTCACACACTTCAGAGAATCGAGCGACAGTAGCCTTCCCAGTCATGCCTCCAACCCGGCAAGATGTTTCCAGCCTTCCCCCTCTACAAGTCCAGATTCTGTTACAGTCACCTCTGGTTCTTCCTCCGGCCCTACCTCCAGTGGTGCAATCATGCATCCCTCTTCTGGTTCAGCTACTTCTAATCACTGCATCTTTGTCCTCTCCACAAGCATCTCCAGTCACAGAAGTACCGGCGGCAACACGAGTAAGGCTGTGACAACAAACCTTCCTCATTCCACACTTCCAACTGATCCCAAGAAATCTGATGAGGCCACTGTGCCTTCTGCCCCCCCTTCCCCTTCTTCCCCACTCTCAATCAACAATTCCCTTCCACCCTCTGCCCCTTCTTCACCACCTCCTGCTTTCACTCTCTCACTCCCAACCCTCCTGCCTCAACCTCTTTCCCTTTCTGCCACACCTGCTGTCACATCCCTTAGTGTCACACCCATAGCTCAAAAAACCAAGAGCCCTGTCTTGGTCCGCAGCAGTCAGGAGCCTCGCCCAGCCTCAGGAAGCGCAGGCGCAAGAGCAGAGAGCAGCTTGAGTGCCACCAGTACCAGCAGCTTTGTTACTTGGAGCAGTTGCAGCAACACTTGCACACGAGGCAGCAGCAACGGCAACTGCAACAGCTCCAGCAGCACCTTTGGCTGCAACGGCATCCCAGCAGGCAGCAGCAGCAGCAGCAGCAGCACTGGTACTGGAGGCACTTTGAGAGCTTGTCATAAAATTCCTACTAGTTACCATATCTTCCAGTCAGTCATTATTGCGGCGCATCAGCAGCAGCAGGTCACTGAAAGTTGTGCAGGTGGGCTGGGAGTTCTTAATGGTAGGTAACATTCAAAGGCAGCAGCTGTTGTGGCAGTTGTGGTAGGTGATAATTCACGATGCTATTTCTCTGTATATTTGTATCACGGTGAATGAAATGTAGCTAAGAACTTGTTTTCTCCATGTGTAGCTCAAAGCGAACTCTTGGGTATGGAGATCAGCTGGCACAAGAATCGAGATTCGAGATTCCGCGGCGCCACGCTGGCAGCCTGTCAGTGCTGTCAAATCGAAGCGACCCCGGGCTTTCCCCGCGCAAATGGGAGGCGGCGCCAGCAGGGGTAGGAAACGGCAATCAGCCCATCAAAGGGGGCCATTTTCAGGTGCGATCTCCATTTGCTAGGAAATCTCCTCAGGTGCGATCCAAGCAACTGTGCAGGTCCGAACACCAAATTCATTTTTAGGTCTTTCTGTAGATAATTCATTTTCATCCGAGATCCGATTCGAAATAACACAAAAGCGATTTCGAATCACGCGCAGCAAAATTCGAATGGTCCCATCATACTTGCCAATTTCGACGAGAATTTCTGCTGCGCACCAGGTATATCATGAAAGAAAATTATGCTGAATCAGGTGTACTGTTGACGCGGGTGACGGACTCTGCGCAGGGCAAATCAGCATTCCCGTCTTGGACGTGCACCCCGAAACACGAGAAAACTGCCCGGGATGATATTAAAGTTTACCCTTACCGTAATAAAAAATCCAATCTGATGCTACAACAAAAAAAAAACTAGAGAACTTGGAAGCATTTTGGGGAGGGATCAACCCTAAACTGCTCCCTCCCGTACTTAGTGTTGATCCCTCCAAAAAATGCTTCCAGGTTCTCTAGGATGTTTTATTCATTTTTTTTGTAGCATCACCCGGGCAGATTTCTCGTGTTTCGGGGTGCACGCCGAAGACGGGAATGCTGATTTGCCCTGCGCAGAGACCGTCACCCGCGTCAACAGTACACCTGATTCAGCATAAGTGTTTGTTCATTAAATACCTCATTCGCAGCAGAAATTGTCGTTTAAATTGGGCAAGTACGATGGGACCATTCGAATTTTGCTTGGCGCGATTCGAAATCGCTTTTGATTCAGACTATTTGATTTCGAATCGGATCTCGGATGAAAATGAATTATCTGCAGAAAGACCTAAAAATGAATTTGGTGTTCGGACCTGCACAGTTGCTTGAATCGCACCTGAGTAGATTTCCTAGCAAATGGAGATCGCACCTGAAAATGGCCCCATCAAAAGGCTTCCCGACGCTGCGCTGACCCTGCCACAGAGCCAGCTAGCCACAAATTACACTCCCGTTGCGACTAGAAATGTTTCTGTCGCTGATCTGTTTTCACCAAATGCGGGGGCCTTTGTATAATTTCCCAAACGTAAAACCCACAGCGGCGTCCCTGAAAAGGCACAACTGTTCTGTCTTGATGTGATTGGGTCTGCATCGCGACCAAAGTTCTCCAGCATTTCGTGCTCCGCCCCACCCCCCAAAATCAGACGAAGCGCGTGTCGTTTCACGACCACCCACAACCATTCACTAGCAAACTTGTCTTAGGAATACCTCCTGCCGCTGGGAATTTCCGAAAATTGTCCCTTGTTTTCTGGGCGCTCAGGCAACACACGTAACGTATGCCACAGATTCACCGCACCAAACCCGTGGGAGCTTGTACCCACCTCTCCCAAACCTCTTGGGCTAGCCGTCAATCAACAACCCTCCAGCCTCACCAAACCCAAGAGCCTAGATTTTCGCTTCCCAACATTCAATGGTTACCCCCGACGAGATATATGCGCGAAGAGACGAGACACATTGCGACAGTTTCTATGTAACCACATGTAGCTCCAACGACCACAGTTTTCTGATTGGACGTGACCTGACACATCCGAAGGGCATCAGTTTTGCTTCAAAAAGAATCCGCAAGCAGCTGATCAAACAATCTTTCATTTTCTCGAATTTTGCAGCAGCTAGTCTGCTACCCTTGTTGACCATCCAGTTCCGTTGCAGAAACCAGTTTAGCAGCCGGTTTATAGTCCCCAGCTGCTCCAAAAACTGCGTTGGCCGTAACTACCGCGTGCGTGGAACATGGATCCGGTGAAAGCATGGGGCAACACCCCGTTGGCTCAGGTCGACCCGGAGATGTTCGAGCTGATCGAGAAGGAGAAGAAGCGCCAGTGGCGCGGGATCGAGCTCATCGCGTCGGAAAATTTCACCTCGCAGGCCGTGCTCGAGGCGCTGGGCAGCCCGCTGACGAATAAATACTCCGAAGGCATGCCCGGAGCGCGATACTATGGCGGGAACGAGTACATCGACGAGATCGAGAATCTTTGCCGGAAGCGCGCGCTTGAAGCGTTCCATCTCGACCCCGCGAAATGGGGAGTCAACGTCCAGCCGTATTCGGGCAGCCCGGCAAATTTCGCGGCGTACACGGCTATCCTACAGCCGCACGATCGCGTGATGGGCCTGGATCTGCCCTCCGGTGGGCACCTGACGCACGGATACTATATGGCAAACGGGAAGCGTATATCGGGGACTTCGATCTACTTTGAATCCCTGCCGTACAAGGTCGATCCGGAGACGGGCATCGTGGATTACGCGAAGCTTGAGGAGAAAGCCATCGATTTCCGACCGAAGATGATTATTTGCGGCGGGAGCGCGTACCCTCGCGAGTGGGATTACGCGCGATTCCGTGAGATTGCGGACAAAGTCGGCGCGACGCTCTTGTGCGACATGGCGCACATCAGCGGACTGGTGGCGTCTCAGGTACGATCTATTTTTTGGGATGTATCCCATGTGCGCATGTTTCGACTTTTTTAAACTGTAATTAAGCATGAAGATCAAATTATTTGCGACTTCAAACGCATGCAAGTGAACTTCGTAACTGTAGGTCTGAGATCAAGGGAACCTCGTCATTTTTTCTTCTCTCCCAAAACTTGCATCTGCGCAGGAAGCTGCGAACCCCTTCGACTACTGCGATCTCGTCACAACCACCACGCACAAGAGCCTGCGCGGCCCGCGCGCGGGGATGATCTTCTTCCGCCGCGGCCCCAAGTCCACTCCGCAAGCCAATGGCGCTGCGTCCCCGGCGGGGAAAGCGGCCGCGCCCCCGAGCAAGGCGGGCGCGAAGACGGCGGCGGCGGACGACGGGATGTACCATTTTGAGGAGCGCGTAAACTTCGCGGTGTTCCCGACGCTGCAGGGCGGGCCGCACAACCACCAGATTGGCGCTCTTGCTGTGGCGCTGAAGCAGGCGTCGACTCCCGCGTTCAAGGCGTACGCGCAGCAGGTACGGGATGGTAGGACTGGGCGGGATAAATCTATGCGAAGACGCAGGTACGATGTGGGAGGATTATGCATGACCGCTTCAACCTCGCATGCCGTGGCGTTGAAGCAGGCGTCCACTCTAGGTACGGGGTCGGAGAAGGAATGGAAAACTCTACTCGTCCAGGCGCGCCACACACCTAATTATTTTCTTTCATTCGACTCAAAGGGTCAACCCGACTTTGCTTTGAACCCCGATATCCAAGCCTAAGACCCGTAAACCTGCACGTAAACCCGAAACCCTAGACCCTGATTCTTAGTGGCTTAGAGAGTTACAAGCAAGTCAGCGTGTGGTCCGTGGTGCTCTGGGCTGTCTAATTGAAGCGATTCTTTATTCGATTGAATTTTACCCTTATGCTGGGGCTTTTGAGAAGACTCGAGAACCACCTAGTAACATGAGTAACATCAAGGCCAGGGTCCAGGATTCTCGTCAATCTCAACCAAGTTGTAGCATTTCAGGCCCCTTTACCTCACTATCTTGCTAAACCCTGAACCATGGCATTGTAAATCACCTTAGCACTCCTGTTCCCCGCCTTCCCCAATTGTCCATAGATCACTCTTTTTTTTATTCCTTCACTTCTTTCGCCCTTCCTGTTTTGATTGGTTCAGGTGAAGGCCAACGCCCGTGTGCTGGGGGAAGCACTAGTGGCGAAGGGTTACAAGCTGGTAACTGGTGGCACCGACAACCACCTGCTGCTGTGGGACCTTCGCCCATTGGGCCTCACTGGTATGTACCGCCCTGTCATGTGCCGCCCTGTTATGTCACGAGTTGACTTTTTGAGTTGACTAAAGCAAAAGTCAACCACCTGCTGCTGTGGGACCTTCGCCCATTGTGCCTCGCTTGTATGTACCGCTCTGTTGTGTCACGAGTTGATGTTTGAGTAACCTAAAGTTGAATTAGAGTTGACTCAAGTTGACTTCTGACATCTGTTTTCCAGTGGGGTTTTCCTCACACGAATCTGTGACCGTGACCTCTCCTGGTGCTCTATCTGCCACGTGGCTGTTTAACTGAAACCCTGTCCCTAAACCCTTACCAACTCCCACTTACCCTGGATGTGTCCACGTGGCAGGCAACAAGTTGGAGAAGGTGTGTGACGTGGCACACATCACACTCAACAAGAACTCCGTCTTTGGTGACAGCAATGCCTTGGCACCTGGCGGTGTCAGAATAGGTGCGTTTTTTTTTTTTGGTGCTGTGCTTTTCTTTTTGTGTTTCTTTTTTAGCGAGTGATTTTATAAGGAGTACCAATTGAGAGAAGTCGGAGATAACAGTGCCTTGGCCCCTGTCAACATCAGACCTGACATGTGCATCGTTCTGGGTTGAGTGTGCTATTTCTCTAACAAGGGTACCGGTGAAAGGAGTTGGTGGTTGAGCAAAATCTGCATTTAGGGCCTAGTCCTGAAACGTCCCCTAATGTGTTGCCCACATTCCCCGCCCACCCACACTGCCACCTAACACATGCAACCCAACCAATCCACAACACCCAGGGGCCTGGTGGGAAGGACTTTGGCCACGTTGGTGTTTATCTGGGCATTCTCACTTGATAATCCCCGACACTATGCACCACCCCACACCCCACACCAACCACACCTATGCCCCTCAACCCACACCTAACACACCCCATTGCGCCCCATCGCATCCAATCACACACAACACAACCAACATCCGCCCCCCGCCCCACATCCCACACCCTCATTTCCATTCACAGGCACCCGGCATGACCAATCAGGTACCCCCGCCATGACCTCTCGAGGCCTCGTGGATAAAGACCTTGGGAACATTGGCGAGTTTTTGGACAGAGCAGTCAAAATCAGTTTCCCCATAACCCCAATGAAACACCTCCACACCCTACTCAACTCCCCTCTCCCACCAATCAGGCACCCCCGCCATGACCTCTCGGGGCCTTGTCGAGAAAGACTTTGAGAAGGTGGGCGAGTTTCTGGACAGAGCCGTCAAGATCAGCCTGGACATTCAGAAGGAGAAGGGGAAGCTTCTGCGCGACTTTCTCAAGGACCTGGAGCAAAACAAAGAGTTGCAGGCACTGAGGGAGGAGGTGGAGGCGTTCAGCGCTGGGTTTGAAATGCCGGGATTCGATGTTGCTGACATTAAGGTGTAATGCATACACTGTAACTGGGTGACCAGGAGCAGAACGAGGAGGTGCAGGCTCTGAGGGAGGTGGAGGCGTTCAGCGCTGGGTTAGAAATGCCGGGATTCTAAGTTGCAGTTATCAAGAGAAACGTCTCAGTTGTATCAGGGCTGCTAGAAATGGCCATCAATGCCAGGATTAGATTAAACACCGGGTTTACCAATAGCGGAAAGTTCTAGAACTTGAAAATGATCGCCAAATGTCACAGGATACATGTGGGGCAGAAATCACTGGAAATGTCGTGACACTTCAGATCTTAGCTCTAAGTCAGGAGCTCCGCACAACTAGACTTCTGTTGCATGTACGGTGTGTATGGCAATGGGACGGGACATGGAAAGTGGAACAATAACTAATTTGTTTAAATTACGGTAACTGTCATTATTACCGTTACACATAAAAGGGTGGAAAGCAAGTTTATCGCCCATGTACACTACGTGCACTATCAAAGCATAAGCTTTCCGTGAAGGACAGCTTGGATGGGCCCATTACAGTCTACAGTCCATGAGGTGCTGGTTAGCCAGGACCAACTGCTACTGCTGCTGCTGCTGCTGCTGCTGTGTACATATCAAAGCATGAGCTTTCTGTGAATGCCGGCATGGATGGGCCCAGTACAGGCTACAGTGCTGTCCATGAGGTGTTGGTTAGCCAGGGCTGACAGGAGAATGCAAGAGACAGGCAACCCATCCCATATGCTCCAACTGCTGCTGCCAGTGTTCGTAGCACTGCTGCTGGTGGTGCCGCTGATGCTCGTGGTCTGGTGCCGGTGCTGGTGTCTGTGCTGGTGGTGCTGTTTGTGGTGGTATTCAGGCCTGTCGGCCCTCTGCTGCCAGCACTTATTGGGTTGGAACCACGCTGCTTGCCATCTGTATGAGAGATTAGATGGTGAGGCACAACGGGAAGTTGCGGAGGCATGGGAAGACATTGCTGTTGTGTAATGGGAGAAGGTGAGAGAGTGGGAGGAGGAAGGGGCATGGCAGGAGAGGGTAGGGCTGGGACTCCAGGGGCTTTAAGGGTATGTTGGCGATCAACATGTGGAACACTGGGGTTGCTGACGTTGCTACAGTTGCTGCTGCTGCTGCTCCTGCTACTGGAGACGCTTGTACAGTGGATGAGGGAGAGAGATGAGTCGCATGAAGACGAAGAGGTTGAGTCGCTGCTGACAGGAGGACTGCAAGTGGGGGTGATTGTATCGACGTTGGGAATTGGCGAGACTGTAGCACCTTTTGTTACACTTTCTCTGCAGGTAGTGTTTCGGCATGTAGCTGAACCAGCCATTGGAATGGGAATCGGGGCTGACTTTGGCGATCTCACAGTAGGTGCTTCTGATGTCAACGGAAGATTAGATTGGGAAACCGAAACCGTAGCAGGCAAGAGTGACGGAATGTCACGCTTTAAGAGGCTCCGATAAGCGCTTGAGTATCCAGCAGTCTTGAACCACGGATGGTACAGAATTTCGTGCGGGCGAATTCGCCGAGTTGGGTCCGCCTGAAGCATACTCCTCACAAGGTGCTTCGCTTCCGGCGAAATTTGCGTCCACGGATGCTTGCTCATATCCGGATCCGCACGACATGCAGCGGCAAAAACCGCGTTATGATTTTTTCCATAAAACGGAAGAACGCCGGACAGGCAGGTGTACAAAACGACACCGAGGCTCCAAACGTCAACCTCCGCGCCGTATTCCTTTCCGCGCACAATTTCCGGCGCCATGTAAAACGGGCTCCCCGCCAATCCGCGCAGCCGCGGCCGCGCGCGGGTCAGCTGCTGCGACAACCCGAAGTCCCCGACCCGCACTTCCGCGGAACATTCCGCGGAAGTCGCGTCGGTAGCTGCGCTGGCTAGAGTAGCGGAAGCGCAGCTGGCGGAGGGCGCGCGGAGGAGGAAGATGTTTTCGGGCTTGAGGTCGCGGTGAACGATTCCGCACGCGTGCATGCGCAGCACGGCGGAGACGACCTGGCGGAAGATCCCCGCAACCTCGCGCTCCCTCAGGCGCTTGTTGCGCGCGACGTGGTCGAAGAGATCCCCCCCCGCGCAGTGCTCCACGATGAGGTGCAGCGCGGACTCGTCCTCCGCAACCTCGTATAGGCGCACAAAACCCGCCGCTTTCGGCGCGCTCGGACCAGATTCTCCCTTCCGCGCCGCCTCAGCAGCCCGCTCCGCTTCCGCCTGCAGCAGCAGCGGAACGAGCACCTCCGCGCGAAACTCCTTGAGATCCTCCGGTCGCTGAATTTGGTCCTTGAGAATGGTTTTGCATGCGAACCGCTCCCCCGTGCGCGCATCTGCGCACTCGCGCACCACGCCGAAATGCCCGCGCCCCAGCTCCCGCCCAATCTTGTAGCAGTCCTGCAGCCGCGGCGCGCCGGCAGTCCGGCGCCGCCAGCCGTCGACGGAGAGCGGGAAGCCAGCGAGCCGCGTGGTTTCGAGCTCGTGGAAGAGGTCCCTCATGTAGGCTTTAATATCCGCCGCCGAGGCGCCATGCCGAAGCGAGAGACGTCTGGCGGGCGGCGCCGTTGTTGTGATACTATTGAAAGTCCACATCGCATCCATCAGGTCAAACATTAATCTCTCGCTGCGGGTATTACCGACTGGTCCGAGGCTGACAGGTGACTGCGCCGACTGGGCTGTCAGTGAGCCCCAGTGCTTTAGCCGCTACTTCCTGCGTTGATTTTCGCGCGAAATGGAAAATTTGCGTTGCGGTCGGTGCGGCTTCGCCTGTGAGAACAGCGGCGGACGGCGTCGCGTTTTTGGCTGTGCTATGCGTAGAAGTGCCTAGGTCCTTCCGTGCTTGGCTGGGATATTTCTGGACGCCAGACGATATAATTCGCGCCACCAATCCAAACTGTAAGGAGGGGTCAGAGAGCGATGTGAGAGAACGACGAGGCAAGATCCCCCGACGCGCTCTGAACGGACGCGTCACGGGAGAAACTGGATTTCGCGAAGTGTGGAGTACGGTACGGGGGGGACGTCCCTCGAAGCTCACTCAGTAGTAGCCATTGGAAACACCACAGTTATCCGTTCAGCCAGTCCGGATCCTTCTAGAGGAAGTGTGGGGACTGAAAGTGTGGTCGAATCTGTGCTGGTTTTATCTCGATCCTTGCTTCTGGAGTTTGCTTCGACTTGTTTGGGAAGGGAAAAGCATTTCTTGTTGTGATTGCCCGCGGGAAGCACGAAGAACTGGATGGGTAGAAACGGGCAGGTAGCTCTTCCTCCAGCTGCTGCGGTGTAAACCCAGGAAACTTTCGAGAGCTGCCCGATGCAATTTTTGTGACTGGGAAACTTTTAGGACCAACCCCCGTCACACGCGTGAAATATTTCCACCAGCCTGGATTGGGGCTGGTGGCGGCAGCAAGTTGAACACACCGGAAGAAGAGGACAGCAAGAACGACGATTTGCCGATCAGTCCAAGACTCTCGGGCAGCTATTCTTCACGAACCAGTGAAAAACCTCATCGCTGTACAGTGCCCCCGCCGACGATTGAAAGACGCATGAATGAATCACCTCGCCGCACACACTTTTGAAGGTGGTTGACCAGCGAATCGCGGAAAAGCTCTTGACTTCACCCAGAGCAAGCGATTTGCTTACGAGCACTTTGAACGATTTGGATGAGATCGTGCGACGAGTTGGCGGGCGACAGCCTTGTTCGTTCCCCTTCTGGATCGCACAGGCATTGTCCTGTTGCCGCCGGCGATGCGGGGATGTGTGCGGAGCGGAGCGAAGGGCTGAATTAATCCAATGTTTGTGGGTAACCTTTCCGATAACTATCTAGCACGTGAGTTTTATTCCTTTCTTCAGTCTAGCTACGGCAAGAAGCCTGTTCTAAACTGACACGGCTTTTTGTACACTTGGACGTACGTCGTCGTGGGTTGGTGACGCCTCAAAAGAGAAACATTTGCCAGGGACTCCACACTATCAGTGTTGTCCCGCATGTACCTGAGGTACCAAGCGGAGCACAACTCCTCCACAACTTTCACATGAAAATGCAAGGACCATGGTCTAGGGTATTTCCTTCTTGTAATACTTGCCCACGGAGATAAATACTTTTCCCGGAGGTCGTGGAAGGCACAAAGTAAGGCCCAGTTCGCCACGATCACGACATAGGCAAGGGGCGGGGGATGGGCGAGGGCTCCAGAAGGTGCGCAGGAAGATGCGAACTACGTCCGGGGGGCTCGCCCCGAATGGAAATTTCTCCAATGGGATCGGGAAGGGGGGCAAGGGGATCTAGCACCTGCCCCCCAACTTCGTTTAGGGCGTGAGGTCCAGCCTCTCTGCAACAACCCCACAACAAAGGAAACAACTCAGCCCGGGTAAAAACTGTCAAAAAACTAAAAACCGAAAAAAAAAACCATCACAGTTGCGTTTAGGGTTATGTGAACTTCAAACAGCCAGTTCACCACACAGCCTACCCACCTAGCGCGATGGGCGGAATACCAGCGTTCGACCCCTTAGGTGCTAGACGACTAGGCGGACTAGGGACTTTGAACAAGAAGTACGACACAAACGTAATCACGCATGTCATAGGCGACCGTTTAGGGGGTTTTGTGTGGTCCCCAACGCTATATCGCTTAACGCGTTTTTTTTTTGTCGGGCCGAAATGGTGACCCGTTGGCGTTTACCCTGCAATCAAATCCCCCAGCCATCCCGTTCCGCGCCTACGAAATTGGTGGTCTGCACGAGGGAGAGTTAAGGGAGCGGATGGGGTTCCGAGCTGGCAGGGCAGGAAACTGCCAGGCGCATTCCAGATCCCCCGTCCATCCCTTTGATGGCCCAGAAAGGTGGGTGTTCGCCACCACAGCGAGCCCTCCGAGGTTCGGAGGGGCCCGAGAAACCCTGATTCCAGCCCTTTAGGAAGGTGCTGGGCGGATTCCGCATCCCCCGCCCATCCCTTTGACAGTGGCGAAAAGGCGTGGCGAACAGAGCCTAAGTGTCGCATGGTTTGTCAAAACTCGGCAAGATTCAGTCGCATCAGAGAGGAGAGGATTGCGATTTGTGCGACCTACGAACAAAACGGCTCTGTTCGCCACAGCCATGGCGGTGTTCTGTTGCCGCACCACTTGATGCGGGGCCGGACAGGACAGCACCGCATCAAGCTGTGCAGCAGGAGGCTCGGGGCGCATTCATATTTTTGAAGGCTCACGCTATCTTCCTGCCCCCCTCCGCGCAATTTACAGGACAATCTTTTTTTTCCCTTCGCAGACCGTCAAATCTCCCCTCGTCACCGACCATTGGATAGTTGAATGGCCTGCCAGCAAAGCGGCCAACCAGGACAGAGAAAAACATTCATTCGTGCCCTGAACCACTTGGTGCGGTCCCTGGATCCCCCCTCAGACCCTGAACCAGGGCTGCACCAGACCCGCACCCATTTTGCCTGAGAGTGGGGGTTGCGAGTGCACCACTAGTTCACCGTTCTGCTTGGCAATTATGTGCGGACTGCACTGCATAGCACTCGATAGGTCCGGGAAGGGGTTCAGTTTCCCGAGCCTAGTATCAAGGAACACGCCCCCAAAAACGACGCACGTAGTATCTCCGCTAGAGCCCCGTAAGAAGCATCAATTTGGTGCAGTGCGGGGGGATCCGCACCAAATGGTGCAGGGCCCATCCGTTACAGTCTGCGATCCTTCGCAGCATTTGCAAAGGTGCTTCGTCGATAGTTGCAACCTCTGCGATTGGTTCGTTGACGTCAAGAATTTGTCGGTGAAAACTGTTACAATTGTACACTTGTGAAACGAATACCTACATATCTGCATACTACTCTACTAGTCTCGCATCAACTTCCACATAACCTCCACATTCATGCGACTCGGAACGCCCCATACATTTTCTCCAGCCACCTGCTTTGATGAGTTTATCGACAGATACAATCAACTCGTGATTCGCGAATGAAATTCCGCCGCATTTCGCGCTAGCAAACACAGGAATACCCACAGCATTCCAATGGCTGCATGGCACGGCATTCCCCACGTGCCTGCTGCTCTGCAGCGACAAACCCTAATCCCGACCTCTGCATGTGTCCGTACTCCTAATCCGTGCCATGGAGCAAGCAACTGTGCATCTGCTGTTCCCCGAGCCTGCATTCCAGCCGCTAGCTGCATTGCTCGCTGCAAATTCCGTTCGCCGCACGCGGCGGGAAATGCGGTAAATGCGGCTCGTTTTTGGCGTGGTCGGATTACACGGCAGTGGCTAGAATGCCGTGGCGACAGACTCGGCCGGCGATTCGAACGACCGTTAGGAGAAGCAGACTGGCTATTAACGGCCGAATCTCAGCGGCAGGGGGATGCGAGCTGTGCTACCAGCGTTGACACGTGTCACGACGCGAGTGGCTGCGTGGAGCTGACGGACGAATCGGATTTCCAACAGGCAGCGAGCGAGGACGGTCGGATCTCCATAATCGGATTCGGATCGCTCCTCTCCGGTAATCTGCGTGTTTTGAGAAGTCTCAAAAATGGCTCCCATCTTCTGCATCTTCCTCCCAACCTCCTTCACCCTCCCTCCCTCAACCCCCTCCCTTTCCTTCTCCATCCCGCCCCCCCTCTTTTCACCTCGCCCCCCCTTTTCCTCCTGCCACCTCTTTTCGCCGCCCCCTCTCCTGCCGCTAAGAGCGTAGTCCCCTTTATTCCCCTCACCTTCGACCAATATCGCAATGCCTGCAGCAGATCTCCTCAGCTTCTCCCCACCTCTCTCCACCCCTCCCCAACCCACTCCGCCCTCCCCGACCCCTCCTACCGCTCCCCATCCCTTTCCACCCCTCTCCACCCCTCTCCCCCACCAAGAGCGCAGCGCGCGCAGCACGTTCCCATCTCTGGAGGGGTTCCGCCAGGCCAGGCTGAGAGGGTTCCGCCGGGTCTTCTGCCACGCTGCGCCCGTGTTCTTTATAAGGGGGATTGCTAATAGCGAGACCAAAGTGAGTGAATGAAATCCCCTGTTCTGGCTATCCCCCTCACACATCTGTCCCACCTGTCCCACCTGTCCCACCTGTCCCGCCGCTCTCCCACATCTCTCCCACCTCTCTCCCACCTCTCTACCCATCTCGACTTCCTTTCTCTCCCCACCTCTCCTCCTCCGCCCATCTCCCCTTACCTGCTCCGCCCATCTCCCCTTACCTGCTCCGCCCATCTCCCCTTACCTGCTCCGCCCATCTCGCCACCTCCCCTGCTTGCTGTTTTCCACACGTCGCCCATCACCGCACATATGCAGCCCTCCACCGCTTCCCACCATTCCCCACCCCCAGGAGTATTCGAGCCTGAGTGTGGAGCCCTGCGAGGGGGAGGAGATCGTTGTCACGCTCTTCTCCATACCCGTTACTGAGGTACTCGTTATAAGCTCAGCTTCAAGTGTTTTTATCTTGGGGACAGAGGAACGGAGTGGGTGCGGCCAGGGGAGAGGGGGATGGGATGAGGAGGGAGGATTGGGGAAGCAGGGGAGCTTGAAAAGGAGAGGAAGGGGAGTGGGGTTGATGGGTGAAGCGCAGGTGAGTAGAGAAGGGGTGGAGCTGTTGAATCAGAACATTGTGTAAACTAGTTTCGGCTTTGAAAAGCCTTCATCAGTACAAGCCTGAAAAGGAGAGGGAGGGGAGTGGGGTTGATGGGTGAAGCGCAGGTGAGTAGAGAAGGGGTGGAGCTGTTGAATCAGAACATTGTGTAAACTAGTTTCGGCTTTGAAAAGCCTTCATCAGTACAAGCCTGAAAAGGAGAGGGAGGGGAGTGGGGTTGATGGGTGAAGAGCAGGTGAGTAGAGAAGGGGTGGAGCTGTTGAATCAGAACATTGTGTAAACTAGTTTCGGCTTTGAAAAGCCTTCATCAGTACAAGCCTGAAAAGGAGAGGGAGGGGAGTGGGGTTGATGGGTGAAGCGCAGGTGAGTAGAGAAGGGGTGGAGCTGTTGAATCAGAACATTGTGTAAACTAGTTTTGGCTTTGAAAAGCCTTCATCAGTACAAGCCTGAAAAGGAGAGGGAGGGGAGTGGGGTTGATGGGTGAAGAGCAGGTGAGTAGAGAAGGGGTGGAGCTGTTGAATCAGAACATTGTGTAAACTAGTTTTGGCTTTGAAAAGCCTTCATCAGTACAAGCCTGAAAAGGAGAGGGAGGGGAGTGGGGTTGATGGGTGAAGCGCAGGTGAGTAGAGAAGGGGTGGAGCTGTTGAATCAGAACATTGTGTAAACTAGTTTCGGCTTTGAAAAGCCTTCATCAGTACAAGCCTGAAAAGGAGAGGGAGGGGAGTGGGGTTGATGGGTGAAGCGCAGGTGAGTAGAGAAGGGGTGGAGCTGTTGAATCAGAACATTGTGTAAACTAGTTTCGGCTTTGAAAAGCCTTCATCAGTACAAGCCTGAAAAGGAGAGGGAGGGGAGTGGGGTTGATGGGTGAAGCGCAGGTGAGTAGAGAAGGGGTGGAGCTGTTGAATCAGAACATTGTGTAAACTAGTTTCGGCTTTGAAAAGCCTTCATCAGTACAAGCCTGAAAAGGAGAGGGAGGGGAGTGGGGTTGATGGGTGAAGCGCAGGTGAGTAGAGAAGGGGTGGAGCTGTTGAATCAGAACATTGTGTAAACTAGTTTCGGCTTTGAAAAGCCTTCATCAGTACAAGCCTGAAAAGGAGAGGGAGGGGAGTGGGGTTGATGGGTGAAGCGCAGGTGAGTAGAGAAGGGGTGGAGCTGTTGAATCAGAACATTGTGTAAACTAGTTTCGGCTTTGAAAAGCCTTCATCAGTACAAGCCTGAAAAGGAGAGGGAGGGGAGTGGGGTTGATGGGTGAAGAGCAAGTGAGTAGAGAAGGGGTGCAGTGGGGCTAATGTGTTAGCTAATGCCATCCAAGCATTTTTTCGTGTCATGGTGATGTGGCATGGTGATGTGGCATTGTGGCATGGCCTGGTGACGTGGCAGGTGCCAGCATTCATTGAACGAGAGCATGAGTTCCGGTTCCTTCTTGTAAGCTTTCTCCCTCCCCCGTTCCTCCCTCCCTTCATCCCTCCCTCCCTTCATCCCTCCCTCCCTCCATCCCTCCCTCCCTTCATCCCTCCTTCACTTCATGCTCCATGTGTGCTTCTATCACGCCTCACTCTATGTTACTCTTTCACCATCTTGCTCTTAATCCACTAGTACCCACACCATTTTCATCCTATTCCTTCCATTCCCACTTCTCCTCACTCCCCACTTCTCCTCACTCCCCACTTCTCTTCACTCCCCTTCCTTCCAACCTACGCTACTCAGGTTCCCCCCAGCAGATTATCACCAGTAGCAGCATCACCAGATTCATTAGCAGCAGAATCATCATCACCAACACATGGTGCGGTAAGTAAGCACAGAATCGCCTCTTATCATTCCCAAAAACCATCAGTAGCTTCACCAAACTTATCTGCACCAGAATCAGCTGCACGAGCACATAATAACAGCCTAGACTCCTGTCAGACATCATCCATAGCATAGTTAACGGGTAGTGACAGATTATACCCTATTGAATCACGCATGGGAACCTCGCAGCGCAATGCCCCTATCGCATTCAACCTGCTCACCAAGAAAGCAATCAAGTGTACCTTGAAAAGTGCCTCGTTTCGCCCCTCTGCAATCCAACCCTCTTCCCCTCTCTCCATCACTCTTTCTCAGGTGATCTGCAGCCGCTACAGCGATCAAGAGTACCTTCAAACTCCCTCATTCGCCCTTCCTCGCCTCCCCCCCCCTACTGCTCTCCCCAACACACTACCCATCTTTTTCTTCTCGCTTTCTCAGGTGATTTGCAGCCGCTACAGCGACCAAGAGTACCTTCAAATTCGCCTGAAAGGTGTGCCCTCTTCTCCTTTCCATTAAATGGTCCTTATTTTTCTTTCTCCTTGTAAGAAAGCACAGCACGTGGCACAGGCGGGGCATGGCAAGGGTGAGGGACGACTGGTAGTTGCTTGGAATTTCCAGACAACTCAGAGATCGCCAATTTGTTCCGATACGACTTGTCACATGCTTGCTTCCTATGGCATTGCCCCAACTCTCCTCTCTCCTCGCCTCCCCCCTTCTCCGTCTTTCCAGGCAACAGAGATGAGTATGAGAAGCAGTACGGCAGGTGGGGTGTGGAGAGGGTGTGGGACGACACTCTACTGCCATGCCGTGTCTACCTCCGGCACTGGTGAGATATAACGTTACTGTGTAACCATGCTGCACAGCATACCTATCTGTGCTGCAGTGCGTGCAGGTGGGGTGTGGAGAGGGTGTGGTACGACACTCTACTGCCATGCCGTGTCTACCTCCGGCACTGGTGAGATATAACGTTACTGTGTAACCATGCTGCACAGCATACCTTTCTGTGCTGCAGTGCGTGCAGGTGGGGTGTGGAGAGGGTGTGGTACGACACTCTACTGCCATGCCGTGTCTACCTCCGGCACTGGTGAGATATCACGTTACTGTGTTACCATGCTGCACAGCATACCTATCTGTGCTGCAGTGCGTGCAGGTGGGGTGTGGAGAGGGTGTGGGACGACACTCTACTGCCATGCCGTGTCTACCTCCGGCACTGGTGAGATATCACGTTACCGTGTAACCATGCTGCACACCATATCTATCTACGCTATGATGCAGTACGGCAGGTGGGGCATGCAGAGGGTGTGGCCCGTGGGATGACGCTCTTGTGCTGAGAGGTTTATTCCATAGCGCTGGATTGAATAATCTTCAGTGTGTGTGTTGCATTGCGACTCGCAACTTGCAAGGCCGCCCTGAAGATGGATGTGCATTACCGGTATCTTATGCCTTACTTCCCTGCTCTTCCCTGTGGCAGTGTGCTGGCAGCGCAAGGGCTGGGAGAGGTGGCTCTTGCAAGCTTCCTAAACCACACATTCCTGGCCACATGCACTTTAAGGTGGAAATGCCATATGTGCTTCCTTCCCCGCTCTTCCCTGTGGCAGTGTGCTGGCAGCTCAAGGGCTCGGAGAGGAGGCTCTGGCAAGTTTCCTGGACCACACATTTCTGGCCGACCGCCAGACCACCATTCGTCAGTACCTGCTTCGGCACCCAGACATCATGTCCGAACCTCCTCCGCCAAGCCTGGCAGATAGGTATGGCGGCTGACATACCGATCGCAGAGTGTGGGCCCCCCTTGTTTGACTTTCCAGATTCCATTATTGTTGCATTGTTTAAGTTATAACCACAGTGAACATGTACATGTGAAATGCGGTGAGTATGCAGGGCAATGCAACTGCTGCTTCAAATTTCCACCCAATTTGCCAGACGTAAAATGTTTTCAAAATCACCTGGGTGGAATGTGTAAGTTTTCAGAAGGCTGGCCTTGATCCTTCCGGATAAAGCTTGATGGTCTAGATGGTACAGTACGGTACCTACCGGGAGTTGCAAGTCAATATGAATCGGACACAAATAATGCAGCCTGTCTGCAGGGACCTTGATACTGGGAGTACCCATCACCATCAGCACACGCATGCACTACGGTACGCAGAAACAATTTAACAGCCCACCCTTGTCGAGCGTTCAGGATATTGTGGGGAAAGAGATGCAACAAAGGGATGACGTGACATGGGCATTGGGCAGACCACAATGAGACAACACTATGGCATGACATGAATTGATATTTGATGACATGAGATGGTGCTATGAGGTGACATGGGGCATGGCATGACACTAAACAGACTCCAGGGGGACATGGACAATCCACAGGGCACATGGCATGGGATGATACATGCATACTGTGACACACTCTCACAGGAGGTGACATGGGACAATGTGGTATGACATTGAGAAGAGTTACCGTAAAAGGGTAACAGACACAGTACTGAGCACATGGCATAGGGACACGCACCATGCATAATGCACATAACACGTGGTACATGCATCATGCATTTGTGCATGTGACTCATGGATGTATGCACACATGCACACACATGGATGCACACACGCACACACATGCACTCGCTCACACGCATACATGCAGAAAGACACACGCATGGTTACACAGATGCAAATATCCTTGCATGCACACAGGCACAAGGGCACGAGATGCGACTCCACATGTGCGTACATGCCCTTCCGCATACAAGCACGCATGCTTGCATGCGCACACACATACACGACACAAGATTGCACTGATGTGCAAATACACCCAAGCATGTACTGACAAGTGAACACATGTGAGCATGGACTGACGTGTCAGTTCATCTGTGTTCATGCATCCGCATTTCGTTTCCGCACACCTTCCCAATCCCACACTATTCACTCGCTCGGAAAAACAGGAATACAGTCATAATCCTGCTTGAATGATCAGGTTATTTCAACTTTATTGAGCTAACGGATGTTAGAACTGGGTGTACCCGGAGTGGCATTACACAGCGAAAAGTTCAGGAATCAGGAAAGCAGGAAAGGAGTAAAGGAGGATGAGAAAATTATCCGTACGGGCGTACCCTGTATTGAGAAACCGTTTACTGCATAAGCGTCACCGTGTTGCCAAAAACTCACCAAGCTTCGTCAATACTCCATCTGATCTCCATCTTCGTCAAGCTCCATCTCCCCGCGCACAGCTGCTCTGTCGAAACCCTAATTATACTTCCGCGAAATTACCAGTAAGATAACAAGTCCCTTGCTCTTCCCGCCCCTTCACGTGCCGCCTCGCAGCCGCTACTGAATCAGCCACCAATCGCCAGATGTTACAAACGAGTTACGTTATTCGCACATGCTGCTGCTTCGATTTCCGCTGTCCACACCTTATGCTACACGAGTTCCGCTGCTGCATGCTACGATTTCCACTGCTGCATGCTGCACGAATGCCGCTGCGGCTGCAAGATCATCGCTGCAGCTGCTGCTGCCAGTTCGCTTCGTGGTAGCTCATGCTCCCCGTTATCATACTCTCCGCTGCTCGTTACAACCCCCGACCTCCTTCGGCGAAAGCTCCGTCGGCGTCCTGTCCGGGCTGGAGAGCCTCGCGCTGTTACTGTCACCGTCACTGTTCCCACTCCCGTTACCGTTCTCGTTGCCGTTAACGTTAAAGTTACCGTTACTGCTGCTAGTAACAACGCCATCACCCCTGCCTGCCACCCCCTCCACGCTCTCTACGCTCCAGTCGTTCACCGTCGACGCGACCAGCTCTTCTAACGCGCTCGAAAGAACCTTCGCCTCGCACCGCAAATTCGCCCACTGCTGCGACCGTCGCGCGAGCTCGCGATTCGGCACATGCACGCCGCTTGCGGAATACCCGGGCCGCGAGCGATGCGGGGAGCTGTGAGACGACCCGGCCGGCGACTGCGACAGATCCGGCGTGCGCGGGGATCGCGGCGGCAAACGCGGGGAGCTGAGTGATGGACTGCCGATTGGAAAACCGTCCCCGGTTCGACAGCGCGGATAGGCCCCCATCATCGCTGCTGTTGCTGACGACGGACTCGGTTGACCCGGTTGTCCTGGTTGACCTGGTTGACTTGATTGACCAAGTTGACTGGGTTGACCGGATTGACCAGATTGGCGGGCTAGTTGTTGCTGCTGCTGCTGGTGCTGCTGAAGCGAAAGCAATTGCGCGAGCGCGCGCGCTTCGTCCTCGGAGCCGGTTCGGCGGAACCAGAGGCGCGAAGGGGAGTCCTCCGCCGCCACGCGCACTTGAAGGTCCCCGCGCGGGGCTTTGGCGGGGGACGGGGAAGTCTCCGGGGAAACACGCGCTTGAAGATCCCCGCGCGGGGCTTTGCAGGGGGAGGCGTCCCCCGGTAAGTGGGGATGAAGGCCCGGGCGCGCGGATCTGGAGGGGGAGGCATCCCCGCTCACCCGCAACTGGAGGTTGCGGGGAGCGCGGGAAGAGGGGGAGATGGCGTCCCCCAGCTTGGATTGCGGAGAGGCTGGTGGCGCAACTTGCAGCGAGAATTGAGGCGCAACTTGCGGGGAGACCTGAGGCGCCTCGAAACGGGATTTGGTGTCACCCAGCTTGAAATGCGGCGAGATCGCGGCCGGCGCGGGTTCCAGCTGCGTGTGCATGTGTTACCGGGTTCGTACGAGACTACGTGGGAATACAGAGGAGAATTACTGCCCGCGCGAAACAACGCACGAAATGAGAACCGGCTTCCGTGTGGACAGACAGGCGAAACTATGCGAACGTAGTTACCCGTGACTCAATCACTAACGTGTTCGTAGAACTGTAAGATTCTGGTCCGTTCTGAGTAGGAAATCATTCATCCGACAGCCGATACTCAAATTACCGAAAGTAACGAACTGACAGACATCGCAAAGATACTAGGATCAGATGACTTGGTTTGTAAGCGGCGAGCTATGTCACATGGGAAAGAATATGGACTCGTCATAAATTTGAAGCCTACATACTCAAGCCAATCCTCAAGCCCTGAGTTTGCACAGAACAAAACCACCAATCCTCATCCCGTATATGAGGACAGGGAAGAAGGGGGGGAAGAAGGGGGAAAAGAAGGGGGGAGGAGTTGCGTTCCGCTCCAACTTTCAGGGAAAATATGCTACACGTAATCACAAAGGGTCTCGATAATATGTTTGGTAACAAATAGCGGGTACGGTCACTGCAGAGGGTGTTTTCACATGTTTGATAAAGCGTTTCACGGAATCAGTCACTATCAACTGGGAAAAAATAACGCGAATGGTCACAGATGAAACTCCCGCCAAAAAAAGATAATACCCAAAAGGAACCTGGATGTATTTTCGGACGAATCAACCCTACACACAATTCGCCAGGTGTTTAGGGTTGATCCGTCCCCAAACTGCATCCAATTCCGATTGGGTTGTAGTATTTTACGAAGTTAGCTGATTGGTTGCGCGCGAGCGGGAAAATTTTAGAGTTTCAAGAAATTTTGGCGGGAGTTACATGTGTGACCATTCGCGTGATTTTTTACCTGTTGTTAATGACTGAATCCGTGACCCCACTTACCAAACCCCCCAGGAATCCCGATACAGTGACCGTACGCGTTACAATTTTACTTTTCACGTTATCGAGTCCCATGTTGGTTACGTGTGGCATATTTTCCCCAACTTCCAACCTCCGACATCCAAGAACCAATCGCAAGAGCAGCCCAGCGCATTTTGGCTCCGTCGTTCATCCACATCTTCGCTTCCCGCCCTTCCCCTTCCCTCCCCTCCCTTCCCCTCGCCCCCCCCCTTCAGTGTTCACTTCGCGGGCTGATTTTGTGTGATCTGACGCGTCTGGAATCGGCACAGAACATACAGTAACGCTAGCAGCATCCGCGCGTGCTCATCACATCGGGCAGAAGAGACCAGGTTTTACACAATCGGACGGTTCACAGCCGGTCTTCTGTGTGAGGGGGGGGGCGGTTCACAGCCGGTCTTCTGTAGATGTGATGTGCCACGTGACATAACAAGACAGCCGAAACCAGACGGAGTACAGTAACGAAGTTTGAGGGCTGGGCTGTGGAATTTCAAATGTCCCACACCCTGCTACAGTTTGTGAGCTGGTGACCTTCGTCCGTGCTGTTTCTTTTTGAACTTGCAAGTTTCATCAGGGAGTTGATGTTGGCGGGATCTGCCCACGAACAGCGAAAGAATATTCTTCTGTTCTGGGATACGGAAAGGGCATGGATATTCCTACATCATAACCCAGCGAGGCAAAAAAAGGCAGGAGTAAAAGGAACTTACGGGAAAGGGAATTCGTTCGTTCGGGAATGCACTTTTTTGTAAGAACCGGTGTTTGACATAATTTGTCAAGATCTTGGAAAGAACAGAACAAGAACATGAAGCTTCCCGACAGTGAGCGGGACAGAAATGAGTTTGTTCCAGCAGGTACTCTCAATTCAAAGGTGAGGGATGTATCTAATTAAAAACTGGCGGAGGGTGAGCTGTCACAAAAAATGCTAACCATCACAGATCGTCCATGCCTGAATGGACCAAATGCTGCAACACGCGAGTCGACAAACCAGGCATTTTTTTGGACTTTCAATGGACGGTAAAGGTAAAGGTTTTAGGGGAAACCCCCTTTGGTATCCCCCTGTTTTTTTTGGACTTTCAATGGAGCTTGCGTTGTGGCACAACAAATCTACAGAACTGCTCCAAAAGTGGGCAAAATTTCGCTGAAGTGGGCAAAATTTGGCTAAAGTGGACTTTTTTATTGCAACAGTAGGTCGCATTTGACAGACTTAGGGATACGGCCAACCTTTTAAATGTTTTTGTCGGACCCCGCAAAAAGAAGGGACATTTTCGATTTGCCAATTTGAACCGCTAAACACCGGCTAAAAGGGCGCATTCCTAGCTCGTGTCTGACATCAGGTCATAGGCCCTTAGTCTCAAATTTGTCTCTTCCGAATGTTGATTTGCCCCTGTTCTGAGCCACTTCGGGTCTTCCGAGCACCACTTCGTGTCTGACCTGATGTCAGACACGAGCTAGGAATGCACCCAACTTAACACCATCCTGAAGTGGCCTAGTCAAGTAAGATGGGATCAAACCCCAATGCCCCACAAAGGGGTTTCGCACTGCTCATCTGTCAGGGACGTCGATATCACACGAAATTCGTCTGATGGTCTGAAACCAGACTCGTTTTTTAGTCTTCATCTGAATTTTCAGACAGTGAATAAATTTTCATCTGAATCACTGGACATGCCAAATTTATTCGTCTGGTTTTTCAGATGAGCTTGTACATTTCGTCTGAATTCACAGACAACGCGGATTATTTTCGTCTGAGACCACGATACGCCTCACTAGGCCACGTGTAAATCTGCCGAGGAGCGCATTCACTGACGCGCCAAAGTGATCTCTGACGATTCAAAATGCTAACTCTGACGCGTCAAAATGACAACTCTGACGCGTCAAAGGATTCACTCTGACGCGTCAAAGGATTCACTCTGACGCGTCAAATGGTTCTCTGACACATCAACATATTCTCTGACACACAGGCACATTTGCTGCTGAGGGGGAGATTCTCTCAGCTCTGCCCTCCACCAGCAGGCCAACATTTCCGAATTTCAAGCACATGTTTCACTACAAAGACATGCGATTTCGGTAATGAAGTTTTACATGTTTGTTGCTCCTCAGACATATGTTTCGTTTTCATCTAATTTTACAGACTTGGTAAAAAATTTCGTATGAATTTCCAGACCAGCCATAAATTTTAGTCTGACGCTCAGACGAAGCAAAAAAGCCCCGTCTGATTGTCAGACGGGGTTTTTTACTAGCAACGCCCCTGTTATCTGGGAGTGGATATATCCGGTGAGGCGTGTCAACAAGTGGGTAGGCGGATTACGATCGACAGCAGGGAGTAACCCAAAGGGGGCTCTCCCCCCTCCTTTACCTTTACCTGCTAAGCATGAACAGCAAAATAACATCTCAGGAATTGACGATCTGCTTTTGTCTTTTATTGGTTACGAATACGGTTTTGATTGAAGGGGTCAGGCAATGACCATGGTCATTGCGCCACAACATATTTGTACACATCTTAGATATGAATAATTTAGAAAATAAATTTCTAAATTTAATGATTGTGACAAGATTCGAAAATGGGGAATGCAATAAGGATGCATTCCCCCCTTATCCTTGGGCAGGTCCACAGACTTGCCACCTAGTCTCATTTCATCCATCTCAGTTTGAGTTCCCGCCCACCGCACCTCTTAGATGTTTAGATGCGTAGATAGTATGCACTGTCTGTTCCTGCTATTTATTTATATTGTTGTGTGCCATGTACAACTGATGACGAGTGCATTGCAAACTCCTTGTAGAGTCTTGTCACAATCGACTCGTTATACTCCTTCCGCTTTGGACAGAGGAAAAAATTGTGGATTCCTCCTTCCGCGTTCCCGCAGACTAGTGCGCCTTTCTCGACAACAATGGAATAGGTTCACACGCAACCCACGACGACGCAGTTTAAAGCCCGCGTCTCATATTTCACCAGGCCCAACCAAGAGTAATACGCTTGAAACCGGGTAACCACTCAAGCAGTCGCAACTTTGTTGGGTTTGGTTGGGAGCACTTGCGATTGGCTGCAGCCCCAACAGGCTGGGGAAGGCAGATGCACGACTGCTGAACTGCATCCGCACGAAACACCATACCTTGTGCGACGAAGGTAGGAAACACAGGAAACCAAGCGTAATACCACAGCAGGAATAATATGAGACAGTTGAGCAACCACCTTTCATTCCAGCCCATGACTCTTCTCAACAACTTAGCTTAGCCTAGGGTTTGTTCATGGCTGTTCAGTAGAATGTCACCCAAGTAAATGTTGTCTCATTTCACGTAGATCTGAGTGCGTTCGGGCTGGACAACGTAATGTCCGATCGTACGGCTAATTCCTACGCGAAGCCCATGAGGAAGTGGCGGAACTAATATAAGGGAAGGGATAAAATAGCATCAGCATATCCGCACGCGCGACAAGGGACGAGGTAGGACGGATGGAAGAATACGGAAAGGGACGCACCGGGACGGGAAGGGACGCGACGGGACGGGAAGGGACGCGACGGCGCGGGAAGGGACGCGACGGGACTGGACGGGACGCAACGGGACTGGACGGGGCGGGACGGGGTGCGACGGAACGGGAGGGGACTCGACTGGACATGACGTGACGGGATGGGACGGAAAGGAGCGACGCGACGGGACGAAATGGGAGAAGACGCGCCGAAATTGGATGGACGGGGCATGACGGGAAAGGGGAAGGAGCAGGGCGGGACGTTGAGCGACGTGCAATTCTAGGTACAGGAAGGGACTGGTCGGGAAGGTGAGGAAAGGGACGGGAGGAGACGCGCCGAGATGATAACTGACGGGAGGGGTCGCGGCAAGTGAACAGGTGTGAACGGGTTCTGTCTCAGTGGTGCGGCATCTGCTGCAGCACATCCGTCGCATCCCACTACCCCTTTCCCCATCCCCCTTTCCCTTCCCCGCATCCCCCTTCCCTTCCCCCATCTCAGTGAGGGATCGGAGAGGGAGAGGCATCGGCGGAAGCGGAGGCGGAGCGGCATCGGCCTAAGCGGAGAGGAAGGCAGCAAGGCCAGCGCCGTCGCCGTCGCGGACGGGAAGAATCGCGCCGAGACCGGAAGGGACGGGAGGGGATGCGACGAGAGAGGAGGGGACGGGACGAGAGAGGAGGGGACGGGACGAGAGAGGAGGGGACGGGACGAGAGAGGAGGGGACGGGACGAGAGAGGAGGGGACGGGACGAGAGAGGAGGGGACGGGACGAGAGAGGAGGGGACGGGACGAGAGAGGAGGGGACGGGACGAGAGAGGAGGGGACGGGACGAGAGAGGAGGGGACGGGACGAGAGAGGAGGGGACGGGACGAGAGAGGAGGGGACGGGACGAGAGAGGAGGGGACGGGACGAGAGAGGAGGGGACGGGACGAGAGAGGAGGGGACGGGACGAGAGAGGAGGGGACGGGACGAGAGAGGAGGGGACGGGACGAGAGAGGAGGGGACGGGACGAGAGAGGAGGGGACGGGACGAGAGAGGAGGGGACGGGACGAGAGAGGAGGGGACGGGACGAGAGAGGAGGGGACGGGACGAGAGAGGAGGGGACGGGACGAGAGAGGAGGGGACGGGACGAGAGAGGAGGGGACGGGACGAGAGAGGAGGGGACGGGACGAGAGAGGAGGGGACGGGACGAGAGAGGAGGGGACGGGACGAGAGAGGAGGGGACGGGACGAGAGAGGAGGGGACGGGACGAGAGAGGAGGGGACGGGACGGGAGGGGACGAGAGGAGAGGCGTCGAGAGCAGAGGGGACGGGAAGGCACACCCTTTCCCTTTTCCCCATCCCCCTTTCCCTTTCCCCCATCCCCCTTCCCAGCATCCCCCTTTCCCTTTCCCCCATCCCCTTCCCAGCATCTCCCTTTCCCTTTCCCCCATCCCCTTCCCAGCATCTCCCTTTCCCTTTTCCCCATCCCCCTTCCCGGCATCCCCCTTTCCCTCTCCCCCATCCCCCTTCCCAGCATCCCCCTTTCCCTTTCCCCCATCTCCATTTCCCTCCCACATTCCCCTCACCTTTCCTCCATCCCCCTTCCCTCTTCTCTTCCCCCATCCGCCTTCGCTATCCCACATCTGCCTCACCTTTTTCAACATCGCCCTTTCCCTTCTCCGGTCCACCTTCCCTTTACCCGGTACCTCCCCTCCTTCCCCGCATCCCACTTCCTCTTTATTTTCATATGTGCAGCGGCAGCACTAGCCATGGGCACATCAAAGCAACGGGAGGGACCAGCAGGCGAAGCTTCGGCAGAAGTTATGAATCGGGGGGGCCTTCTTCCCATCCCAGTTTATGAGCAGGGTTATGGTGTCCCTTGATTTTTTTATCCAACTTATGTTTCCAATAGTAGCATGCATTGCCAAAACTGTTTAGATTAGACCATGCATGTTATTCTACTTTGATAATCCACGATTATTGTGTGCATGTTGTCTCTGGATAATCTGTTCGACATTTTTTTTTTCAAATTCCACCCTAAGTTGACTGGTGTTAGCTTTGTACAACACTTGCATATCAGCATATTTTTTAGGGAACTGTACAATGTACCAATGTAGAGGGTGTCACCCCCTCCCTTGTCGCGTGCCTTACATGCATCAGCAACTTAAGAATCACCTAGAGAACAACATTATCATAAAAGAAAGAAACAACAACGTCCAAAGAATTTTTCTTGACCTTTACGCAGAAAGAGGCAGCTCCTGACCGTTGAAGGCAGAGTAGCGGCAGTCAGTGGCGGTGACGGCGCTGGTCTCATAGTCCTTCACCTGCCCATCCAGGAAGCCCTTGCCTTCCGCGCCATCGGCGGACACGGGGTGGTGCAGCATGGCGGCGAGCCTAGAGAACTCCACCGTGCGAGACTCCCTGCCGCCGCGGTACGTCTGCCCCATCACGCCGTGCACGCTGCTGCTCGCGCTCGCGTCAGTGAACATCACATTAATATGCACCTGGGCGTCGTCAGGTGTCTGCAGCAGAGGGTGCGCGGGGCGCAGCTTCAGGTCCAACTCCAGGAGCCCGTCGAGGCGCAGGTAGTAGTGGTCCACATCGTACGGCCCAGTCTTCTCCTCACCAACAAACTCCAGCGACACCTTGCCGCCCGCGAGGCTGCGCGATTCACCGGGCGCGAGGCGGGGGAGAGGGGTGCCGTCGAGCTCGGCGGACGCCAGGAAGCCGGAGTCACCGCGGAGCTGCTCCTTGCCGTCGCGCGCCGTCAGCACCAGCGAGTGGGTGACGGGCTTGGCGGAGACGGTGTTATCACTGTCGGTCCACATGACGGCCAGTTGGCGGATCCAGGTGCGCACGGCGGAGCCGTTGACGACGAGGGCGGCATTCTCCGTGGAGCGCGAGTCGAGGTAACCGCGCATGCCCATGTTCACGTGCACCGCGCGGTCCGTGTACAGGCAGAAGTTCTTCTCGGGCAGCCCGTTGAAGTCGAACCGCGTGCCGTGCGCGCCCGTGAAGTGCGGGTCATTCTCGGCGGCAGCGCAGTTCTTGCCGATGCGCACCTTCTTTCCGCCGCAGCCCTTCTTGTCGCTCTTAGTGGGCATGAGGGAGTTGAGATCCGGCAGGAGAAGGCACTTGCCGCACTCCTTGCCGTTGCACTTGCCCTCGCTGGGCGACGATCTGCGATTGCGACGATACAGAGCGACGAACAGACCAACAGGATAAGGGAGTGATGATTAGGAATTGGGTAGAACGGAAGGTGGGCAGGGACCGATCAACTACATCGACAGATTAGGACTGTGGATCTTTGACTCAACGATCAAAGATTTACAGTCAAGGTTAGGAATGCCGCGACTGTCCGGTACTTACGGGATGTGCACCCAGTATTTGCAGACATAGGCCTTCCCGTCGAGGGTGGTACCGGGGTTCTTGCAGCGATCGCAGCAGTCCTTGGCGTTCACCGCGCCGGCCGCGCACCACGGGGCGGTGTCCTTTGTCGCCTTCGACATGCACTCTTGGTACTCGGGGACCTTCGGAAATGATCGAAGGGAAAGAGAGGATGTCGCGGGTAAGCACAGGGGCGATGCTATTCGTAGGATCACATCAACGTAAGTAATAAACAAGCGACATGCGTGGTCATCGATCGATTACTAAGCAGAAGTTTATAGACTGCAGCTTGACGCACCTTCCAGTAGTCGAAGGAGCCCTTCTCGTAGTCGCAGCCATCGACGCACAGATGGCCCCTCTTCTTCGCCTTCCCCGGCGCGTCACCCGATTTACCCGGCGGGTTACCCGAGTTGCCTTTACCGCCTGCGTTTACAACAGACGCGGCAGCGAAGAGAACGAGCAGGCTAACGACGATATAGCGTGCCATGACGGCTATTCGGTTCACTAGAGTCTCTGAGTTAATTTAGACAGTCTCTCGGTTGATAAATGAGATACAGAGTGTGCCAAGAGGGCTTGATTATATTCTGTGCTGGTTGGGCGCTTGGGCTGGTGAGAACTCAGGAGTCGGGGCAGGTAACTGCTGTGAGGCTGGGGTTGGTTTGGCAGGGTTGGTTCGGGAAAGAAACTGTTGTGGCTTGTGTGGTTGTGGTTGGGTGGGAGGAACGGGGGAGCGAGGGCCAAGGAGTCTCGGCCGGGAGTGGTGCAGTGCAGGTGCGGATGCAAACAACCTGGAAGGCTCCTGCGAGTCTGCGACATTCTGCGTCAGTGGGGTTACATGTTTGGCGCCTTATTGTTCAAGATTCGTCGCAGCCCGCAGGAGCGCCGGTGCCGGCCAGGAGGTACTTCCGATGCGCAGATAGCTAAGAGAAGGAAACGGGCATATCAGCTACTGTTTCCTGAGATGTCCACTTTCGGGCAGGTTAGCTCCATCAAATTAATCATCACAGGTCATCAATAAGAGTGGACCAGACTACCCATTCAGACTATTTCGCAAATGGCAATCTATGAAGGGAAATTTCAAGTTTTGGAACCCGTGCAAAACCACACTGTAAGCATACAATATTCGGACAGGGTGACTTATTTCGTGATATTGATACTGACAGTTAATCACTCAGGTGCATAGAATCTGCGTTTTCGCCCGAACGACCATCTCAGATGGTTCGTGCCGCCCAGCATCCAACACCTGAACAGCTCAGAACGGCTGAAAACAGATGAACAGAAATTGAATCGACAAAACTGATTCAACCCGCATCTCAACATTCATTTTGTCTTTTACTGAGTCACTATAACAAGTTCCCCAATACAGCAAAATGTATAGAGAAAAGAACACAGTAACAGTCGACATGTTTTTCATCAATTTTTCTCAAACCCACATTTTTTGGCAGCATCATGCTTCTTTCAGAATCACACTATACATATGTTTTCAAACCAGCACACAAATCACCATCTACTCTACATTCGACTGTCTGCACGTTCCTCACCCAGATCACACAACTATTTGTACGCCCGCAGTTCCGAATCTGAAGCAACACGATTATCTACTTCAGGATCCACTGAAACTAAATTAGGAACTGAAGTTCTTGAACAATACTCGAGGTACCTTCAATTTTTTTGCGACGTTATTCGGTTTCTTTCTTTCTTCCTTTCTTTTTGTTTTACTCGGAACTCAGTTAAGAGCTGAGGCTCCTGGACTGCTCTGCAAGCAGCAGGTCGGTATCAAGGTCATCCGCAATGACTATTGACGGCGCCTTCTTAAATATCTGCACAACGCATAGAGAAGAAGGGAGGGGGGGGGGGGGGGGGGGGGGGGGGGGGACTTTTGAGGCGCCTTACATGCAGATCCATGCCAAGGTAATCCGCAATGACTATGGACGACGCCTTCTTAAATATCTAAATATCTGCACAACGCGGGGTGCAGGGGTTGAATAATGAGGGGGAGAAAAAAATGGTCCATATGGGTAGGAAAATCAGAAGAGACACACCTGGTGCATACAGGCTTGGGAATGAGCCAAGCAGGGAATCACAGTGGACATGAGAGGTGAGGCAAGAGCGGGCGTTAGGGCAAGACTTTTGAGAATTCTCAAAAGTGGTGCATACGGGTTTGGGAATGAGCCAAGCAGGGAATCACAGTGGACATGAGAGGTGAGGCAATAGCGGGCGTTAGGGCAAGGAGGGAGGGAAGAGAAGCGAGAACAAGTGAGGGGAGCAGAGGCCTAGTGCAGTGCCAGCAAACAGAGGGCAGGTAGTTGATAAGCAAGAGAAGCGAGAGATACCGTTAAGTGCCACCTATAGGACCCGGGGGACTCTCTACAAATGCTTGAAAAAGTGCTAGGGGGACCCTCTGGCGGATGCAAAATTTTAAGACCCGGGGTACACTTATTTATCAACTATCATTCTGTTCTTTAGGGTGTACGGCTTAATTCGGGGCGGGGGGGTCTTATATTTATAACGAAAAACGGCATTCGTGGGCGGATTTCGCGCAAGCGGCGCGTCAGATCTGTGTCAGAATTCGAGTCTGACACAAACAAAGTGTCAGAATTCGAGTCTGACACAAAAAATCGTGTCAGAATTCAAGTTTCTGTCAATAAAAGCTGACTCACAATAGCAATTACAACTACTGTATACAGGAAAGGGGGGTCTTATGATGATTAGGGGCAGAAAGGGGGTCCTCACAAATCCTGCCCAAATAAGAGTCCCTCTGCTCCTTCAAGAGTCCCGGGGACCCTCTTACCGGCGGGTCCTATAGGTGGCACTTTACGGTACGCACGACCTCTGAACCGAAGCCGAAGTAAATGGGCCCCCACTGACATGTTTCCTACCCCCTCTACCCAAAGCCCTAACCCTTAAACCCCACCCTTGCTGTTCAATCCCTAAACCCTTTGCTTGAAACCCCGGAAGCCTAGCCCCTAGACCCCAAGCCGTGGAGGTGTCTCGTGGAAGTATTCGAGCTCGCCCCGTGCCGCCCACATCTCCAGAGACACACGTCCTGTGCCGCCCCTGTAACCCCACATCCTTCACACCAGAATCACTAACCCCAACACCCAAGTACCCCTGTAGCCCCCCCAAGCCGTGGAGGTACCTTGTGGAAGTATTCAAGCTCGCCCCGTGCCGCCCACATCTCCAGAGACTCTCTACCCAAGCCCCTGTGATCCCACATTCTTCTCCCCTGGATCCCAAACCCCAAACCAAGAGCTCTAGACCCCAAGAAGCGTGGAGGTACGTTGTGGAAGTATTCAAGCTCGCCCCGTGCCGCCTACATCTCCAGAGACTCTCTACCCAAGCCCCTGTGATCCCACATTCTTCTCCCCTGGATCCCAAACCCCAAACCAAGAGCTCTAGACCCCAAGAAGCGTGGAGGTACGTTGTGGAAGTATTCAAGCTCGCCCCGTGCCGCCCACATCTCCAGAGACTTCAAATCCAGGCCCTTCTGAGCCCAGTTCCTCCACTCTGGATTCCCAAAACCCAAAACCCAAGCACTAGCTGCTGTGGAGGTACCTTGTGGAAGTATTCAAGCTCGCCCCGTGCAGCCCACATCTCCAGAGACACGTCCTGTGCCGCCCCTGTGAGAGGGTCCACTGCCGGGGTCACCGCCTGATGGTGTAGGAGTGGGAGGGGGTTGGGAGGGGTGACAGAGGTTTGCCGCCCACAGCTCCAGAGACACGTCCTGGGCCGCCCCAATGAGGGATCAACTGCCGGGGTCACCGCCTGAAGGTGTTGGGAGGGATGGAGGGGGGTGGGAAGGAATAACGGGGGAGAGGTGAGGGTGGAAAGCGGTGGTGTGCAACCCAATCGACATCTCCAGAGACACGTCCTGTGCCGCCCCTGTGAGGGATCCACTGCCGGGGTCACCACCTGAAGGTGTTGGGAGGGGTGGAGGGGTCAAAATTTCGCACGCGCGCACTTGTTTTTTGGTCTGCCTGGAAAAAACCCGCCAAGCGTCTTGCGTCTTGGCGAGCGTCTTACGTCCTGCGTCCAGATGCAAAACACCCTGAGCATCTATAGCCACATAGGGGGAAACAGGGGAGAGGCTATTTTTGAGTCGACTCAAAAATAGCCACATAAGGGGTAACAGGGGAGAGGAGGGGGTGGGAAGGGGTGACAAAGTTGAGGAGGGAGTGGGGAGGGGAGATGGCGGTGCGAAACCCAAACCCACATCTCCAGTCCAGAGACACGTCCTGCGTTTGAGTTGGCTCAAAGCAGACTCATTACACGCGGTTTCTACATCTCCAGAGACACGTCCTGCGCCGCCCCTGTGAGAGAGGATCCCAGTGATGGAGTCAACGCACATTGGGCGGGAACGGGAGGGGTGATGCGGGAAAGAAAGCGTTGCGAAGTGGTGATAGGGGAGGAAAGGGGGCAAACACATACTCGCTGTAAGCATGCACTTACCAAGCAAGTCACAGCAACGCGCATGATGGCACAGAGCGGTGTTTTGAGATGTCTCAAAACAGAGCGGTGTACTCACTGTAAACACACCCGGTACATGCACACACACTCACCAGCACACACGAATCGTCGTCCTGCAGCACAAGCACAGGACTGTTTTGAGACGTCTCAAAACACTCCTTCCTCTTGCACACACTCACAGCAGCGCCCTTGTAGCAGCGATCGAGCTCCACTGCAATGTGCACTCAATATGAACTTCCTCAGTACAATCACATACTCGTTACAAGCATGCGTACCTCAGCAGCACACGAGTCATCGTCCTGTAGCACCAGCACGCGAGCAGCAGCGCCCATGTAGCAGCGATCAAGCGCCACGGCCATGCGCATGGTGGCACAGATCCATACTCGCCATGAACACACCCGTTACAGGTGCAAATGCTCCAACACTCACCAGCACGCACGAATCATCATCCTGTAGCACGAGCACGCTGGCAGCAGCGCCTGTGTAGCAGCGAGCGAGCGCCACGGCCATGCGCATGATGGCACATAGCTGTGCTTGCTATACACACACTCAGTACAAGCACAGAGATCTGATACAAGCACATACTCGTTTTTAGCACCCACTCACCAGCACACAAGAATCGTCGTCCTGTAGCACGAGCACGCTGGCAGCAGCGCCCGTGTAGCAGCGATCAAGCGCCACAGCGATGCGCATGATGGCACAGAGGGCTTTGATCTTCTGCTGCACCACGGGGGGCAGCTTGGCGAAGTCCTCGTCCTTGCTGGAGGGCGGGCGCTTGCGGTGGTGGCGGACCAGAAGGGCTATCATCTGGTGGGAGAGAGGTGGTGAAGCGGAGTAGGGAATCGAGGGATTGCAGGGCAGGGAGGTTGGGGTAGGGGGGGGGGGGGGAAAGACGGGGGAAAGATGGGAAGAGGCGAAGGAGGAGGCGAGTGAGACAAAGAGAGCAGCGCCTCAAAAGGCAAGGCGCATGACGGCACAGAGCATTCGGATCTTCTGCTGCACCACAGGGGTCTGTTTTTTGAGAACTCTCAAAAATCAGGGGGGCAGCTAGGCAAAGTCATCATCCTTGGGGAGCGCTTGCGGTGGTGGCGCAATAGGAGAGGTATCATGTGATAGTGAGGGTAGTGAAGCGGAGTAGGGAACAGGGGGGTTGCAGGGCAGGGAGGTTGGGGTAGGGTGGAGGACGAGAAAGGGAAGGGGAGATGAGAAAGGAAGGGGGAGGCGGTGTGATGAGGGGAGGGGGTGGAGGTGGGGCCGGGGGATGAGTTGAGAGAGGAGGCGAGCGGCGGCAGCAGGGCTATCATGGGAAAAAGAAAAAGAGGGGTGGAAGAAAGGGCGTTCTGAGACATCTGAGGAATCGCATGCAGTGGTGGTAAGACGCACACACCAGAGGGGCAAATGTTCGGTATCACACCCTAACCACGCCCCATCCCCATGACCCATGCCCCATGCCCCATGCCCCATGCCCCATGCCCCATGCCCCATGCCCCATGCCCCATGCCCCACACAACACCCCACGCTATTCATGTGTAGTGAGGGTGATTTTGAGACGTCTCAAAAACACCCTCACTACACGTGCCCCACCCCCCCCACACAACACCCCACGCTATTCATTCATGTGCGTGCCTCTCACCTCGACTTCCATCGGCGAGTACCCCAGCAGCTGCTCCGAATGCTGCAATGTTGGGGTTCAAAAAAGGGTGGGCGGATGGGAGGGATGGGGTGGGGTGGGAAGAAGGGTGGGCAGGAAGGGAGGGGAGGAAGGTTGGGGTTAAAAAAAGGGTGGAGGGATGGGAGGCAAAGGAGAGGGGTGGGGGAAACCGAGGGCAGGTGGTGCTGAAAGTCGGAATTTGAAAAAGGATGCATGAATAACCCAACAGCTGCTCAAAATGCTGCAAGGTTTGGGGTTCGGGTTCGAGGATTGTGGTTTGGGGTTCGGGTTCGAGGATTGTGGCTTGGGGGAGGGGGAGCTTTGAGGGCAGGAGGGAGGGAGGAAGGGGTGAGATGTGGAGGGGAGGAATGGATTGGGGTTAGAAGACGCGAGCGGCAACGGCAGGCAAGCATAACAAAGATGCTTTAAACCCTTGTTTAACTTCATCACCTTGCCGACCACCAACTCATATCACCTTGATCAGGTAGTACGAGTGCTTGTGGTACCCTTTGTGGCTGATGAAGGGTTGTGCACGTAGTGCAGCACTGTGGACACCTCTAGCACCTTTGATCAGTTGTGGCATGGCACGGCAAGTAACTAGTTGTGCCTTTTGTTTCCGCACCTTGATCAGATAGTAGGAATGTTTGTGGTAGCCCTTGTGGGAGATGAACATGCCCACGTAGTGCAGCACTGTAGCCGCCTCCAGCACCTCGAAATCGTTGCCGTCCAAAAGAGCCATCATCGGCGACACGCAATCTGAGCCGCCCATCTTGCACGTCTGCATGCCAGCCAGGATTTGCTGCGGAGAGGACACATAAGAAAGGGGGAGGGAGCAAGGAGTAAGGGGGAAAGGGGAGCGGGGCGGGGCATTAGTGGAAGGGGTTGGTGAAGGTTAGGGGAAGCATGCAGCTCTCTAGACGCCAATCTTGCATGTCTGCATGCCCGCCAGGATTTGCTGTGACAATGAAGCATTGGCAAGAGAGAGGGAGTGGGGACGGGGAGCGGGGTGGTGAGAGGAGATCGCGGAAGGGGTTAGTAGAAGCTTAAACAAAAAAAAAAAAAAAAAAAAGACGATTTTTGAGAATTCTCAAAAGTGATTTCAATATAGCCGGGGTGGTGAGAGGAGATCACCGAAGGGGTTAGTAGAAGCTTACTAAAAAGATGAACGTTGCTGTCTCTTACCATCACCAGCTCCACTCCCCATCACCAGCTCCACTCACCATCACCTTCCCACTCTGACCTGCGCCAGGCGCGCACAGTGTAGGGCGGACTCCTTCCTCAGCCCAGAATAGAACTTCTTAGCCATCTTCAGCACGGAGCTCCTCTGCAGGTCGCTCATAGAGGCTCATAGAGCCCTTGTCACTCTCTCACCCGGCCTGCTTCCCTCCTTCTCTCACCTGCGCCAGGCGCGCACAGAGCAGGGCGGACTCCTTTCTCAGCCCAGTATTAAACTTCACGGCCATCTTCAACACAGAGCTTCCTTATCAAGTCTGGCATGATGTTGAAATCAGTGAATGTGCCCCACAGAGGCACTGCAAGGCCCCTGTCAATTGCTCACCTGCGCCAGGCGCGCACAACTTTTGAGGCGCCTCAAAAGGCGCGCACAATGGAGAGCCGACTCCCTCCGCAGCCTGGTGTTGAACTTCCCAGCCATCTTCAATACACGTGTAAAAGGTGAATTTTTAAGACGTCTCAAAAACTTCAATACAGAGCTCCTTCTCAGGTCGCTCAGGGACCAGTCAATAACCCCGGCCCCTTTCACTCTCTCACCACTCTGCCTCACCTGGGCCAGGCATGCGCAGTGCAACAATGCCAACTCCTTCCTAAGCCCAGTGTTAAGCTTCCCGGCCATCTTCAGCACAGAGCTCCTTGCGCGTGCTTGGAGCTCCTTGCGCGTGCTTGGAGCTCCTTGCGCGTGCTTGGAGCTCGTTGCACATGCTTGGAGCTCGTTGCACATGCTTGGAGCTACCACCATCCCAAAGCAGATTTGCTTTCACGTGGCTCACCTGAGCCAGGCGTGCACAGTGCAGAGCCGACTCCTTCCGCAGCCCAGTGTTAAACTTCCCGGCCATCTTCAGCACAGAGCTGCGCCTTAGGTCCGGTGTAATGCTGAAATCAGTGAAGGTCCTTGACAGCGTGTCCACAATCACGCCCTCCCGCAGCGCGTACGGAGACACGCGCATCTTATTGATCCCCATCGCCAGGAAAATCTCCTCCAGGAGAATCGCGCCGCCCAGGATCACGTCCGCGCGCTTCTCGGGCAGCCCGGGCAGCTTTGCGCGCGCCTCAGGGGTTTTCGCCTTGCAGATCTTCTTGACCACGGCGGAGAGCTCTTCCAGGGTGAACTCACGGTCCTTCAGGTCGGCTAGACGACGAAGGACAGCCTGTGGTGGGGATGGGGTTGAAGGTGGTGGTGGCAAGGAAAGGAAGCAAACAAGTGAGCTTTAAGGGGTTTTGGCCTTGCAGATCTTCTTGACCACGGCGGAGAGCTCTTCCAGGGTGAATTCGCGATCCTTCAGGTCGGCCAGACGGCGAAGGAAAGCAAACAAGCGAGGTTCTGAGTGGTTTTGGCCTTGCAGATCTTCTTGACCACCGCTGAGAGCTCTTCCAGGGTGAACTCACGGTCCTTCAGATCGGCTAGACGACAAAGAACAGCCTGAGATGGTGAGGATGGGGTTGAAGGTGGTGGTGGCAAGGAAAGGAAGCAAACAAGTGAGTTTCGAGTAGACTTGGCCGTGCAGGTCTTCTTGACCATGGCGGCGAGCTCTTCCAGGGTGAATTCCCAGTCCTTGAGGTCTGCTAGGCGCCGCAGGAGGACAGCCTGTCGTGGTGTAGGCAATGGGGAGGGAGAGAGAGCAGTGTCTGTGTGAGCCATGAGGAAACTTGCCCTGTGCCTTGAGTGGCCTTTACCGTGCGGACAGCTCTTCCAGGGTGAACTCACGGTCCTTGAGGTCGGCTAGGCGCCGCAGGACAGCCTATGGGGGTGGGGGTGGGGGTGGGGGTGGAGAGGCGAGAGTAAGGGAAGCAAACAAGTGAGTTTTGAGGGGTCTTGGCCTTGCAGGTTTCTTGACCGCTGCGGAAAGCTCTTCCAGGGTGACTTCTCGATCCTTCAGGTCGGCTAGGCGCCACAGGACAGCCTGTGGTGGGGGTGGGGGTGGGGTTGGTGGACCGTGGTGGCAAGAAAAGCAAGCACATGATTGTCCGTCCAGACTTTGTGTTGTTGCCGACATTCATTCTTTAACGTGGATCTTGCATTCCGCGCTTTGATTCCACGCTATATGAGTGATTTTTGAAAATTCTCAAAAATCATTCCATGCTTTGATTCCGCGCTTTCATTCCATGCCATGCGGCGTTGATTCGATTCTCACCTCTTGATTCTGGGTAACGCCACTGGGACCCCCGCCTCCGCCTCCTCCTTTCCCACCGCCACGCTGTTTCTCCCGCTCCGCGCCCCAGATGCCACCAAAGAACAACCAAATTGATCATTCGGTCCTAAGAATCAATTTGATTATCTCTCTCTCTCTCTCACTCACCTCCTGACTTTGGGTGACGCCACTGGCAGCCCCTCCTCCTCCTTTCCCACCGCCACCACTGCTCCTCCCGCTCTGCCCCCCAGATGCCACCAAGGAGCCATTGCTGCTGCTCCCGCTCCCACTGCTGCTGCCGCTGGTGCTGGTGGTGGCGATGGTTGCAGCGCTGCCCGTGCTGATAGTGCCGCTGGCCCGCGATTGGTGGATCATCTGCTCGATTGTTTCAATGGTGCCCGAGCTGCCGATCGCCAGTTCTATTTCGTTCTCAGCCCTGAAAAAAGTGGACAGGAACAACAACAGCAAAAAAAAAAAAAAAAGGCGCCGGGGGGGGGAGGAGGGGGAGGGAGTGGAGAGGAATCAGTCATGAGTGCTGCCTAGCTATATTGAAATCACTTTTGAGAATTCTCAAAAGTGATTTCAATATATGGGTGGGGAAGAATCAGGCACGAGTGCTGCCTAGCTGGGGTGACACTATGACAGTGAGAACCTTTTCCACTCACTCTCACTCACCCCATCGCCACCTGCAGCGCGCCCTCTCCGCCAGCAGGGTGACCTTTGAGTTGAGATCGACTCAAAAGTCAGTGTGTTGTGACAGTGAGCACCACCGTTCCCACTCACTCCCACTCACTCCCACTCACCCCGTCGCCACCCTGCAGCACGCCCCCCGCCAGCAGCACTTACACGACGCTTCCTCAGGGACGCAGTGCATTGCACAACACTCCACCACACTTCACCACACTCCACCGCACGTCACCACATTCCATCACAATTCACCACACTTGACCACAATTCACCACAACCCACCACGACCCAGCATCCCTCACTCACTGCCACTCACCCCTTCACCACCTCCAGGCCCCCGCACGCCCGAGAGTCCACCAGCAGCACACGCACGCTTCCTTACGGATATGTCACACTTCACCATACTTCACCGCACTTCACCGCACTTCACCACAAGTTACTACCCACTCGTTAACTACCCCCACTCGCCACCTTGACCACCTCGAGCACGCCCGAGTCCGCCAGCAGCAATCGCACCACACTTCAGCGCACTGCACCACAGCACACCACTACTCACTCCCACTCGCCCCTTGACCACCTCGAGCACACCCGAACCCGCCAGCAGCACGCACACGTAACACTTGGAGAGCACCACATTTCACCACACTGCACTACACCACAGTGCACCACTACTCACCCCTTGACCACCTCGAGCACGCCTGAATCCGCCAGCAGCACGCGCACATATCGCCGCATCTCCAGAATCTGCTGCCGGTGGGACACTCCCCCGCTGCGAGGAAGGACGAGGAGGAGCCATGAATGGGAGGAAATGCAGGAGACAGGGAAGGAGGGAAGGGAGGACAGGAGCGGAAGGCCAAGGGACAGGGAAGAGAGGAGGAACCTTGAATGAGGATAAGGAAGAGGGGAGGGACGGAGGAGGGTGTGGACACACACAGATATTTGAATGCGAGCAAGGACCAGTAAATATTCTTTCACTCACACATTTCTGTGCCACTACCGACCTGCATTCTCTAGTTCTTTTTCCAACAATATTCTGTTTCCTTACCGAGGGACGAGCAATACTGTGCAACGATCATCCTTGTTACAAGCACATTTGCACGCGAACCGAAAAACATCTACGTTACAAGCACACCCACATGCAAACTTCTCAGTGAGGCGAATGTGGCCGAGCTTGAGTGACGTGGCGAAGAGCGGCTTGCCCTCCCGACCAATCACAAACTCCGTTGACCCGCCTCCGATATCCACCGTGAGCACTGTCTTGTGATACACTGGGAGGGCCTGGGGGGGGGTTGGAGGGTTGGGGACGGGAATGGAGGGGGAAGGGGAGGCCGGGGGAGGGAAGGGGGGGTGGGACTGAGGTAGGGACAAATCTCGCCTCCTATGTCCACCGTGAGCACTGTCTTGTGATACACTGGGAGGGCCTGGGGGGAAGAGGAGGGTGGGGAATGCGGACGGAGGAGAGGATAAATGGGAGTGGGCGGAGAACCGACCTGGAGAATACCGAGATAGATGAGGCAGGCCTGTTCCTGCCAAGATAGCACCTCCACGTCAATCCCGGTGGTGCCCAGCACGCAGGTTACGGGAAGCGGGGCAAGGGGTCAGGAGCAGAGGGAACGGGGGAAGAGATCGGGCGGGGGGGCGAGGGGCGGGGCGCGGTGGAGAGGGGAAGAGGGGCGGAGCGGAACAGAGGGGGTGGCGAATCGACCTGGAGAATACCGAGGTAAATGAGGCGGGTCTCTTTCTGGTGTCCAGCACGCGGCGGATGGGCGGAGAATCGACCTGGAGAATACCGAGGTAAATGAGGCGGGTCTCTTTCTGGCCGGATAGCACCTCCACGTCAACCCCGGTGGTGTCCAGCACGCGGCGGATGGGCGGGGGGCGGGGGGTCGGGGACAGGGGGGGCGAGGGAAGAGAGCGGTGGGAGGGCTGAGGGCGCGGGGCATGGGGGGGCGGAGGGGAAGGGGATGGGCGGAGAACCGACCTGGAGAATACCGAGGTAGATGAGGCAGGCCTCCTCCTGTCCGGACAGCACCTCCACGTCAATCCCGGTGGTGTCCAGCACGCGGCGGACGAACGATCGTCGGTTGCGCGCCTCGCGCACTGCTGACGTGGCAACGACGCGGATCGCCGCGCCGCGCGTTTTCGCGATCTGCTTCAGCCGTCGCACGGCCGCCAGCGCTCGCTCCTCCGCCTCAGGGGTGATCACAGCGAACCCCGAGCTGCCACGTGTCCAACGGGGAAATGGGTCATATGAGTCAGCAGCTCGACATAGTCACCAGCAGTTGAAACCATGTGGAAGGAGCCTATCCCTATCCTGCAGCGTGACGCGCCTCCGTAAAGCAGCTCAATGCTTTTCGATGCTCGATGCTTAATCCGTGAAGCAGCTCGATGCTTTTCGATGCTCGATGCTTAATCCGTAAAGCAGCTCGATGCTTTTCGACAGTGTCAGTACCTGCCGCTGCCGAGCCGCACGTCCTCCTTCTCGACGTCCTCGATCTCGAAGCGCCCCTTGTTGTCGGCTTTAACGACGACCATGTGGAACGAGTTGGTGCCCATGTCCACCGCCGCTAGCATCCGCTGCTCCTGCTCCGGCACTGCGCGGAGAGGGGGAAGGGGGCGCGCACGCGCGAAAAAAAGGAAAGCGGTGTGCGGAGAGAGGTGATGGCGGACGGAGAGGGGGAAGGGCGCGTTTGAGAATCCTTGGAAATTGAACACCAACATAACGACGACCACGTGGAACGAGTTGGCGCCCGCTAGCATCTGCTGCTCCTGCTCCGGCACAGCGGGAGGGGGAAGGTGCGCGCGCGGAGAGGGAAAAAACGCGCGGATAAGGAAACGGCCGCGCGAGAGGGGAAGTGTGGGAGAAGATAACGAGCGCAGAAAGAGAGCATACGAAACATGAATCAGGCCGTCCATTTTTAGCACTCCGCGCAGCAGAGCCTCCTACTCTGAACACGTGGTGTCTAAACGCTACAATTCAGTAATGCCATACTTGTGGGCGACTAATGAGGTCATGTGAATAACGACAACAACAGCGAACCTCGTCGAATCTTCGGAATCGCCGTGCTGCCGTCCACTTCTTCCTCGTCGTCGCTCAGCTCGCCGCCACGTGCCGTCCGCAACAGCTGGCGGCTCATCATTGGTCCCACGTGTCCGCCGTCCTCCCCTTCCTCCACGTCCACCCCCACCGACACTGTCCCCAACTGCTGCGCCGACTCCGCGGATCCCGCCGCGGTTCCCGCAGCGGAGGACTGCACAGCGCGTCGCGCGCCGCTGGTGGCGGCGAACGCTGCGGCATTGGCGGATGGAGCGGGCCAGCAGGGGAGGTTAGGTAAAGGCGCGTCGAAATAAGACTTGCGAGTGGCGGAGGGAGGACTCGAGCCGTGAGGGGAAGTAGATGGTAAGGAGGAGAGAGAGGGGGGAGATGAGGAGGAGGAAGAAAGGGACGGAGACGAGGAGGGTGTGGAGGGAGCAGCAGATGCACGTGGCACAATCCTGACCGTTCGTCTGCTGGCGACAAGCGGCTGAGTGCGGAAGGAAGTTCCGCCGTTGCCTAATTTACGGTGGTTTGAAAGCAGCGAGCCATGCTCGGCTGATAGTAGGTGAAACGAGCCTTGCTCGACTGGGAGCGGGTGCAGAGACCGAATGGCAACCATTCCGGCCAATTGAAACCCAGAATGCGCGGAGAATAATTGGCGAAGCACTCGAGGAACCACACACGAGCTCGCCTGACGTAGCTAAACAGGCGGCTGGTATCGGAATAAAAAGATGCTACGGCGGAGACAATGCTTTGAACATTAGTGAAGGCCCAGCGTGAGCGACAGAATCAACGGCTAGAATGAGGAAACTGTAATTGGGAGGGAGGGGCTCGTGGTTAGGTTACGAGTGGAGTGCAGTGCGTCGACGCTATTTGTGAAGCGATTTGAAACGGTTAAAGGCGAAGTTCCAAAACGGTTCTCGCCCTTTTCTGATCGTTCCCACCCTCCGAATTTGCGGCTGCGTTGCTGGGTGGGTCCGCTCTTACTACGTACTGTATGCTGCTTGCGGTGGTCCGCCCATTGTGCGCCACTGCTCCCCGCGGATCATTACGACCAATCCGACGGGGCCACGGTAGCCCGCTCCTTCATAGCTTGCACTCGCGAGCCGCGTCCTTCCGCCCGCTGCCACGCCAGGACACCTCAGCGCCAACGCCTGATTGGCTTCTCTTCACTGTTACGCTGCAGTATGGCTAGGCTTGGCACAGGTTTGACAAGCCTGGGTCAAGACGTGACCTCAGATACACATGTGAGGTCGCGTCTTGACAAGCTTGTTCACAATGTCGCACATGTGCGCGTGTCACATACACGATGTGAACTTTACGAGTTCTACCAGCAGGATGGAGAGGTTACAAAGAAGTAACAAGCTCACGTAGGTTGCAGCACAAAGAACAGGTTCAAACGCTGCGAGCGTTCCCCTTCGTGGAGCAAAAACAGTTACCTCAAGGTCGATCTGCCATGAGAGCCATTGCCCAGCCTGGACAGTATTCCAGCACCTGGCGTTCCAGCACCATGTATCGACACAAAGAAAACTGCATCCATTGGTCGCACGTGCAGCACTGTGCCAAACCTGGCTCCGTGACACGTAATCCACGCCACAACCGAGGAGATCCACTCACGTAACACAGACAAGAATATTCCTTTGGAGGATCTTTGTCGTCAGCCTCAATTGAGGCATCCACACTGGACAATCACAAATTTCTCATGGATTACAGTGTTGAACACAGAAGTGTTCAACAAGTACAGCTCATTCTGGTAGGTCGGTTTACACTCTTAAAAATATATTACATGTAGCCGAAATGATATAATTGCAAGTAAAAACGGTTCGTGGGTGCTGCCAGTATAATGCTTGGGAGCTGCAGAAAGTTCTCATTCAATTTAGCAGCACCTTGGATCTATTTGCCAGAAATATTGCAACGTTTTCTCACATGTGGTTATGGAGTATACTAGATGTGGAGCCAGTTATTTTTTCAAGCTCCTTACAAAGAATAAGATGAGTACGTGTAGAAGGTTACATGATCGACGTATCGCAAACGCCGTACTACATTTCGCAAATGTCGCCTAGACTTCCTTCTCGTTGAAAAAACAGCCAGCCAGCCAACTTAGGTCGGAACACGGACGGAACACGGACGGAACACTCCTCAATTCGCACCCTGAATCCAGACCGTACTGGCGGATGTCGACCGGACAATGTAGCTTTTGGAGATGTTCAGAAGTTGTGTGAGAACCCCCCCCCCCGAAAATATCTCAGCGGACAAGCGACTCCGCTCGGGGGAGCTCGCTGCCCGCGGGAAAAAAAAATAAACCCCAGACGCGCATGCATCCGGTCAGGGAGCCTCAACCCTAAACGCGGGGAGGCATGGTGTTTAGAGCCCGAGTCTAGAATGGCAAAGGTTCAACTTCAAGATTCTTGAACTTGTTTTCGTCAAGAACAGGGTAACCAGGTTCAGAAAGCTGATCTCTCGCAACCCACCGGGGAGGGAGTTGGTGGGCCAGAAGGTGATTGGCCAAATGCCCCACAGCAAAAACACGGACGAGCCTCGCCAGAAACAAACAAAGGCTAGAATCACTGTTCACACTTTTAAAACTAGAAACTTGAGACTACCTTTCTAGACTCGTAGCATACTGGGCTCCATAGCCCTTATTCTCGTCAATAGCCAGCATAGTTACGCCCATCTCCCTGCCCTATGCTAAGACTTTTGTAGCACATAAAGATGGAACTTTCCAACGACTTTTTCACGCATGACAAATCCGGTATCGTAGCCAGCAACAAAGACAGGAGCCTCAGATTGATCGCCATGTCAAATTATATATATGGGTGTTAGGTTGTCTAGGCTGTAGTGGGGTAGCACTAGGGGGTACAACATTTCACTCGACATTCTTTCTTGTACCCCCCCCTTTGACCTAATCGACTCATTGCTTCCTAGCCTAAGTTCTAAGATGGTATCTAGAGCAGTAGGTCTTAGGACCTAAGATTTGGGCCCACCGATTACCGTGTTACCTCACCTACAGCATTATCAGACTTGCCTGCTGCCCGCGCGCGCATAGCTTTTTTTTAGCGCGCGCCACTGCTGCCAGCCGCGTCGCGCCCTGCTAGTCGCCCGCGCAGCCCGCCCTAAGCCCGCGCAGCCCGCACGCGGCCTGCAGCTGCCCCGCGCACCGCCCGCGCAGCCCGCGTCGAGCCCGCGCAGCCCGCGCCGAGCCCGCGCAGCCCGCGCCGAGCCCGCGCAGCCCGCGCTGCCCGCGCGCAGCTCGCAGCCGCACGTGCCCTGCCCTGCCTGTGTGCCACCGCCGCCCGTGTGCAGCCCGCCTGCCTGCCTTGAGTGCCTGCCTGCTCTAAGAGCCTGCTCCCTAAGCCGCCTGTCTGAGCCTGCGGTCTTTACCTACTACCTGAGCCTACTATCAGTTGCCGGCGCCACCATATTGCCTCACCTGCGCCTGCCTGCTGCCTTACCCTAAAGTCTTTGCCTGCTGCCTGAGCCTGCAGCCTTTGCCTGCTGCCTGAGCTTGCCACCTGAGCCTACCTGCTGCCTGCGCCTGAGCCTGAGCCTGAGCCTGAGCCTGTGCCTGCTGCATTTCCCCGCCCTGTGACCATGGCGACTATTTCTGTTCTCGACTTTGAGCCTGACGGTAGTCCTGTTCAGTTTGACACCTGGCTCAGTGACCTGCAGCTCTACCTTTTGACCAATACCAAGGACGGAGCCTCTCTGCTAGACTATGTCAATGGCACTGCCCCTGCTCCCGCTGCTACTGCTCCTGCCTCTGAACGCGCTGAATGGCAGACCCGTGATGCCCTTGCCCGCCTAGCTATTCGCAACCACCTGCCTATCTCCGAGCGCGCACACTTCAACCAGCTTAAGACTGCTAAGGAACTGTTTGACGCAGTAGTTGCCCGCTATTCCGCCCCAGCCACTGCCGCCGTTGGTAGCCTCATCCTACCCTACCTTTTCCCCGACCTCATCTCTCACCTCCGCACTAGTGACGCTCGCTTTCGTGCCGCTCTCTCTGACGAGTTCCTCGCCGAGAACAAAACCCCCCTGTACTTTACCCTCTACATCCTAGTCACCCGCCTTCCCGACACGCTCCGTTCCGTTAGGGACTACTTCCTCGCCAAAGACCCTCCCACCATCACCCTAGATGACTTCGAGCAGCAGCTAGTTGCAGCTGAGAAGAACATTCTTGCTGTGAATGCTGCTCGTGGCACTCCCCGCACTCCCCTCTTTGAGGGATGCTCCCCCTCCCCTCTTACCCCCTCCTATGCCTCTGCTGCTGCTGCTGTTGACCTTCTCGGCGCTGAGAAGGTCCACGCCGCTTCTGCTCTTGGTGGGAAGCGCGGCGGAGGCAAGGGGGGCAAGGGGGGCAGGGGTGGCGGAGGTGGCGGCGGTGGGGGCGGTGGTGGAGGCGGCGGGGGTGGCGGTGGTGGTGGGGGTGGCCGTGGGAGTGGAGGTGGTGGGTGGGGTGGTGGCAGGACCGGGGGCGGTGGTAGCGGCAGCGGAGGTGGTGGGGGAGGAGGCAGCGGCACTGGTGGTGGAGGTGGGGGTGGGGGTGGATCTGGCCAGAAGGGTGGCGCTGGTGGCGGCCAGCAGCAGCAGCAGCAGCAGCAGCAGCAGCAGCAGCAGCAACAACAGCAGCAGCAGCAGCAGCGTCCGCCTCCCACCTCCCAGCAGCTCCATGACTGGTATGCTGGGCGTGGGGCGTCTAGGGGCTCTGACCGCTGCCCCTATGTCATTCGCACAGGTCCCCGCCAGGGTCGCACCTGCGACGGTTTTCACACCGAGTTCCGCTGCTTCGCTAGGCTTAGTGACGCCTGGCGCGCAAAGTATCCTGATGCTACTGAGTTCCCCAACTGGGCAGATCTGCTTAGGCGTGGTGTTCCTATCTTTGATCTGGACTATGATGCTATTCTTGCTGCTATGTATGCATTGACTGTTAGTGCTGAGGGTGATTGTTATTGTTGTTGTTGTTGTTGTTGTTGTTGTTTTTTTTTTTTTTTTTGTGGAATACACCGATGATACAAGTGCAAGCTAACATACATCAGTCGTAACCGAGCGTGAGAGGCCTAGCCAAACGACTAGCCTCAGAGATAAACCTACTAAGGCGGATGCAGTGCCCCCCGTGCCAAGTTCCATAGCGCGCCAAAAGTATGGGTCCATTTCCAGCTTTTGCCCTCCAGCAACCGGATGTGGTTAAGAGTTCGCTGTTCCTGCTCCGCCAGCACATACAAATCGTTTGGCTGCTTCTGGCCCCCCTTCTTGCCAGGTTTCTGTTCCGTAGCTCTGCTGTACACCTTCACATGCAGGCGAAACGCCACCCCGATTTTTCTGAGGACACGCCTCGCTCGGAATCTCCGCCCACGGAAGACACATTCACACCTCTCCACCCAGATTTGGTGAAGCGCGATGGCCACCAGCGAAGCCTCTGGAAAAGCCGAGGGGGTGGCTGCTTTGCCAAACAGCAGGTCCCCAAGATCCGCCACCTTCCTCTGGGGGTTCAGCAGGCGCAGAGCCCTCTTGACCGCCCCAACAACCGGCTGAATACGAGCGCATGCGAACAGGCAGTGCTCCAGAGTTTCCGTTTCCCCACAGTGCGGGCAGACCGGGTTGCTGCTTAAGAAGGATACCCTCTCCCCCACCTGTAAATTAAGGCTGTGGATCCTCAGCAGCACGTCCCTTGGTCTGCTGGGAGTCACTAGAGAGTCGCGGGTTTTTATAACACTCTTCCAGTCGATGCTTCCACCCCACCTGCTCGCCCACTTCTCCCTTTTAGTTGAGGGCCGTTTTGCCAGCCGACAGCCCTTCTTCATTTCTTTCATCGACAGCAGCTGCCCATCCTTAAAAACTTTTGTCCGAAGCAGAGAGGGTTTCGGTGTAGAGCAGGCTGGGGGTGAAAGCTTGGCAGAGAGGAGTAGCAATTTCCACTCTTGCGGAACTGCTTCCCAAGTCCGCAGTGCTAGCTTCGCCTCCGCTTTCCCCTTCAGATCTTTTGCGAGGATTACAGAGTCCTTGACCCTCCAGCCTCCCGCGCCGTCCGCCGTCAGCAGATCACGTAGACGGACCTCCCACAGCTTCGCCGCAGCTTTCTGTCCCCCCACCGGTGTTCTGCCGTTGAGTAAGATGCGGCGATTAAAGACTATTCGCTCCTCTGTCACCTCTTCCCTTGTCAGCTCCCGGGACATGTCAGCCAGTGGTGATTGCATGAAGTTCCTGCATGCCAGCTTCCACCTCTCGCTCTTCCCACGCCACTGCTTCAACAGCTTCACGTGCACCACGAACGAGTCAGTCCCTAGCGGCAGGTCCGCAGCTTTTAGCATGATGTCTTTTTTCAGCGCGTCCGTCTCGGTGAGACGCAGCCCTATCCATCTGGCCGTGAGGCAGGTAAGAGTGATCTCCAGGTCATTCACACCAACTCCCCCATCCTCTCGTGACATATATAGCAGCTCCCTGCTCCATAGGATGAAGCCCTTATCGGTAGAGGCCCTGTTCCCAGACATGAAATTATGCACCAGCTTGATGATTCTCCCCCAGATCCCCACAGGTGGAGGATATACTTGCGCCTAAAAGAAGACTATCGGTGAGATATAGCAGTTAATGGTAGCTGCTCTCGCCCCGGTTGTGAGGTGCTGCGCTTCCCACAGTATTAGCTTCTCCTTAATCTGCGCGAAGGCCCTCTCCCACGTTGGCTCACAGCTTCCAGCTGGGGTCACCCACACACCCAGCAGACGCTCCGCATCATCTGCTTTCGCCCACTTAAAGCCATCCGTTTTCCACGGCTGCTTGTTCAGGTTCTTCCCCAGTGGCAGGACCACTGACTTCCCCTTGTTGGTAGCCAAGCCCGAGTCCCCCTCAAAATTTTCCAAGAGTTTTTCAGCCTCCTCAATCTGAGCATCCCCTTCCAGAAGCAGGGTGGTGTCGTCAGCATATCCTAGATACGCCAGACGACGCCCTTCTCCTGTGAGCCCCAAATGCTGGCTCGCCACTTCCTGCGCCAACGGCTCCACTGCGCACAGAAACAGGTACGGGGCTAGCGGACACCCCTGCCTTACTCCAGACACTACCTCCACAGCGTCGCCCATCCAACCATTGATTAACAGGCTCGTCGTGGTGTTTTCATGCAGGCCCTGTATCCAGCGAATGAAGCGGTGGGGAAAGCCCATTTTCTCCAAAAAACCGAACAAGAAACTTCTCGAGACGGAATCGAAGGCCTTCTTAAAATCGACGAGCAAGATGTACCAGTCTTCATCTTTATGCTTAGCGGCTTCGATGACATTAGCTACCAGGCCGACCGCATCCGAAAGACGCCTGCCCGGTAAGAACCCATATTGCTCCGTCGATATCACCTCATGCAGCACTTTTTTAATCCTGTCAGCCACGACCCGCGCCAGCACCTTGTAGACGGAGCTGAGTAGAGTGATCGGCCTGTAGTTCTCAATCTGATCTCTCCCCCCTTTTTTGTGAAGCAGGATAGTAACGGCGTCCTTCGTACTGGTGGGGAGCACCGCGGACTCCGAGAAGTCTGCAACCAGCTTCATGAAATGCTTCCCCAACACGTCCCAGTGCGCCTCAAACAGCTCCTTCGGAAGCCCGTCCTTCCCGGGGGCTTTATTGTTCGCCAACGAACGGAAGGCACGCTTCACCTCATCCTCCGACCAATCCGCTTCAAGTGACACCACGGCAGCCTGGGACAAGGTCTTGTCAGCCTCTGGAGACCAATCTGACACCGTCCTTTGCTTGTTGGCCCCAAATATTCCTTTGAAAAAATGTGAAGCTTCCCGTAGGATGTCCTGGTTACTGCTGACCACACCCCCGGCCACGCTTAACTCTGTGATCTGCGTGTCTGCCTTGCGAGCTTTGACTCTTGCTGACAGGTAAGGCGACGCAACTTCTCCCTTAACCTCCGCCTCCAGCCCAGCCATCTCATGAAGTCGTTCCTGCCGCACCTGTTGGTAACTTTTAAGTTGGAGCTCCCGCTCATCCAGCAGCTTCTTAGTTCTGTCACAGCTCGGGTCCCGCATCCAGGCCTGCTTTAAGGATGCCACCGCGTATTGAAGGTGCTGTATCGTCGCCCGGAAGAGCTTTCTTTCTTCCTTCGCACATGCCTTAAGTCCGGCGTTAAGACGGGAAATCAGCAGCTCGAAGGAGTCACCATGCTTCGCAGCCTGAGTTTCCACCACCTCAATAATCTTCCGTACCCATGGCTTCCCAACCATGTGAGCAGGCAGGCGCCATAGCCTTGGACCAGCCTGAACTTTCGTCTTCATCCGAAAGGCAACCCTGACTGCAAAGCTATGGTCAGAGATGGGGTCAGCCGGCATGATGTGCGAGGCAAGTTCTAAGTGCGAGAGCAGCGATTGCGAGATGAGCGCGCGATCTATGCGAGAGCTGGATTGATTTGCGCAGGAGTAAAAGGTATACTCTCTCTTGTATGGGTCTAGAACCCGGAAGGCATCCGAGAGACGAAAGGTGCAGCAGCGCTGATAAAGCATATCATTCTCCAGCGTCGTACCCTTCTTGGATGATCTGTCTAACAGCGAATCTTCTACCAGGTTCATGTCTCCCAGAATGAGCAGATGATTACCAGGCTGTAGCGCGTCAACTGTCGGACCCAAGACTCAGCGAATGAAGCTTTTCCTATCCGCGACATCAGCAGGGAAGTAAACGGCTACTAAGGTGAGATGAAAGGAGTCATGACGGAGGTCAGCTGCAACCAACCGTCCAGAGGGGTGAATCAGGGCATTATGCAGCGTAAGACCCGGTCTACGGCAGATGAGAGAGACCCCCCCAGCCTTCGCGGTAGGTGGAGCGGTAAGAACAGTCTGTACACGAAGAGAAGTCCAGAAGGGGTGATCAGCTGTTAGTCTAGTGTATGAGAGAATAATGATGTCTGCTGCTTGTCTGATCCAGTCTTGCGTGCGTTGTTGTTTGGTGCCATCCCCCAGGCCGTTAACGCTCAGGCCTGCAACCGTGATGAAATTTTTCGTACTCATTTAACCACTGCCATAAAGCCTCTACGCATCCACAGGCTGATGAAACAAGCTACTGCAACAACAGAGAAGATTCCGGCTACAACTGCACAACTGGTCTGAAGTCGGCATAGCGTCAGATCGCGTAATCCTTGCGTATCACACTGAGGTTCAGCTTCTCGAGAGAGCGACGGGTTGCAGCGCCGAGCTCCTCCAGTCCCAGCAGATGCCGTGCAGAGGTGATGTGCTCTGCAGCTGCCCTGAAAGCTTTCCCATGAGTCTTCCCGCAGCTGGCCTGAGTGCATAGCCACTCTTCCCTGTTGCTGCCGGTGGAGATGAGCACAAGAGCAGGATCCATGAGGAGCGGCGTAGCTAGCGGAGAAGTGCGAAGAGAAGCAGCTGCGAGAGACGAGCGACAAGTCAGTGACTGAAAGAGGTGAGTAAACAATAAGACTGTTGCAATGAAACCGTAAAGCTCTGTTACCGTTGATCCTGTGCACCCTTCCCACAGTTAGACTCCACTTCCCTATGTTATTTTGCCGTTCCGCGATGAACACATCAAGATATTTGTCATAATGGTGACCACCGCAGAGCGAGCAAGATAGCAAGGGGTAGTGGGCCGACAGCACCGTTCCACCAAGCGACGGGTGACGAAACTCATGGCGCCAGCGGTGTTTGTCATTTGCGTGCAGAGCAACCAAGCCTTTGATGACATCAGTGTCAGCACCGGTAACCGGGTGAAGCACACGGTGGAAGCAGCTGCCTTCGCTGAACGCTGACTGCTTTCTCATCCGGAGCGGCCGATCCACCATCACCTCCCTGACCAGCTCCGGTGGGATATCCGCAGGCACACCCTTGAAATAAACCTCCAGGACGTTTGGGTTTGAAGCCTTCATACGGAGGTAAGCAGCTTCCTCATGTTGAAGCCAAAAACACTGAATGACCGCTGACTCGCTTGACCGCTGATAATCCACCTTCGTCTGTCTTATGTTAATCGCATCCGCCTCATGCAGGAACGACACTTGAATCCTGCCTTAGCGCATCTTCGCAACATAAGCAGGTAGCAGCTCCTGAAATTTCACCGTGGTGAGCACATCGTCAGTAAGAATGTTCAACCAAACCCGCTTCATTAACGTTCGCACGGTAAGGATGACCGATTTGATTTCCTGCGAGAGAATGACCGGCAGAAGCAGAATGGCTGTGAAGCGGAGACGAGAGACGCTGTCCTTTGTTGCGTCAAACTCCAGCTCCTCATCAGAGTCATCTTCGATAAAAGACTCGTCAGGCACAGCAGTTGCCATCGCTTTCAGCTTCTCTTCGATAGACAGCCCCGAGCTGCCTGCAGTCACTTCCGCTTCCGTAGGCAAAGCCTTGGTCAGATCTGACAGTTTCCCCGGTGTCTTGCTTGCAGGATCAGCACTACCAGCAGCATAGGAACCGCTTCAGCTGTAGTCTTAGCGCGGGAGTTCTTCGGCGGCATTGTGCAATGATGACCAAAAACCGGCCGTAAGCCTGAGTGGAACGGCTGACTGAAAAGATGAGCCGGGAGTCTGAGCACCTCCACAACAAGTAGTGCAATGCTGATAATGTCGGGCCATTGCTCTTGTCCCAGGTGTTGTGCAGCCGAAGAGAGAACTTCTGGGTCATGACGATATACATTATCTGCAGGACCAGTAGAAAACGGCTGCGAGATATCTTAGAGAACTCCTTAGCTTTGTCAGCAGACAACCTTGAAAAACATGCGTTAGCCTTGGGAACAGCTTTCAACCCCAGTGCAGGAACCCGAGGTGAAGACCATATGATGTTCGCATGCTGAACACATTAATTATGTAGTCTTCTTCCTTGCGTTGTAGTGAATCCGAAACTGGAGAAATTAAAGCCATCAGGCGGGTAGGCTTCACGTAATGCGAGTACCAGGCTGTTGCCAGGCGGCCATGGCGGAAAGCTCATGGTGCTCATGGCTGGACGAATTCCTGGGTGGCTGAGGGTGATTGTTACTTGTGTGTGCCGCTTGACCCAGGTATAGAGACTGCAGCCCTAGGTGCTAGTGAGTCTGCTCTCCCTGGTACTGCGTCCGCTCAGGCTTTGCACACGTTCACACTTGACTCTGGTGCTTCCCGCTGTTTCTTTCGCGACAGCACCACTGTCACCCCTCTCCCTGCACCTGTTCCTGTCTCACTGGCTGACCCCTCTGGGGGTCCAGTGCTTGCACGGGCCACGACTGTGCTTCCGTGCCCAGCGGTCCCGTCTGGTGAGCTGTCTGGTCTCCATGTTCCCTCGTTCTCTACGAACTTGGTGAGCAACGCCGTCCTTCAGGATCACTGGGTTGACACCTGGACTCCTGGAGGACAGCGTGTGGCGATCTGTACATGCTCCAAGACCGGCCGCCACCTGGCCACGTTCACACGTGAGCCAGGGTCTAGTCTGTACACCCTCACCACTGTTTCACGCTACACTCCTTTGTCTCCACAGCTGTACGCGTCTGCTCAGGTTGCTACCCAGTGTGAGTGCCGCCGCCTGTCCCACGACACTCTCCTTTGGCACCACCGCCTTGGTCACCCCTCCCTGCCTCACCTTCGTAGCATGCACTCTCGCTGCCTGGTCTCTGGCCTTCCCAGGTCTCTCCCTGCCCTCCCTCCCTCGCCTGCGCCGCCCTGCATTCCTTGTGTCGAGGGGCGGCAGCGCGCCGCTCCTCACTCCTCCTCGTTCCCTCCCACTGAGGCTCCACTGCAGACTCTCCACCTGGACGTGTGGGGCCCGGCCCGCGTCCAGGGGCAGGGCCGCGAGCGGTACTTCCTGCTGGTAGTTGACGACTACACGCGCTACACCACGGTCTTCCCCTTGCACAGCAAGGGGGACGTCCCTGCTGTTTTGATCCCCTGGATCCGCGCTGCTCGTCTCCAGCTCCGCGAGCGGTTCCAGTCGGACTTTCCTGTCTTGCGTCTGCACTCTGACAGAGGTGGTGAGTTCTCCTCCGACCTCTTGCGAGCCTTCTGTGCGGAGCACGGCATCACCCAGTCGTTCACGCTTCCGGCCTCTCCACAGCATAATGGGGTTGCTGAGCGCCGCATTGGCTTAGTCATGGAGGTCGCTCGTACCTCCATGATCCATGCGGCAGCTCCCCATTTTCTGTGGCCGTTTGCGGTCTGGTACGCCGCGCATCAGCTCAACCTCTGGCCCCGTGTCTCCTTGCCGGAGACCTCGCCCACACTGCTGTGGACGGGGAAGGTTGGCGATGCGTCGCGTTTCCGGGTCTGGGGTGCTCGTGCGTTTGTCCGCGATACTACTGCGGACAAGCTCTCCGCTCGCGCCATTCCCTGTGTTTTCCTTGGCTTTGTTCCTGACGCGCCTGGCTGGCAGTTCTACGAGCCCACCTCGCGCCGTGTCTTTGCGTCTCAGGACGTCACCTTTGACGAGTCCGTTCCCTTCTACCGTCTCTTTCCCTACCGTACTTCTCCTCGCACCCCCCCGCCGCTCTTCCTCGCTCCAGGTTCTCTCCAGATATACCCCTTCCCCGCGCCAGGTCCTGCTCCCTCAGGTGTTTCTCAGGTAGACCCTCCCGTGCCTGCTGGTGACTCCGGTCCAGCTGGAGGTGGTGCTGTCGGTGGGGGTACTGGGCCTAGGGGTGGGGAGCTTGGGGGTGCTAAGCCTGGGGGTGCGGAGCTTACACGTGAGGAGACTGAGGGTGCGGGGCCTGGGGGTGCTGAGCTTGGGCGTGAGGAGCCTGGAGGTGCTGCGTCTAGGAGTACTGAGCCTGCGCGTCAGGAGCCTGGAGGTGCGGAGCCTGGGGGTGCTGAGCCTGCGTGTGAGGAGTCTGGAGGTGCGGAGACTGGAGGTGCGGAGCCTGGACGTGCGGAGCCTGGCGGTGCGGAGCCTCCGTGTGAGGGTTCTGGGGGTGCTGAGCCTTGAGGTGCTGGTTCTGAGGGTGCTGAGCCTGCTGGTGTGCGGTCCCCTTGGAGTGGCCGCCTTCGTCCGCGTACGCCTCTCACCTCCCAGCAGCTGCACGACTGGTACGGTCGCCGTCAGAGTCGCACTACTGGAGCCCGGGGCTTTACTACTGGAGGTACTGGAGTTGCTGGGGCTGGGAGTACTGTGTCTGGGGGTGCCGCTGCTGGGGACACTGCGGCTGGAGACCCTGGGACTGGGGGTGCCGGTTCTGGGGGTGCTACTGCTGGTGGAGCTGGTCCTGGAGGAGCTGGCGCTGGGGGTGCTGGAGTTTCTGGAGGTGCTGGAGCTACTGGTGCTGCTGGTCCTGCACAACCGCAACTGTTCTTCGATCCGCCGTCTCCGTCGTCTCAGCCGCCCCCTGACTCTGTGCTTCGCCAGGTTCTTAGTCTTCCGTCTTCTACTGGTCTTCCGTTACTGCCTGGCTCGCCGCTGCCTGCTCCCTCTCCTTACCCTGAGCAGTCAGGGGGCCTTACTGAGCGTCGTGAGCCTGCGTCGCGTCCTGTCTCGCCTGTTCGTCCTAGTAGTTCCACTCGTCGTGTTCCGCATCGGCCGCCTCTCCCCACCGCACACCTTGT